GTAAGGACTAACAAGAAATTGAATATCAAGTGTTTGATTCTGCAAAGAGAAAACAATTCAATTATACTTCTCATGTATATCAAAGGAAGATTTCGTTCGAGCGTACCTTATTCATTCGATCAAAACAGAAACAGACGTCAATTAACCTTTCCTGATCTTTGTTCAATAAAAATGTTTGATAAAATACATCAATCTAAACATAAAATTATTGAAATCGACGCATTTTCAACACGAAACACTTTACCTGAAGATCGGCTGGTAACGAATATTTAATTCGAATAAATTTTTCTAATAAAGTTAACGGCGTACTAGCTTTACATTCCAAATAACATGGAGACAACTAATCAAGAAAACAAATGTGTTAGAATTATCGACGTAAATGAACTTATGCGTTTTCCTTACTGTGACAGATGATTTTTTACTATTTGGAAACAGATCCAATGAACTATAGAAGAAATATTCGAGATATTAATTGGTTTATTGACACATATTCAGAAACGAAAATGAACCAATGAAAAGAAGAATACTTACATATCCCAATATTGGAGGTGTACATTGATGATTGAGTCAAGTGAAATACGCGTCGATTCTAAATTGGACATCAAGTTATTCCTTGAGGCAAAAGAAGGAAAATATACGATGCATTACCATTAGTAATTGTCGGTGATAGTAGAGACGGTCTGCACGCGATTTCACCTAGAAAGAAAAACAGGACGGTAACGACAAGGAGAAGAAGAAGACAACGAAGAATAACGTACGTTGAAAAATGTATGGAAAGATTTTGTACAAGAGTCGTTGAAAAATGAGATCAGATCTATGTATGCATCATATGAGATTAGAAAAAATACATCTGATGCATAAGATGAACACCTACTTAAGTGTTTCCAATGGATTGACAACGATTATTTGACAGGTTGGACATTTATTATTAGTAGTATTTTCGAAATAGTTCGTTATACATAGTTTACAGACTAAAAAAACGAAATCGTCGATGTTTCAAGTAATGTTCATTGAAATAGAAACTTACAGCGATGTAAACATTCATTGATAACTGTTGGTGAACGAATAAGACCATGACATAGAGGACATTTGAACAATAAATTGACAAGAGGAGATTCTACAGCAACTTTATCATCCATCTAAAATATGTCTTTCGTACAATATCGATATGATGAAACAGTGTGAAAATAACTATGAATTGAAAAGAATAATGAAGAAAGAAAATGCAAGATATCATTAGACGAAACTAAGTCAACACCTGAGTATAATTAGAATAAATGAAGAGCAAAACCTAATTAGATGTTTTAATTGAACGAATTTTCTTGTTGTCTCTTCGTGTTTGAGCGTGTTTAGTCAGTGAAAGACAGTAGGGTTACTCGTTTGGACTAAGTCAACACAAGCGGGCGCGAATGAGAGTTGTTCTGATAAGTGCACACACTCACAACATACGAACGATAGAGGAAAAAAAAGCAATCAAGCATTGGGGCAGTGTAAAAAGAAAAAGGTTCAACCTTTCTTTCTTCCTATGTGTGGTAGAGTATCAAAAAAGCGGCGGGAGCGATAGCGGGCACGTCCTTTTTTGTCCCGATCGAGACGAAGAGAACAGAACAAGAAGAAGAAGAAGAAGCTATAGCGGTAGCGACACAGCTGAATTTTCTATTATTACTACTAGTAGTTTAGTAGACGACGATGTAGGTCGCTACTAACGCAAGAACGATAGTCGAGTCGAACGGCCGACCACGACGACGACGACGATGCGGGCAAGCGAGGATAATCATTGCCCATCAATAAGGAGGAGAAAGCAAAGAAGAAAGAAGAAAATTTTGTGCAGACAATTTCTATCGGAATGTCTACATGTACACACAACTACCATAACTATGTTGCAGAGAAGAAAAAACACAATGTGTCGCCAGTGTACACAACATTCCCATGTTTGAAAAAGAACGATTATTTACAATTTCCTACTTTTCAAAGATAAAACTGAGGCTGTGGACGAGTATCAAAAATACTCACAAGTTTTTCTTACATTTGTATGCATCATACGTTGTGTCTACTACGTTTGGAGCTTTACAACATCACATCCACCCACATAGCACATAGTAAAGAAAGAAAAAGAAAGAAAAGAGAAAAAGGGAAGACTGCTTTCTCTTTATATTTTGCGACCGAATGAGTTATATGGGTGTATGTGTAGCACAGAGTGTTGGATGAATATTTTTCTTTTTTTCTTTACTACCATTAACGCGAGCGAGCGAGCGAGCGCACGAACGAACAAAAAGAAGAGAAAAAAATGCGGCATTCTCGTTGGTTGGCTCAAAACGCATCAAGAGAAAAATGTAATTTGATCAGCGTTGTGTAGACTATACGACTGATTGATGATAGATGCAATAGAACGGAAGACGTTTGAGAGAGGTGTGCAGAAACGATGGACACGGCCTTTACGCGCGCGAAAATTTCGATTGGTCGACAAATTTCTTCGTTTTCCTGTATGTCTATTTGTGAGTTGTGTCTCACATAAATAATTGAAAGAGAAAAGAAAGCATAGAATCGAGATGAAAGTGCGATTGGATCGAATCTGTGAGAATGATTTGGAGAACTTGTTATTGGATAGTGTACAGACAAGAAGAAGTAGATTTGTTTGAAAACTCCTGATTGAAAAAATATACGAAAGGAAATCAATCTTCATTGTTCTATTTATTCAAGTTGTGGTATCACTTAGAGTGATTCTTAAGTGTTTACAAAAAGTATGATAAAACTATTCGAAAAAAAGACATACAGAGATCAATTCCATTCAGTTTGTTTGTTCATAGTTTCGCACATCTCTAATAATATACATATCGCATGTGATACTCGGGAAATGATTCAGCGACTTTAATCGAACACAGATGTGCATCATTTTCTTCTTCGATGCACGAGTGATTCCATAGAAGAGGTCCATCGATATATTCGTCTAATTTAATTTAGAGGAGTTCTTTTGTCAGAGAGAACGTCACGAGCTGTATGTACAATTTCAGACGCGTGAATCTTCATTTTTTGTCATGCAGAATTGGATAGACCGGAAGATCGTCGGCGTCTGAACAATGCTTTGTAATTATGATAATTTCTCTCTTTTCTACCAATTGTTATTAGAAAAACTGTGTCTGGAAGCTCTTTTCTGGAGCACTGTCTCTCTGGAAATACTTTCTCTCTATGAGACTACTGAAGTAGTGAAATTTCCTTTTTGATGATCATTGAAATCGAACTGCGGATCAGTATTCTTAAACCGATCGTTGATTGGTCAAATTTGGCGATATACATTGGTACGTTGTGAAACTTAGACTCGAGAGTTTTCAGAGAGCTGTCAGCTATACGAAGTCTTAGCAATGATTGAGCCAGCATCTCGTAGACACGGACGTTGCGGATGCAATCGGAACACTTGAAGTCTTATTGTTAACTAAGTGCTGATTAAGAAAACAACAGGATTATAACCACATTTTAAAAAATGCTGCTGTTTTAGCATCTTTACGCCTAGACTCACCTTTTGGAGTCATTCTTGTACAGCTAGTTCGAAGAAAGAGATTGAAAGAATATCAATAATCAGTGTGTTATATAGGATTTTTTTTCAATTACCATTTAAGCGAAAGGTTTAATGAATACTACTGAAACACCATTCAATCATCTCTCTTATCGATGTTCTTCGAACTTTTTTTTACCGAATCAATCTATGCTCTACATGCACAATACGGTTGTCCTCTCTTTATAATCCTGAAAAAAAAATCATACGCAAGTTAAATTACGTTAATACGAAGAGAGAAATGAGAATCATATTAGTTACTGAGAGAGCGGCAAAGGTTGCTGAATTAGAGTTCCATATATCCTTTTGTCCAATACCTTTTGTTCGACGAATAGATAAGAGTTATTGTCTCTTATAATGGCGCATATCGTGTACACAATCATACCTTTAGTATTTCGGTAAGAATCATACAACCAAACAATTGGAATTGCGTATTCTATTCAGCGGATGAGTTATGTTTCAGAGCTTAACGTCTTTGAAATTTGGCATACAAGGCCTATTGTTCCTTCTAATAAGAATAACTACAATCTTGTAAACAATCTCAAATATTTAAAAGAAATTGACCATATGACGTTGCTGTCCGTTAGTATTTCTTCCTGGATGATTGTCGAGTAATTCTGGAAGCGACCGTTTTGCCGATCCCCATTGGTACTGATCTACTCTCTGTGGCGCCACCTATCAACAATCATATTACAGTGTCATATATATAGATCATTGTTGGTACCATCTGACGCTCAAAAAACGGAGTACGTAATAAAAAACACAAGAATCAATCTTCGTTTACTGAAAGGGCTCCGTTTGGCAGATTAAACATGGATCCGGGAATATAAAACACATTGCTTTATGTAATGTACTTGAAAATATCGATGTACCCATAATCTTTATTGAGACCAAATACAGTAGACTTTGATCGAGTTAAAAATAGAACGTTTTCGCTCAAATCTTTTGCTGTTTTCATTGGATAGACTTTACTGCCCTTTATTCTATTATTCGTCATGAATCTTTTTTGACTATAGAATTCAAATCGAAAGACCCTCTGTTTTTCCTTTCTAGAATGAAACATCACTTTGATTAATACATAATTGTCGAGAAAAATAAATAAAATCGACGATAGAAACGGATCTATACATTCCACCTTTACAGTTCGATAGATATTAAGTTAAATCAATCAATCGAATCAGCACTCTAATTAAAGAAGTTCTCACACTAAAAACTAGCGTATCATAACTCATGATCGACTGGAATTTAGTTCGATATATCCATCTCCTTTCTGAAAACAGCCAAAAAGTGGAATTCGTCGAGGTTCATTTTTCTCCTTTGTCGAAAACAGCATTGAAACCATGAATGCTCAATTTAAATGTTCATTTTCAATATCGATTACATAAAAACAAAACGGAAAACACGCATAACCTGTACGTCGAAACAACAAAAAGAGAGAAAAACAAACATTCTATGCTGATATAATTATATCTCCATTTTGTAAACATGTAACTTTCGGTAATGGTGAACGTTTTTTTCCAGAGTGTTCATTCGTTGTTAATGAAGCATGATCAATGAATGGATTAATACGCGATAATGATGGCGAGCGAATCTGCAAGGGTATTCGTCGTTTATCGTCGATGGTTAGATGTTGGGGATGAAATCGTGGCGAGAGATTCGTTTCAGGCACTATTCCGCGAACAAATGCGGGTTTCGCTAAGATATTTTCATAACTGACAGATGTTACTGATGGAATCGTCTGCTCTTTTGATTGTTGCTTTAATTGCCGATGATGATGATAATTATTATTATTATTATTATTATTTGTTGTTGAATCACTTGAAAGAGCTGTTGATGTTGATTGAGCATATGAAGATGAAGAAACTTTATCTTCAGCTGGTGTTGTTGATGCATGAATACGGTGCGAGCGAATCAGTATGATGATAATAAGAATAATCAGAATAAAAAATAGGACAATTGCTATTGTTATAAAAATTAAAGTACGAATAAATACTGTTGTTTGAGTTAATGAATTAACTTGTTTACGTGTCGACGAGAGGAGATTTTGTAATGATGACGTCGTAATTGTTGAAGTATAGATCAAGTCTTGTTCTTCTTCATAAACTTGTCGAGAGATTGTCAACGGACGACATCGTTCACCATCACAATATGTACCTAAAATCGATGGTAATGTACATTCCTTTTTCAACAATCGTGCTTTCTTGTACCTGTTGGACATTTTCTTATATTCGATCCAATTAGATGGTCATCGTCGAACTGACATTGTCCAGTTGGTTCCAACTCACAGTCGAATACACCATTGATTTTTCTTACTTTTCGTGTAAGTTTCGGACAAAGACAATACGATGTTTCACTTTCATCACACCATTTGAGACAACGTCGGGGAAACTTTGTACAATTACTTTGATCAATGGAATCCGTACATATTCGTCCCACACCTGTTACATCAATCGTCGTGATATTTTCATGGTAACATTGACATGTTTGAGTTAGTTTATCACAACGAACAAGATTTTTAACCGAATATGATCGCTGACAATCTTCATCGTATTGACATTTTGTATTAATCGGTTTTTCATAGTTGATTTTGACATTGAATGTTTCATTGGATGCTGTTAAGTAGACTAATTCCTGATCACAATCATATGCTTTACAGGAACGAAGGGAAATCTCTCCTAAATAAAAAAAAGTTTATACTTCCATAGAAGGAAATAGAGAACTGGAAAACGAACCTGGTTGAAGAAATAGAACTGATTGTAAACCAAGATCAGTTATATTCAAAACACTCGATTGTGTTGTCATGTATTCAGCTGCTGATATGACTCGATTGCTATTCTTATTCTGTCTCATTGTATACTGACATTCCGTAAATGTCAAATTAACAGGCTGATGAGCACACTTTATCAATAAAGGTACCAATAACATCCAACGATTACCTAAATTGTAGATGAGTGTGTTACTAAGATTACTGTTTTGACCTAATGAATAATATCCGATGAAATTAATCGAATTGGAGTTGAGAATATTGGCACCAAGTGATATATATAGATCGGAATCGAAAACGCATTCAGATAGAATAACTGATGTACGAATATATGGGCATGAAGCCCATATTTGGCTTATAACAAGAAGAAGACAAACAAGGAACAATCGACTGAACATCGCATGGCGTGTGTGTTATTTACATGATGATCTAAAACAAAATGGAAACGAAATAATCGATTAATATTCATTTTATTCTATAAATCACTCAGTTGGTGGTCATTGCCAATCGCTTTGACATATAAATAGATGACTTACTGCCACACATACATACACACGCACACACATATATATATAAGATATTTTAATAAAGAAGAATGCGATTAGAACAGTATGGGTGGCAACCAGTCGTACAATAATCTCCTCCTCTCATCATCATTATTCTAGTGCAATTAACAATCTATCGACGTACCGAATGTTTCTCATCACCATCATGAGCACATTTCATGCGAATGATGTCGTTTGATTCTCATTTGTTTTCTCTTTCCTACTGTTCTTTCTATCATCGAAGACAGACTAACTGTTTATTTTATTCAAGATTATACTCACTTGACTAACACTACCATTCTCGTTGAATCGATCTAGTCGAGAAAATTTCTTTGCTCTTTACGATAACAACGAAGATTTCGATGGAAAAAAAGCTGGGTTACTAAATTGTTCAATATTGTGTGTACACAAAGCACACGTTTTGCTAATGGATGACTCGTCAATTTGAATTAAATGGTTGATGTATCAAAGAAGCGCAGTTGAAAACGGATGATGTTGTTTGTACACACTACGCAGCAAATGAAACGGTTCACTCACTTACGAGTGCTAATAGGTCGCTGTCTGTGCAACTCGTTAGATGGTAGTAGTACAGTGATGATTGCGGATAATCGTCTTAAATTTCCGCGTTGCTTTTCTTCTTTCTTTACATCATACAGACGTATACGAAAAGCAAGAAAGATAGTCTTCCTTCTTCTCTTCTCTTCTTTCTCTCCCTCTCTCTTTCTCTAGTGCGCAAACGTTATTTGTACAAATCACATGAAAGATAATCACTTTGTGATACACACACGCACACTGTACAGAGAGTTACGTTTTTCTTTCTTTCTTTCTCTAGCCTCTTTGGTATGCCCTAGTAAACGATGCTAATTACCGATTCTATCCGTTTTCCTGTCTATCGATGACATATTCTCATGAGGAAATGTTTTACCTGTAATGAAAATAGGGTACTCAAACATCTGTTCTCGATGCCACTAGCAATCATAAAACTCCAATGAACAATACATTTTTTTTTCTACGGAAAAGATTATCATCATTGACAGTTATAACATTATATGACGACATAATTCATTGGATAAATATAGGGTATTGTTGATGTTTTGCTAATGTCGACATATCACATCATACACTTTTCTCCTATAAATGTATCGCCTCAAGTCACTCCACTACGATGGCACGAGTGATGTAACGGAAGAACAACAAAATGTACGCTGGTATCATATATGTGAACGATCACTTCTAACAAGATTGATTTTCTTTCTCTGTCGAAATACATAGCTAGATAAATATTCCATCGACTCACGTACGCGTTTGAAGATGAACAAGACAGTGTTTATGATTTATGTGTCTATCGATGTTGATCATTTATTGTTCTTCTTTTAAGTGATATTCATATTGAAGAAACGACTAGTATTCGATGTCAAAGAAAATCATCATTAAACGAGACTCATGGTCAGTTTGATTTGTTGTTGTTTATATGATATTCTAAGTATCCATGTATGCCGATCAGATTCATTGATCTTCTATTTTCAGATGCGAGCCAAATAAACGTTTGATATATTTTTCATGAGATAATCATCGAGCGTAATCTGATCTAATAGGTTACATTGAGTTTTATTCTCGTGTTTCATTCTTCGAACTGGTCAAGTCAAATAGTTGATTAATATCCTTTTTCTTTCATGATGATATCAATGAGATAGTTTATATGACATTTAGGTTACAGAGTATCGAAAAGCAAACGTTAGGGATAAGCCGCACTATGCACAATTATTATTCATCGTCAATATTTGCTCCAATAATTAATGAACGTTGATAAGCGTCGAGTTTTTCTAGAGATACTCGCGGCAAAGTGAAACCAGTACCTAGATAAAATCAAAATAACTTTTCACATTTAAATATCTTCTTCTGGAAGAATCTTACTTCCTTCTGTTAACTCAAAAGTCCAATGAGTCAACGTACAGTTATTTTGTACCATTAATTTTCTTTGTTTTTGGAATTGACCTAATGTATAATCTCGTACAAATGTTGTCGGACCCATACTAACATAAGCAACGATTCGTAATAGCTCGTTAGGCTGATCACTTAATTGTTCTCGATCGACAAAAGCTGGCGAGTTGCAATGGATCACACGGCTGTCCCATACAACAAGATCACCTGCTCGACAATGAATAAATTTACCAATTGCACGGCCACGATTAAGAACTGGATGGTCACTCGGAATAGGAATAAAATCTTTTTCACGACGAACGACATCAACTAATTCATTGAAACGTAAATGTGTGCCTGGAAAAAGTATTAGGCCACCGGTGGTTTCATTCTGATCGGTAAGCGAAACAAATCCTTGAATAGCACATCGATCAGGTTTAGACACCGGATTTTGATCAACATGATACCATCCTGTTACTGTTTTCCATTGTGGTTCAAACCGCCAATTTCGATAGATACCACAACCATCAAACGAAACTAGCAGTTCGTTTGTATTCCATATTTGAGAATAAACGCGTTTGATATTTCGATTCGAACGGACATTCCACATGAAGTCTGATTGGCCAATACCACATTCAGCGATTAGACCGAATCTAGGGTTTCCCGGCCTACAGAGATATAAACAACAATGCATTGTATAATAATTTTCTTTCCTTACCAATTATCTGACCATGTCATGGGATCATTACGGCGAATCTGACGTCCAGGAATGTTTTCCAAGAACTTCCATAATAAATCTTTATTGGCATTAATTTCATCTTGTAACATCATATCACTGAATATTGCATAACCATGTTCATTCAAATGAGCAACACCCTCATTTAGACTGTTCGTACGCATCACTGAAAAGCGCGGTGTCAATGTTGTATAATCAATACGAACTTGATTTTTATCTAAGCTATAATTTTCCTCGCTGGTCAGTTCAGTCATGATCGTGAGTGGTCCGAATGATAGTCGTTTTTAGCATTGCTGTTTTTATAACAAGAAAAAGTGTAATTTCGTCAGTATAAGTCTCGAATTATGAAATAACGAAATGTGACAGAGGAAATGAATAAAAATTTCGCAATGTCACAAATGAGAAATGCGTAATCGCTCTTGATTAATATATTTCCTTTTTTATTAAGCAAAACAAAGAAAAAACGTATAACAATGAAAAACAAACTATAAACTTCTTTTTCTTCTTTCTAGAGTTCCTGCTTTTTCGCTAAACTTTCACGAAAGAAGGACAATGTGAGACAAAAAACGTCACGAAAATCAACCGAAAGAAGAAAAAAAACAAACTCTAACAAACAAAACAAATCTAAAAACTACCACAATCAAAGTTTTTCTTTTTCCCATCCAGCGTTCGTCTATTGCCATATTTCTGTATACTGAGCTCTATTAATATCTTTTTCATCACGCAGAATAATCTTCACATTTTCACCTTGACCCGTACTTGCCCATGCTGGAATCGCACTAGCGACAAGTCGGCTAGTACTATTGCCATTATTGTCAACTTTATTCGAATACACACGGACGCGTGTTCGCGCTTTGAGGACGTAACTGTCAGGAAACTGAAAAGTACATTCGTCTGCATCGTTTACACTTCGAACGAGTGTCCAGCCTTTTAGTGGTTGATCCACGCAATTTGTTGCGGCATTATTTATGGAAATAAAACCCGCTTGAACTTGATCGATATCAAATTTACCTAAAATAATGTTACAGATTAAGATTGAACCTTCTCGAAAAGCATCTGTCTTCTTCGATCGTTTTATCTCACCAGTTTTCGATATGGCACGTTGAGATTCGTTTTTTTTCACAGTTATAATCGATTTCGGTTCTTCGACTATACTGCTTTCATTTTTTCCGTTTACCAACGATGCATTATTCGTGTTGGTAAGAGTCGTCGTCGGAACGGACGTTTTTGTTGATTCTAAATCTAATAATCGTCTGTATGTTTCTAATTCGAAATGTACAGAAAACCAATATTGTTTTCCAACTTCAATGGCTTCTGTTATCTGATTGATTTCGTTCAACAATCGACCGTATTCGTTATCCAAACGAATGCGTTCTTCGTCAATTTGATTTTTCTCCTTTTGTTTCGAAATGTAAAGATCAATCAACGGACGATACTCGTTTTCGATATCTTCACGTGTTTTTTCCGCTTGTTTTAATTCATCGTGTATAGTTTCAATGGACACACGTGATGTCGTTAACGATTCTTGAGGTTTATTTGCTTGATACGTCGATATTTGGGTTTTAACTTGTTCAATGCGTTCGGTATAAGCATTCTCAAGAATAACTTTATTGTTTTTCAATAAAGCTTGAAAATCGCGTTTGATATCATCGATTGCATTGTCCAATTCATTGGTATAGAATTGTTGTTGTTTAATTTGTTCATTAGCTAGAAGAGAGTTTCGTTCGATCGGTAAGTTGAATGAACAAAAGATTTTTCCACTTACCGAGATCGTTCTTTTCGGTTTCATAAACGGCTTTTTTTAACAAAATTTGCTCTTCAATTGTTCGAAGATTACATTCCAAACGAATGTTATTCAAAACAAGATCGTGCAATTCATCTTCGAGTTTTTTACATAAATCATCCATTTGATTCATTTCGATTTTATTCGTTTGAGCAATTTTCTCTAAATCTTCAAAACGACGACTTAAATCTTTCAATTGTATCAACGTTTGCTTATATTCGTTTTCTAAAGCTTGTCGACGGTTAGCATAGGATTGATCTTCTTCGGTGCGAATTTTGTCTTTCAATAAAGCTAATTCTTTCAATGCACGATTACGTTTACGAATGAAATGTTCGGTTAACACGGCCGATTCGTCAATATCAGTGCGGAGTTCATCCATTTGGGTTTCGAGGTCATTTGTATCTCGTTTATCTGAACTTTCTAAATCGATCGTGAATGTTAGTTTATGTGAGAAAAGAGAAAAACGATGTGCTTTACTTTGTTTGTGTTTTTCCGCATCAACTTTCTTCTGTAGATCATCATTTGCTTTACTTTTTTGTTGTAAAGTAAGAACATAATTCGAAAAACGATTATTCAATTCATCCAATTCACTTTTCTGATCGCGAATCAATGACAAATGATCGACGCCATTCATCGAATCACTATTTAAATTCGTTGTCTTCGTCGTCGTTGTCGTATAACGATTCGTCATCACACTATGGTACGAATTCGCGAGTGGTGTAACATCGGATGTTGGTGCCGTATTGGTACTATTAGCAAGAGGTGTTGTCTGTGATTTCAAATTGTTCAAAAGTTGTTGTTGTTGTTGTTTTTCTTTCTTTGAAGGCATTTTAAACTCGAATGTGATTCGGTGTATGTAAGTAATTGCGAATATGTGAAAAGTTTTTCTTCTTCTCTTCGAGTTTAAATATATACGGACACATGTGAAATGTTCGATCGAGGGTTCAGAAAGCTTTGCTTTATTTGCATCATCAGATGACAGAGAATGAAAAGAAAATCAGCTGGATAAGAGAAACGACTGCTTCAATCGATGTCTATGCATGTAAGTTAGTCTTAGTTTCGAGTGCATCGTTTATTCATCATCATAAAGACTGGTGATTATAGGCCGATTTGAACCATCAAAGACCGTTTGGAAAAGCAATGGATACATATGAAAAAACAACGAATGATTTCAAGTTTCGTTCGTGCACATTTAAATCGAGAAGAGAAGGGTAGAAAATCGAGAAAAAAAATCAGATGACAATCGACACAAATTCCAATCGCATCAAAAGTCCATTGATCTTCACATGGTAATTATTATAACTTGAATTTCTTTGACGAACTTATATGGTCACGAGCAGCTAATGCTAGTAAATAGATATTTTCAGGATATTTATCTGAAAAGATCTGCATATCATATTTTCTTGCCCATAGAATCGATGCAGGTCGAAGTCGAAATTGTGCCAACAAAGTATTCCCATCATAGAAATGATTCGTCAATGAACCTAGATCTTTTTGCACTGTTATTTGACGTTCATTCCACGTGATAGTAAATACATCACGAGCTAAATTAAATTTTTGTTCGATGATCCCATTGATCCATTGATTTGAAAGAGGATCTTGAAATGAAAAATCACCTTTGTAAAGAAGCAGATTAAGCTTTGCTTGCAGCTTGCCGACGGTTCGTTTAGATGGATAAGCAATGAGTTCGATGTTCTGTAAAGGAAAATATTTCGATTCGATACGATAATAAAGATGTTTTTCGTTAGTGTCGTAGACGGCAAATTCACCAGCTTTGAAGTTCGAGAAGAAATCACGACGAATAACGTATTGCCGTATTGGAGATGACGACTTAACAGCGAGCAAAGATGTGCTGACCAGAAGAAAAACAACCAAACTGAATTTCATCGATATTTTTTGTACAAAAGTCAAAGAAAAACTAACGATGATTATATACGTATCGGAAGTGGTACTTGAAAATATATTCCTTCTTTTCATACGTTTGTGCCTCAAGAATAAATATGTTTGCAATTATTCATGAATGCATCATTAAGATGATTCCAACCTGCTGGCGATAGCGAAGAGCAACTGAGCGGTCATGATACTCTGAGAACGTTTCGTTTTCATTACAAATTAGACTAATGATAAAAGCCAAGGAACATCTTGAGTATCTGCTTTCTTCCATATATAGCATGTAAACATATCCAGGTACTTCTCTGAGAAGTATGTATGGTAAATAGATCGAACAAGTAAGGTCGTAGATCCCAAATAAACATTTGAATTGTGATTATTTGTCGAAAATTGAATCGTTATTTTATATACATCAGTTTTATTTTTTAGTATTTATCTTCCTTGAAAAAAAGTAACAAAATAAAAATAATGACGAAATTTGTCGACCTTTTCATAACGAATAACTTAATCATCCAACGTTAAAGAATGAGTTGTTTGATCGATAATCACATTAATCATATCTCTGTGTTCTTTACTATTAAGTTCATTTAATCGATTAAGAATATCTAAATAAAATTTGACTAGATGATCTAAACGTCGTACAGCACCAAGGTATCCATATTGATAAACTAAGTATTTCCATAACATAACGATAAATACATCTTGAATGCGAGTAAGAGCAATTGAACTTGTTACCGATGTGTTTGTAGAAGTAGTTATCTGACACTCCTCAACAAGCGAGCAATTAGTCGAAAATGCTAAGGTAATCAGAAACATTTTGACCAGCGTTCCATTTTGTTCGCTTCGGTTCGCTAGAAGTTCACTGTCTTTAACATATTCTTCACCATAGATTTCATAACAAGTACGAACATGTGAGTCATTGCCGAATAGTTTCAATTCATACGCACCAAACATGGCATTTAGTGCGCCCATTCCGTTTAAATTGTTTTCGATAAGTACACGACGGACATCGGGTGATAAACTATGGAAGTGAGGCGAGTAGTAAAGAAATGGTTTAATGGCTGAGAAAAATGTGCCGATTAACTCGAATACCATCATTCTCTTCGCACGGATTTTCACTGGTAATGATGCTTGTTCACGAAGTAATTTTTGAGCTGCTGTAATCACATTTTCTTCGTCATATGCATGAATAACATTTGAGAGAAGATTCCATTCATCGAATGTTAAGGTTGAATTATCTTTGGCGAGTAGACTAAGTGTTGTTGGCTAAGGAAGAGAAAATTTGTAGTTGTTTTCGCGAAGGTGAATTGAAAAGTAACCTGAGGCAGTCTGACAATTTGTTTGTCTTCAATCGATGCATCACATAATTGACTTTGCGTTGTATTCTTTAATTTTTTAGGTGAAGAACGAATCAAAGCTGGATTCATACCGAGCGCTAAGCATTTCTTCAATCGACATGCAGAACAGGCACCGCGAGTCTGCTGTGTTATACTACAGTCATTGTTAAGTAAACATCGAAGTTCTTTCTAAGAAATACAATGAAATTCGTTTGTGTGCATTGTTGATATGGATACTTACACCTGCTTGAGCTGCATGTCGTCGAAAGAAAGCTTTGCAAGACATACATGTAAGTACATCGAAATTCATTCCACGCGCGAAATCGTCGCATACCAAACAAAGCTTAAGTGGTCGTGCTGGTCGATTGAGCGACATTTGATTTGATTTGATATAACACCAAATGGCTATAATAGAAAACAAAAGACAACGTCATGTGCACTGCACCTAGAAAAAATCATCGTCTGGAGTCAATTCGATTTGGCTTACATTCGTTAATGAACGCGGGTGTGGCAATTTTTATTTTCTTTGTTTTGATTTGCACTTTGGATTATGCGTTTAAATGCTCTAGATATATAATGAAAGGAAAATATATAAAAGAAGATTTTTTCCGTTCTGTTGAACGTATATTAATCGGGCATGTTTACCAAGCAGTCTCTTTTCACTTTTCTCTTCTCTCATCAGCAATAAGAATATTGAATTCACAATTCTTTCACTCTCTATTGGTCATCTGAGCTTATTTTAGTTCAAACGAACAACTTCTTTTCTCTTTCTTGTAAACATAATATTTATCGGAGAAAACATAACAAGTTCGAACTAGGTCGTTTTATTATAACTATTGCACTGAAAGTAGAAAAGTTCACCTGTACCCATTTATAAATTTACATTGCAAAGAATCGTTTCTGCCATAGTACTCGTTTTAACAGATATGATTTTCTTTAGTTTCACTTACAAGAAAGAAACTATGAAATTTACCTGTGCTTTCGGTCAAATGAAATACTCGCGTATTTTACATAACCTTGACTATTGATTCTTTTCATATATTAGTCTAGTGCATATGCGTATTTACTCCTAAATATACACTTGTTTACCAAGATAAGAAAAGAAAAACAACAGAAATTCGGTTTTTATTCACGCCATTGGGATTGATTGATGCATTAATCATTACATACGAAACATACTTTTTATTTTCGATCGAGTACAAACATATATATCATATCTCTACAAGTTCCATTTCGATCAATTCGGACGAAAGAGATAAAGTTAACATGACCTATCAGACTTACTAATTGTTTTTCATCAAACGATGTTTAATCCTTACGCGGGTTCTTCGGGCTACAACACTTACGGTTCTTGATGCTTTTAACAAACATACTACTTTGTTTAACTATCTCTTGGCGTTCAAAAACATTTTAAGACACAAAAATCAGAAAACATCGATACGAATACCATGAAACTATCGGCATGATGCTCCTATTGCTACGAAAAACTCGTTTGATTTTATCAATATTTCGTACTAATAAAATTATCATCCTATTGGTGTTAGTTGATCTTGATTGAACGTGTCATTTCAAGTAGAAAAAGTATTCTTTGCCATTTACCCCTAGAGCAGTACGCATTAGCATGTCAACATACACACATCCAACCATTTCTCGTGAAAAATCACAAATAAAAATTTTACAGCAACATTATTTAAAAAAAAAACTCTTGTGAGGACAAAAATGTACCCAATTATTGTAGTCTGCATTACGAAAAAAAAAAGACGATAGATGTTGACTTTAGACTTTAACAACGAAAACATACAAATGCAGATAAATACTTTGGAAGAGATCATTCTGTACTTCTTCTTGGCATCATGCGTGATTAATCGGTGTTTTTCTGTTCGATTGGTAAATATTGGATACATCAAGTAATGATGGTACTTAATGCTGTATTCGTCGATGAGAAGAAGAAAAAGTTGACTTGCTTATTTATTTTCATCAACATCTACTAAATTTTATTTGATTTCAAACTACATTCTCTTTTTTTCCACAAAGACAACACGGTGAAGATTAAAAAGAAGAGAAGGGAGAAAAATAAAGTGTAAGATTGAAACTCATTCAAGCAACATTGTTTTAAAATGAATCAAGACGAGAATTGTTAAAATTGTTGCACAAAAAAATTGAAAAAAAAAGCAGGAAAATGGTCACTAGAAGAAAGAAAAAACGCATGAGTACAGAAAACACACTAAGACAACAGCACTGTTCGTTATTCGACTACAGAATATTCTTTTTTTTTTCTCTAAATAGTATTTGACACACGGAGGAATTCATTTAAATCTCTCCAGCATTTTGCGATGAACGACGTCTTTCATCGTTGACGTAAATTTGAAAACGTGTCAAACCGCGACCTGTTTTCTTATCGAAATCAATGTTTTCGGCATAAGCACGGCAAATTACATTGATCAAAACATTTGGTTTTGGATTGAGAAATTGAGCCCAAACATACGGAGCTTGATAAACATCTGTACGATTTTGTTTGCCACTACAAAATAGAGAAGACAGTGTACTTCTGTTTAGTAACAAAATCAATTGAATTTCTTTCGTACGTGTAAGGAAACCAAGATTTTTTAAGTGATCCGCAAGTGTCCAAAATATTATCTTCGGAATAATATCTTATTTGTCCGATATTGTCGATATCAGCAGGGTACTAGAAAATTCGAAATGAGTGCGTCAGTTTGAAGTTTTAGAAATCAAGCTGTCGATTAATTACTTCGCCTTGGCATGCAACAGCAATAGCATCATCTCGTTGTTGACATCTCTCTGGTAGTTCGCTTTTGTCAGCTTTAGCATCCAATGGTTCAGGTATGAAGCTCACAATCTAAATTTTGATTTCATGAACAAACGTGTCAGATGTTTTTCGTTTCGTTTTACCTTGTTCATTTTAATCAGAACACAAGGTTGGCCAGTTGTATAGCCAAAATTTCTACTAATGGTGCATTCTCCTGGATTATTGATGCGAAAATTTCGAATTTTGTCTTCATTGTTAACATTTCTTGAACTTCCTTGTTTGACTTGTGGTGTCCAGTAATCTAAATACAACCCCACGTCATTCTGTGTGTTACAAATGTGTCAAATATGCTTACAAACTCGAAGGTATTGATCGAGACTAGTAGTATAACGTTTTGTAGTGTTGGTAATTCTGCCCTTGTCAGCTTCAATGATGTTTCTATCAACTTCTGGTTGTGGTCGAAAGCCAAGGCCTACAAAGAGAACGTTTCTAAATCACCAACAATGTCAATAAAGCAAAGAACATACCAGGTGAGAGTGGATTCGATCGTGTTTCCATACGTGAATCGTGATTCGTATAGTACGGATGATCACGGGGTGTAAAAGCCATAAATACTGCTAACATTGCACAGAAGAAACCAGCCAAACCAATGTAGAAAAAGAAGTAGAAAACGCCTAGTTTGCCTAGAAATAAAAGTGACTAAACATCTTCCATTGACTTATTTTTTCTTATTTACCCCATCGAGCTCCATCTCGGCCAAGGAATTCTCTTCGTTTCGAGTCATACAATGCGCTACCTAAGCCAGATAATCGACTACCCATCTTGATATCCTTGCTATACGTATGGTATCACTTATCTAAAATAAAAAAAAACAAGTTACTTGTTCGACTCTGATCCGATTTCCCTTTTTTCCTTCGACCGACGTTTTCACGATAATAAAAAAAAAAGAAATGGAATTTAACGAACGTCGAATAAAAGAGAAGAAAAAGAATAGGTGTTTTATGTCGATGTAGCATTACAATCCAGCACATACAGTTTATCATCCAGAAAAAAAAAAGAATGAGAGGAATAAATCACTCCTGTTCTTCCATCTAAACTTGCCGTATGAAAAAAAAAATTGTTTTTTTTTAGTAAAGGGCAGAGAATCTACCGCTCGGTTGTTATTCTCCTTGAAAGCGACGAAGAAGAAAAAAACCACCGACGTCGAAGAGTTAGAAGAACAGAAAAAAAAAGTTTCGTATTTTGTTATTTGTATTAATATCTGAATGATCATTAAGCAACAAAAGAAGAATAAAAAAATGAATTGGAGGTAGATTACAAGACACAATCGTAGTTTATGATGTCGAGGAGAACATTCAAGGTCATATATCAACTAATAAAGAGTATTTCTTTTTACTTTCTCTAAAATAAATATCTGCCATCTTAATTCTTTTTCTTGTTTATGACATATTCTCGTCTTTTTTTCATTGGTCAACAAGAGGTTATATAACAAGCAGTGGCACCATTTAGCAGCGACATCTAAGTTTTTTATCAGAAACTGCATTTTCCTTTCTTAAATATGCAGAAAACATCGACACTCGAGTTTTTAATGCACATTGACAAAGATATGTGATCTTTTTGTCAGATTGAAAAAGAACAGAATTTTATTTTGGTATTTGGACTCAATCAAGAGTTAATCTTCTCAAGTCCAATGTTGAGGATGAGAACAAAGAAAAAAAATGCACTCAACGCGTCGTAAACAATCTTTCATATACTCTTTTCTACCTATTATTTGTATATATGCAAAACCTCACAATTCGTGAAATATGAAAACTCGCTTCACATATGATTTGTTATGTAAGGATATGACGATTCATATCATTCGCACTCGTTTACTTGACATAGCGTACGTGATCTTTGGACAAAAGGTACGTGTCATTATATGAGGTTTCATAGTCTTCATTCGTCAACAAGTCTTTAGACGCATGTCAAACTGAACAAAATCGACTCTTTTTTTCTTCTACATCATCAAATGACAACTGCCCCTAGTTCATTTTATTCAATTGATTTCCCAATTGACTTTCATACTACGATTCATTCGTCGAACAAATCTAATAACTAATGAACGCATACAGAAAGCTTTTTTTTTCGGTCGAATATGTGAAGTCAAGCAAATATATTTTGTTTCTCCAGAATTTTGGTTTCTGTTGTAAGCAAGAAACTAAATGACATTCGTTTTGGAGGAATGCAACTGAGTGGTTTAATTCTATTTTGATTTCTCCAAAAAATCAAAACAAGTATATATTTTGACGTACAACTAATGCAACTTCTCCGTTACCGATGATATGCAGCAAATAGTTAACAGAGAATCGCTTTTCACAGTTGTAAAACTTGTAAAATCAAAATTACCAACGATCGACTGCATCTTGTGCGTAGGTAAGGTTAAATTTCTCTCTTTCTTTCTTCATTCACGTCCGTAAGCGATCAGATTAAGCTGTTTTCTAGCGTCCTCTATTGTTCGCATAAAATATAATCATTGAAATTATCAAAACTGTATTTCAATGGTCATATATGGTTATTAAAACTAGATGAATTATTTTTTATATTATATCATTCCTTGTCGATGATTGGTAAGCACAATGCTTATCGACGCTCACAAGGATATTCCAGACAATCGACACGACTGAATGTGGGACGCGTGTCTGTACGTGTATTTCTAAGGGCGTACGCAAATGTTTGAATCGTCTCATTAGACATTCAGTTTTTTTTCTCAAAATTGCACTTTTTATTCTAGATAGTCATGCGTCGATCTAGTATGACCGATCGATCATCGATCACGAATTTAGCTTTGGCTTATCCATGGACAAAGACAACTGAAGATGCGACGAGTTTCTATAAAGTAGACGAGACTAAAGGTCTAACCGAAGCGCGAGCTAGAGAAGACCTTGAGAAATATGGACCTAACGGTATATTTTACAGTTAATAAACCTAAATTAAGCAATGCTTTACTTGTTTTCTTTCAGAATTACCTGCTGAGGAAGGTAAACCGCTATGGAAGCTTATCTTAGAACAATTCGACGATCTTCTAGTCAAAATTTTACTTGCCGCTGCTTGCATTTCATTTGTCAGTTCAAATCTGATTGTGCCCTTATGACTTCATTGCTCTTTCTTACCATTCTACTTAGGTACTAGCCTTATTCGAAGAACACAAAGAAGACGAAAGTGTCATAACAGCTTTTGTTGAGCCACTTGTCATTCTCCTTATTCTTATTGCCAATGCAGCTGTTGGTGTCTGGCAAGTAAGAACTACTCTTCCCTCGTCATTTCCTCTTCTCCCATCCAATCACTTCCGTACGAATAGGAACGAAACGCTGAGAGTGCCATCGAAGCGTTGAAAGAGTACGAACCAGAAATAGCAAAAGTTGTTCGACAGAATCGACCTGGTCAAATCCAACGGATCAAAGCAAGAGAACTCGTACCTGGTGACATCGTTGAAGTTGCTGTTGGAGACAAAGTACCANTATCATCCAGAAAAAAAAAAGAATGAGAGGAATAAATCACTCCTGTTCTTCCATCTAAACTTGCCGTATGAAAAAAAAAATTGTTTTTTTTTAGTAAAGGGCAGAGAATCTACCGCTCGGTTGTTATTCTCCTTGAAAGCGACGAAGAAGAAAAAAAACCACCGATGTCGAAGAGTCAGAAGAACAGAAAAAAAAAGTTTCGTATTTTGTTATTTGTATTAATATCTGAATGATCATTAAGCAACAAAAGAAAAATAAAAAAATGAATTGGAGGTAGATTACAAGACACAATCGTAGTTTATGATGTCGAGGAGAACATTCAAGGTCATATATCAACTAATAAAGAGTATTTCTTTTTACTTTCCCTAAAATAAATATCTGCCATCTTAATTCTTTTTCTTGTTTATGACATATTCTCGTCTTTTTTTCATTGGTCGACAAGAGATTATATAACAAGCAGTGGCACCATTTAGCAGCGACATCTAAGTTTTTCATCAGAATCTGCATTTCCCTTTCTAAGATATGCAGAGAAGATCGACACTTGACTTGTTAATGCACATTGACAAATATATGTGAAAATTTGCCACATAGGAAAAGAAAAGAATTTTACTTTGGTATTTGGACTGAATATATCGATCAAGAGTTAATCTCCTCAAGTCCAATATTGATAGCGAGAACAAAGAAAAAATGCACTCAAACGCGTTGTAAACAATCTTTCATGCACTCTTTTCTACCTATTATCTTTATGTATGCAAAACCTCACAATTAGTGAGATATGAAAACTTGCTTCACATATGATTCGTTATGTAAGACATATGACGATTCGTATCATTCGCAATCGTTTACTTGACAGTAGCATAACTTGATCTTCGGACAACAGGTACGTGTCATTACATGAGGTTTCATAGTCTTCATTCGTCAACAAATCGACTCTTTCTTTCTTCGACATCATCAAATGACAACTGCCTCCTAGTTCATTTTATTCAATTGATTTCCCAATTGACTTTCATACTACGATTCATTCGTCGAACAAATCTAATAACTAATGAACGTATACAGAAAGTTTTTTTTGTCGGTCGAATATGTGAAGTCAAGCAAACATATTTTGTCTCTCCAGAAATTTGGTTTCTGTTGTAAGCAAGAAACTAAATGACATTCGCTTTGGAAGAATGCAATTGAGTGGTTTAATTCTATTTTGAGTTCTCCAAAAATCAAAACAAGTATATATTTTGACGTACAACTGAGGCAAATTCTCCGTTGAAAATGATATGCAGCAAATGGTTAACAGAGAATCGCTTTTCACAGTTGTAAAACTCGTAAAATCAAAATTACCAACGACTGCATCTTGCGTAGGTATACGTTATAAAAAAGGTTAAATTTCTTTCTTTCTTCATTCACGTTCGTAATCGATCAGATTCAGCTGTTTTCTAGCGTCCTCTATTGTTCGCATAAAATATAATCATTGAAATTATCAAAACTGTATTTCACTGGTCATATATAGTTATTAAAACTTGATGAATTATTTTTTATACTATATCCTTTCTTGTCGATGATTGGTAAGCACAATGCTTATCGACGCTCACAAGAATATTCCAGACAATCGACACGACTGAGTGTAGGACGCGTGTCTGTACGTGTATTTCTAAGGGCGTACGCAAATGTTTGAATCGTCTCATTAGAGATTCAGTTGTTTTGCTAAAAATTGCACTTTTTATTCTAGATAGTCATGCGTCGATCTAGTATGACCGATCGATCATCGATTACGAGTTTAGCTTTGGCTTATCCATGGACAAAGACAACTGAAGATGCGACGAGTTTCTATAAAGTAGACGAGACCAAAGGTCTAACCGAAGCGCGAGCTAGAGAAGACCTTGAGAAATATGGACCTAACGGTATATTTTAAAGTTAACTAACTTCAATTTAGCAATACCCTACTTATTTTTTTTCAGAATTACCTGCTGAGGAAGGTAAACCGCTATGGAAACTTATCTTAGAACAATTCGACGATCTTCTAGTCAAAATTTTACTTGCCGCTGCTTGCATTTCATTTGTCAGTTCACATCTGATTGTGCTCTTATGACTTCATTGTTGTTTCTTGTCATTCTACATAGGTACTAGCCTTATTCGAAGAACACAAGGAAGACGAAAGTGTCATAACAGCTTTTGTTGAGCCACTTGTCATTCTCCTTATTCTTATTGCCAATGCAGCTGTCGGTGTCTGGCAAGTAAGAACTACTCTTCCCTCATCATTTCCTCTTCTTCTATTCCAATCACTTCCATACGAATAGGAACGAAACGCTGAGAGTGCCATCGAAGCATTGAAAGAGTACGAACCAGAAATAGCAAAAGTTGTTCGACAGAATCGACCTGGCCAAATCCAACGGATCAAAGCGAGAGAACTCGTCCCTGGTGACATTGTAGAAGTTGCTGTTGGAGACAAAGTACCAGCAGACATTCGAATCACTACAATCTATTCGACAACACTTCGTATTGATCAATCGTTGCTGACGGGTGAGAGTGTGTCGGTTATCAAACATACTGACCCAATCCCCGATCCGCGAGCTGTGAATCAAGACAAGAAGAACATCCTATTCTCAGTAAGATATCTGATGTGTGGAGGCGCAATGTTATTCATAAACGAGAATATTTGTAGGGTACAAATATTGCATCAGGAAAATGTCGCGGTGTTGTAATTGGCACCGGCTTAAACACAGAGATCGGTAAATTGTTTATGATCAAAGTTTGCCTTATTTATCTCACTGCCGTTTTGCCATACTATTTAAGGTAAAATCCAGGCAGTTATGGCTGACACGGAAGAAGAAAAAACACCATTACAACAGAAACTTGATGAATTTGGTGAACAGTTATCAAAAGTATAGTTTCCAGAGTGATTAATCGTTCTATATTATTCTCTTTTTTTTAATCAAAGGTCATCTCAGTTATTTGTGTAGCTGTGTGGATTATCAACATTGGCCATTTCAATGATCCCGTTCATGGTGGCTCATGGTTTCGTGGTGCTATCTATTATTTCAAAATTGCTGTTGCGCTCGCTGTCGCTGCCATTCCTGAAGGTCTACCTGCTGTCATCACAACCTGTCTTGCACTCGGAACACGAAGAATGGCGAAGAAGAATGCCATCGTTCGTTCACTACCATCTGTCGAAACACTCGGTTGTACATCCGTCATTTGCTCTGATAAGACAGGCACATTGACAACTAACCAGATGTCTGTTTGTCGAGTATGTCTTTTTCTCTGTCTTTCTCATTCGCTTTTATCATCATGATTATCTCATGTAGATGCTCATTTTCAGCAAGGCTGACGCAAATGACTTTCAGATTGATCAGTTTGAAGTCACCGGATCAACCTATGAACCAAAAGGTGATATCTTGCTCGATGGAGAAAAGATCAACTGTGCTGATCGAAGTGGACTAGTGGAACTTGCTGAGTGTGCAGCAATGTGCAACGACTCTTCGCTTGACTACAACGAAGTGAGTGCCATCTTCATTCCGACACTTTCACTTTGTTATTGTCGTTTAGACGAAGAAAGCATTCGAGAAAGTCGGTGAAGCAACAGAAACAGCATTAACAGTCCTTGTGGAAAAGATGAATGTGTTCAATACCGATAAGTCCAAACTCACAGCACATGAACTAGCAATGGCATCGAACACGATCATTCGCCAGAAGTATCGCAAAGAATTCACGCTCGAGTTTTCTCGTGATCGTAAGTCAATGTCCGTGTTTGTGACAAATGCGTCGAAAGGTGGTGATAGTGGAGCATCAGGATCCTCGGGGAAAATGTTTGTGAAAGGTGCACCTGAGTCGGTGATTGATCGATGTACTCATATTCGATGTGGAACGCAAACAGTGCCCATGACACCACGGCTCAAGCAAGAGATACTGCATTTAGTTCATCAATACGGAACAGGTGGTGATACTCTTCGATGCTTGGCACTTGGTACCATTGATAAACCCATGCAAAAACAAGATATGGCTTTGGAAGACTCATCACAATTTGCAAAATATGAGGTTCGTTTAGTATTGTTAATGTTGATGATTTGACAATAAGATGCTTGTGTTTCGTAGACGAACATCACGTTTGTTGGTGTTGTGGGTATGCTTGATCCACCACGTGAAGAAGTTCATGAAGCTATTGCTCGTTGTCGTAATGCTGGCATTCGCGTTATTATGATTACAGGTGATAACAAAAATACCGCTGAAGCTATCTGTCGCCGAATTGGCCTTTTCAGCGAGACAGAAGATACACGAGGTATATAAGATTTCGTTCTAGTCATTGTTAATTTCACTGGTTTCTATTCTTGTCTAGGCAAAGCATTCAGCGGTCGGGAATTTGACGATCTCACAACTAGTGAACAGTCAGAGGCTACTTATCACGCAAAAATGTTCGCTCGTGTCGATCCTGCGCACAAATCTAAAATCGTCGAATATCTACAGTCACATGGTGAAATCACAGCTATGACCGGCGACGGTGTCAACGATGCACCTGCATTGAAAAAAGCCGAGATCGGTATTGCCATGGGCTCGGGAACTGCTGTCGCCAAAACAGCTTCCGAGATGGTCCTGGCCGATGACAACTTCTCATCGATCGTCGCTGCCGTAGAAGAAGGTCGAGCTATCTACAACAACATGAAACAGTTTATTCGTTATTTGATCTCATCAAACATTGGCGAGGTAAGCCCATAGACGAACGAGTGAATGCATGAGTGGATTTTGTGATTGTACAGGTTGTGTGTATCTTTTTGACTGCTGCACTTGGCTTGCCTGAATCGCTGATTCCCGTGCAACTTCTGTGGGTGAACTTGGTGACAGATGGTTTGCCAGCAACAGCCCTTGGTTTCAATCCACCTGATCTGGATATAATGGAACGTCCGCCACGTAATCCAAAAGAGTCACTGATCACACCATGGTTATTCTTTCGTTACATGGCTATCGGATGTCAGTATTTGGTCTTTATTTAGTTTCTCTTTCTTAATATGTGTATTGTTTTGTTTTAGGTTATGTTGGTTTTGCTGTAGTATGGAGCGCTTCGTGGTGGTCTATGAATGCTACAAATGGTCCTAAGTTGTCATACTGGCATTTGGTATGTATAACGCTCATGGATCTGTATTCTTCAAATATAAAAGAAGATGAATTTCGAAGTGATATGCAGATGAAATATCTTAAGGACGAATTTGTTGACATCGTCGCGATAAGTAGTATTGGTAAGAAAGGTGAAAAACAAAGCAAATGAGCATGTAATGATTTGATGTATGCGTGTGCATTGATATATTGTTTTTTCTTATTACGGAAAGTTCGCGATATAATTGAAAGACAACATGTGTCTATTTTCTCGTCGAAAAAGCATGCATTTTATGATTTGTATGACTAGTCGAAAAGTACACATTTATTGTTGTTTAGAAAAATCATTTTAAATGTCGAGCTGGTGGAAAAGAATGGGAAGGTATAAGTTGCTCAGTGTTCGATGATCCACATCCAATGACGATGGCATTATCGGTGCTCGTCACGATTGAAATGTTAAATGCCCTCAACAGGTATAATATTATCAGTTATAATCTATTCACAAGGAAAAAGACATTCTTTTCTTGTTTTATAGTTTATCAGAAAATCAATCTCTTTTGAAAATGCCCCCATGGACAAACAAATATCTACTGGGCGCTATTGCTCTATCCATGTCGTTACACATGATGATCCTCTACATTCCGATGTTCAATGTAAGCCTCTTTTCACATCTCTTTGTCTTGTTCTTCGATTTCATCACGGTTCTCACTTAGACTGTGTTTCAAATTTGTCCGTTGTCATGTGAAGAATGGTTCGCTGTTATAAAAATCTCTTTACCAGTTGTGCTACTCGACGAACTACTGAAATTCATCGCACGACAGTATCTCGATCGTAAGATGAAGTTACAGTATATGACAGCAAACGCTGATTTTTTTCTAGGTGGCAACAAATCAAAACATGTGACTTCAATCAATAAAATATCAAAGCATTAAACACCCTATATCGAATAGAACAAATACGATAGGCTTGTCAAAAGAACATTAAAATCTCTTTTTTCTATTTTGTGTGTGTGTGTGTGTGTGTGTGAACAATCGATAAAGCTTCTCTTACTAAAAACGCAGAAAAAAGGAATTCATCTGATAAACGGTTGAGTTTTTTTTCTTATTTAAATATAAAAAGAAAACACTTCTACGCATCGGAATCTGTGTTTATCAATCGAAAGTGAAAAGCGTTATTTGTTCTTATTAGAATATTCATCATCGCATGTTAGGAAAAGATGAATATGAATTCTAGCATTGCATCGTTCTGTTTTGTTTCATTATTTATTGTTTTAGTGATTGCCCATTCATGCAGTTTCCGTTCTGTTGATGACACATTTATTAATATCCGCAGTGTAATCGTGTTGAAGGCCATTTTCTCGAATGGAAAGTAAATGACGACATGAAATATGTTCAGTTTTGCTCGCTGAATTCGAAACATCTCTTTAAGGATTTGATTGTTATGTTCTGTACGATAATAATGTTGAAAATGTCAAATACAATCCTATCAAAATTTATGAATGTCTATAAATAATTCTCATTGCATGAGAACTTCAACGATTTCCTAAAGTTCTTATCAAAAGACTGTTTGATGTCATCTTTGCATGCAACTGTCAACAATAATCTTTGTTGTGCTATATACACTCGTATTTGAATATGATAATCGATGGACTTATAAATATGCAGTGAAAATGGTTCATAAAACTTGTCAGGCATCAACTAGAATGACAACGTGTGATAATAGTTTGAAGCATTATCAAACGAAAATTCAATCAAGGACAAGACTACGTTTGGTAACTATCGAGATCAACTATCATCTTCAGTTTTTGCCATTGTTATTTCGTTATGTTTCCGTAACTAAATAATGAATCAGATTGAAGAATCCATTAGAAAATAGTATGAATGCTTTTTGCCCAATGTATTACTCAATTAGTATGTAGATATTGATTGTTAAGCCACTCTCTTCGTTGTGGTGTGTTTCCTACGAAGATACATCAATATGTAAATAACACCTGCTCGTATAATTATCGGTTTTATAAATAGGTCGATTGGTCTGATGACACGAATGATGAATAATGTTCTGCGAAAGAGACTAATTTGATTACTATTACGTTATGTACATAAATGAATGAAATAAGCATGTCATCGGTTAATTTCCTATGCCATTGCGTGTACGGATGTTTTTGCCATCATCTGTATGCCGTTAGTTGAGAATTTCTTGATATATGTTCTTTGTGTGAGTAATGCAATATTTGTCCTCATAGATCATAGACATATGATCATTGTTGATCTTTAACGTTGGTGAATCGTGTATTTGGTATGGTGATATGAAAACAGACAAGAGAATCTAGAGGAAAAGAGGAAAGCAAGCGGTAGGAGGTGATGATGATGATGATGATGATGGGATCGGAACGATCGTCTTCGGCTGCCAAAGTCCGCAAGTGATTGATGATGATGATCAGTACGGAGAAAAGAAGAAAAAATAGACAGACGAAGCGAAAGAACGATTTTGTTGATGTTGATATTATTGTCATTTGTTCGTCACCTCAAATACAGAATATCGAGATAGTGATATGTACGTCTAATATAGTTCTTCTTCCCGTTTTTCACTAATTATTTTAAAAGCTTTTCGCAAATAGTTCTGTGCGTATGGCGTACGAAAATGATTCTTTTCTAACTCCTTTTCGTCTGTGCGTATCGATGATGTATTTATTAGTTTGTAAATTGTTATTTAACGATTCTCATTAATAATCATCATTTCAGTTTTCTAGATTTCGCCTCAGGCAGTGATGATTCGATTTGCGATAGCATATCACTGATGTATTATCGTTTTTCTTGCCTATTTACGTACTTTTCCGTGTTGACAACAAAAATTACCTCTCGTGGCTAATCGTAGATTAAGCATACACAATCAAATTATAGAAATCTTGCAGTCATACAATGTCCTTTGCATGTATATTTCACGATGACTATGTCTTCTTTTTCCTTACATTCAAGGCTATTGAAAGATCATGTGTGAACAACTCCCTCTTTCTCTATTTCAATATTAAACGATAAATACTCTCAAGCACATGTTGAGAAAATTCTCAGTTATATGAGCAAACAACGAATCGGCAAGTGTTGTTTCTCGTGCCTAGCCTTGAACACAACATGTCTACAGATAGCAAATAAATATTTACGTAGAATTCATTCCTGAGTAAAACGCAATAGAATAGCTGTTGAGAGAAAAAGGGAATTCTGTCAACACGTAGCTGATGACAAGGACAAAAGGACATGACGATCATTTCCTCTTCTTCTCATGACTTTCTGATCGAATTAAGATAATGATGAGTTACTTCGATAACTAATCATTGACGAAATCGAATGTAACACTTTGTTATATTGTGATATTTTTATGTCAATAGTGAGCATTAAGTTGATGGATACCATACAAATAGGAACGCCTACATCACTTATATGGAGAATAGATGTTTACCCTGATTTTCATTATCGAAGTATGGCTCTAAAAAGCCAACCTTATTCTCACCACGGTAATATTCAAAAACAACAACAACAACAACAAAATGACGACAGCACTTCTTTTCCTTTTCTTCTCGTTTGTGCGTATCGTGATCATCATTCGATCTATGTGCAATAATTGATGACGCAAATCGCTTTTTCCTCTCTCTATGTATATTAGTATCGATAATATCACATTGCAAGAAGGTAGCAACTGTGTGAATTATAGTTGTCTTCAGTGCAGAAAGAAAGAGCGAAGGAAAAGACTGGAGAAAGGTGATGTATGATAATCGAGAAACTGTTGGAGAATTATGTATACATAGAAACATGGAAGATCGGAGCGAGAGAAAGAGAGAGAGAGAATCAGAAAAATATCACTAACAAGTCCAAGATGTGCACATAGATTTATCGCAGTATCGAAACATCATCGAATAGAATGAGAAGAATCTTTATCGCATACTTGCGCGTTTCACTTGTGCTGAGATTTTCCGCTATATCATATCTTTGCAAAAGCAACTGTTAAATGCTACACTATTTATCTGGATGTTTTTCTCTTTTCTCCTTCCTCACGCTACGACAAAGGCATCATCGATACCTTGTTATCATTGTTGCTATTGCTCGCTCGCTTCTCTTGTACACAAATATACCCTATCTCCCGCCGTGTCACACGTTCTTCAATATCTAGTCGAACGAGTCGAATAGATCCCCTTCATTCAAGTTACATATTCAGTCGTAAACTTTTCCGCGTATAGTTCTAATCGGTGATTGTCACAAAATATCTCTACGATTAATTGATTTTCGATATCAATATGCATTGCACATGATTTTATTCGAGTAAATACGACAGATAAGCATCCATACATGCTATTCATGCAAATGAATGGTAAAGATAAGTTCTTTCGTACTGAATAGACGGTATAGTCTAATTGATGATGAGGACGATTGAGCATAGAAACTAAACAGAAGAGAGTTCAGCGAAGTCTCGTTTTCGCCTCTTAAACACGTAAAATGAATAAACTGTTAAATAAGATTCGTTACCACTGTGTTTAATTAGAGAGAAGTAGTTATTTTACGTCTATCATATTCATCGAATAGTTACTGACGAAAACAGTATAGATAGCGTAGAAAATCAAGAGATATAATATGTGTAAAAACAACATTTTTCTTGTTTTCGATGAATGTATAACTCATTTTATACATCGAAAACCACAGCAAAGCTCAATCGACCGTATCAATCAATTTCAAATCAAGGTAAAAGCCACGATTACCTGGCGACCTCTATATTGAGTGAGATTTGTGTAAAAATTGGTTTAGATTTGCACTTCAGAAGATTTTAACATATTTTTGAATTTTTCCTCCCTGCGCTTTTTCCCATTGACTAACAACAGTGATTGGCGAACATCAGAAAATCGAATCATTGATCACATTTCGATTGAAAAAGCTAGGCCGGCCAGTAATATATGATATTAAAAATGCAGCAAGGTAACGAAAACAAAAAACTGCATCAATAGGCACACAGCCCACATTCGTGCACGTATGTCGATGTGTATAAACGACCGATCAATATAGACTAATTTATTTTACAATCAGAATGCATCTTCACGCCTCAGTCTAATCATCGAATGTGACCCGGCACTGTTCATCTCCGCTTTTCTTCACCATTTCAGATCGCCATGCATCGGTCGAATGTGACTCGTCGCATGTCTAATACTCTTCTAGTCATTGAATACCCTTGGGCAAAGACTAAAGAGGATGTGGCCGCGTTCTATACTGTTGATGAGGCAAAAGGTCTCTCCGACGAACGTGTCAAACGCGATCTAGAACGATACGGACCAAATGGTATGTAGAAGAAATTTACAGATAATCAAATACGAATTATATATTTTATCTTTGATCTTCCTTATAGAATTACCAGCGGAAGAGGGAAAACCACTATGGAAACTTATCTTAGAACAATTCGACGATCTTCTAGTCAAAATTTTACTTGCCGCTGCTTGCATTTCATTTGTCAGTTCAAATCTGATCAGATTCGTCNCGAACACGATCATTCGCCAGAAGTATCGCAAAGAATTCACGCTCGAGTTTTCTCGTGATCGTAAGTCAATGTCCGTGTTTGTGACAAATGCGTCGAAAGGTGGTGATAGTGGAGCATCAGGATCCTCGGGGAAAATGTTTGTGAAAGGTGCACCTGAGTCGGTGATTGATCGATGTACTCATATTCGATGTGGAACGCAAACAGTGCCTATGACTCCACGACTCAAGCAAGAAGCCATGAAACTAGTTCATCAATACGGAACAGGTGGTGATACTCTTCGATGCTTGGCACTTGGTACCATTGATAAACCCATGCGAAAACAAGATATGGATTTGGATGATTCAAGAAAATTCATTACCTATGAAGTGAGCTTTCTCGACATAGAGATATCAAATGTACAAAATATATGTGTATTGTTTTAGGCGAACATCACATTCGTTGGTGTTGTGGGTATGCTTGATCCACCACGTTCAGAAGTCATTGACGCCATTGCCCGTTGCCGTGATGCTGGCATTCGCGTTATCATGATTACAGGTGATAACAAAAATACCGCTGAAGCTATCTGTCGCCGAATCGGTATCTTTCAAGAAGGACAGAATACACGAGGTAAGATTGACGTCTTGCAGGCTGCGAGCTCTATTTTATTATATAAATCAGGCAAAGCATTCAGCGGTCGGGAATTTGATGACCTATCGACAGAAGATCAATCAGAGGCATGTCGTCATGCAAAAATGTTCGCTCGTGTCGATCCTGCACACAAATCTAAAATCGTCGAATATCTACAGTCACATGGTGAAATCACAGCTATGACCGGCGACGGTGTCAATGATGCACCAGCATTGAAAAAAGCCGAGATCGGTATTGCCATGGGCTCGGGCACTGCTGTCGCTAAAACAGCTTCCGAGATGGTCCTGGCCGATGACAACTTCTCATCGATCGTCGCTGCCGTAGAAGAAGGTCGAGCTATCTACAACAACATGAAACAGTTTATTCGTTATTTGATCTCATCAAACATTGGCGAGGTAAGCCCATAGACGAACGAGTGAATGCATGAGTGGATTTTGTGATTGTACAGGTTGTGTGTATCTTTTTGACTGCTGCACTTGGCTTGCCTGAATCGCTGATTCCCGTACAACTTCTGTGGGTGAACTTGGTGACAGATGGTTTGCCAGCAACAGCCCTTGGTTTCAATCCACCTGATCTAGATATAATGGAACGTCCGCCACGTAATCCAAAAGAGTCACTGATCACACCATGGTTATTCTTTCGTTACATGGCTGTCGGAAGTAAGCATAAGATGTTTGATGAGAATTATCTTTTGTTTCAGTCTCATATTGGCTATTTGGCTGCGATCATTTTTAAGACTAAAAATGAAACCATGTCTATAAATTTGTATCTCTCATGCTAGCATACGTCGGTTTTTCTGTGGTCTGCAGTGCGACGTGGTGGTCAATGGACGCAGCCAATGGCCCTAAACTTTCTTATTGGCACTTGGTGTGTACTTGATTTCACTACTTTTTCTTTTTTTTTCTAGTTTATGTAGGAGCTGGCACAGTGGGTGCCTCCTGCTGGTAAGATCTTCCATCCCTTGAGTGTAGTGCATGATTTGTACACATTCTTCTTACTTGATTTCAGGTGGTACGTGTCGTATCACGATGGACCACTGTTGTCATGGACGCAGCTGGTGAGATATAGAGCGGAAAGCATTTTTGTTGAATGATGCCCTCATAAATCCTTTTTCCTAAACTTGGATGCTTGTTTTCCTATAGTTTGTGTAAATCAACCCTTAGATTTCAATTTTCTAGTGCTTCTCGTTTAGGCATGACTATTTGTTTGAATGAGCGTTTGTTTAGTTTTGGTTTTGTTTTCGCGATGAAATTCATTTGTCTAACAGTATGTTTTCGATCATCTAGACACATCATTTCAAATGTCGCGGTGGTGGTAAAGAATGGGAAGATATTGATTGTGACGTTTTTGACGATCCACATCCCATGACAATGGCACTATCAGTACTCGTCACAATTGAAATGTTAAACGCATTGAACAGGTGAGCTATCGTTAATCGCATAGTATCTTCTTAAGACATATTCTTTTGTCGTTTGCAGTTTATCCGAAAATCAATCTCTTTTGAGAATGCCGCCATGGATCAATCAATACCTTCTCTATGCTATCGCTTTATCCATGTCATTACACATGATGATTCTCTACGTTCCAATGTTTAATGTAACTATACTGAAAACACAGAAGAAGTTCCCGCTATAGAACAATTCTTCTTACTCTTCGTAGACCGTATTTCAAATCTGTCCTTTGACATTGGAAGAATGGTTTGCGGTGCTGAAAATCTCTTTTCCTGTCATCTTACTTGATGAAACATTGAAATTCGTCGCTCGACGATATGTTGATAGTAAGTTCCATTCTACGCATGATCTCCCGAGTTGATGTTTATCCTTACCTAATGTGTGCCGTGTTTTTCCTTCCAGAAACTGAAGAAGGTAGTGCACTGCATGGCGCTTCATATTTGTTTGTGTTATGGAGTGCTTACATTGCTATCATCATGTATTCACCCATCTTCCACACATGGGAAGGTTTCACGCATCATCCTGTTGGCAATATGACAACATATACATCTACTCAGCATCGAAATCTCGACTTGTGATTGTTTACTCGTCTTTTTTTTTTGATAATATAAACCCTGAATTTGCTCTCTTCTCTATGTTATATTTAGAAATACATGTCTTTTTTTCTTTCGTTCACAACAACAGCTACTTGCTGTCATTGCATACGTTCATTTTCGTTCTCTTTTCGGAATATAAACAAATGCATGCAAGCATATGGGTTATGTATTGAACAGTTTCTTCTTTTCTCCTCTCTCTCTCACTCTTACATGTTTCGTACAACGAAATGAATAATGAATGAGTGAGCGAGCGATGTCGATCGATGATGGTAGGTCAGATATATGACCTATAGAGAAGCAATAGAACATGGATTGAAAAGAACAGAAGAAAAAAGAGATGCAAACGATGTACAACCGACTGTACGAAACAAGACATGAGCGCTGTGTTTGACTTTTTCAGATCAAGTTTTCCATGGCGTCACGTGCTAAAGCTAAACCACCAAAGAAGCGTCAACAACGCGCTACTTCGAATATCTTTGCGATGTTTGATCAATCTCAAATTCAAGAATATAAAGAGGCGTTCAATATAATCGATCACGATCGAGTATAGTGTTCATTTTGCTCATCTATTTGGTTCACATTCACGTTTGTTTAGGATGGTTTTATCAGTGGTGACGACTTGAAGGACATGTTTGCTTCATTAGGTTGGAGAATATGTGTAAGAAAACATGTATGATTGTTTATTTTTGCATAGGTAAAGTTGTCAATGATATGGAAATCGACGCGATGATTCGCGAAGCACCAGGTGACATCAATTTCACCATGTTTTTAACGTTATTCGGAGAGAAACTTACAGGAACCGATCCTGAGGATGTAATTAAAAATGCATTTATGTCATTGGATGAAGACGGATCGGGTAAAATATCAGACGAACGTTTACGGGAACTCTTGATGACGATTGGTGATCGATATACGGATGAAGAAGTTGACGAACTGTTCAAAGAAGCACCGATTAAAAATGGTTTATTTGATTATCTCGAATTTGTAAAAATTCTCAAATATGGCCGCAAAGATCAAGATTAAAAATCGTCACGTTCTTTTTATTCAAAGAGTCTACTTTAACATCAGGGATCACCTTTTTTTCCGCGCTAATCTTTCAACTGCTTTATGTATATAAAGATTGTAGTGATTGAACATTTACGTTTCTTTTTTACCAACCAAAAAAAGCAATAAACTATATGACATCGATCTATCATACAATCAATAGATTTTTATAAAGTATTTGTTCGAGGTGAGTTAAATGACGGTACTCGAACGTCATCTATTATCTGTTAACAGATTGGATGAGAGAAACTAGCAATTGTGCTATGTCCTATTTATTCTTTGTTCAATTTTTAGAAATGCTTTCATTTATTCAATCGAAGTTTCATTCAGAATAGTGAGATTTTGTTACAATATTTTCTGGTCATTGTGAAAAACAAGGTATATTTAAGAGCTTAAGAGTTTCCAATCAGAGGTAGATTCATACCGTTCATTGTCCAACTCTATTCTGCACGACAGAACATGTTACGACAATAGATACAGATTTGTCCAATGTTCCTCTATTTTCTAACATCGGAATTTTTGTCTATGTACGGAAGTCTTCTTAAGTATTCGGTACTTCAGAATTTTTTGCAAACATGCGATCAGTAAATTTGTAATTACGTTTTTGGCTTTAGATCTAATTCATTTTCATTACTATTCCCGGTTAATTGACAATGGCTGATGGTAAATTGAATGAAAATTATTCTTAACGAATAATCACTGTTGTTTTGTATATTCAGGTGATGATGTTTTGAATGAAGAACGTCAAATCAATGAAGATTATAAAATTTGGAAGAAAAACTCTGCCTTTCTCTATGATTTAATCATGACACACGCTCTAGAATGGCCATCACTTACTGTTCAATGGCTACCATACACAGCAAAGTAAGATTTGATCAAACAATTGAAAGATTTCACAATGACTTATTCTCCAGACCAGAAGATGGTAAAGATTATACCACACATCGTCTTATTCTTGGTACTCATACGTCCGACGAACAAAATCATTTGGTAATTGCTTGCGTGCAAATTCCTAAAGATGGTGCAGGCAATGATTCGACTCAATACGAATCGGAACGAGGAGGTAATTGAAGTCCCATAGAGCTGAAACTCGAGATCGTTTTTATGACGTTTGAAATAGAATTCGGTGGTTTCGGTTTATTTAATGCTAAGATTGAAATCGAATTAAAAATCAATCATGATGGAGAAGTTAATCGTGCCCGATACATGCCACAAAATCCTTCATTGATTGCAACAAAATCTCCATCAGCAGAAGTTCTCATATTCAATTACGCAAAATTGGCAAGTATACCCAAAGATCAATTGTCTATGATGAGTGCCGAAGCATGTCCGGAATTACGTCTTCGCGGACATACGAAAGAAGGTTATGGTCTCTCATGGAATCCCAGTACTGCAGGACAAATTTTATCCGCATCGGATGATCACACGATTTGTTTATGGAATATTGAGAAATCGCCAAAAGATGGCAAATTCGTCGATCCATTGGCTATCTTCTCCGGACATCAAGCTGTAGTTGAAGATGTTGCTTGGCATTTATTTCATGACCCACTTTTCGGTTCAGTCGGTGATGACTGTAAATTGATGATGTATGTTATCATAAACTCTGAAAAGATTGATTTGACATGATTTCGGCTGCTTTTAGTTGGGATACGCGATCATCAAACTTTACCAAACCATCACATGTTGTAGATGCACATAATGCGGAAGTCAATTGTCTATCATTCAATCCATTTTCTGAATACATTCTCGCAACTGGTTCAGCTGATAAAGTATGATTGAAATGACATTTGAATTGAACAGTGAACTTGAAACGTGTTTTTAGACTGTTGCTCTTTGGGATCTTCGCAATCTGAAATTAAAATTACATACATTTGAGTCACACAAAGATGAAATCTTTCAAGTTCAATGGTCTCATCACAATGAGACTATCCTGGCATCAAGTGGAACAGATCGACGATTACACGTCTGGGATTTGAGGTAAACGAGTTGCTCGATATTTTACGTTTTCAATCAATCTTTCGTCTTTATCAAGTAAAATTGGCGAAGAACAAACCAGTGACGATGCAGAAGATGGTCCACCCGAACTATTAGTATGCAAAATTGCAATAAAACGAAGTTCATATGCATAATTGACTCTTTCTAGTTTATTCATGGTGGCCATACAGCTAAGATTTCAGACTTCTCATGGAATCCAACTGAGCCGTGGGTAATCTGTTCAGTTTCGGAAGACAACATCATGCAAGTCTGGCAAATGGTAAGAACGATCGTTATGTTTGACAAATCCAATCGATTGCTTTCTCTTCGATGCTTTTTTAGGCAGAAAATATTTACACGGAAGATGAAAATGAAGGCAATTCAGTTGATCTTGACTAGATGTCTTACTGGGTTTCTTTTTTTTGCTCTGTACTATTACATAATGTCAAAATCTCTTTTGTAATCTAGATGATGCTTGTTTGAGAAACAAATCAATAAAAATATACATTTCTGTTATTTGAGATGAGTTAATCATCTTCTAACGGATTATTTTTAGTTGTTCGCATTTCGGCGCAAACGATAGATTTCGAATGATCATACGGTGAGAGTCAATCAAGCACATCCGAAAAAAAAACATATGTGGTTTAATTGGCTATATGCGCTGAGTATCTCAAGGCTGCATCGAGTGAACGTCATAGATAAAATGCGTTGATATTGAAGAGGGAGAAAACAACGAGAAAGAAAGAAAAGAAATAATTTCCATCGTCGCATATGAGACTGTATTGCGATTTTCGTCAGCAATGAGTCATATTGCACTTTCGACTCATTAGTCTCGAAATCATACGAATCGAAAAATACATTTAGTCTACATTAGCTAAAATGGTAACTGCCTCGATTGTAATCGCAGTCGCGATAATTGTATATGTTGGATATCGTTTATATCAGCATTTATTTCCACCGCCGGATGTTAGTCCCAATGGTAAATATGTGCTAATCAGTGGATGCGATACAGGTTTTGGCCATGCACTGGCAATTGAACTTGACAAGCAAGGTTTTCACGTCTTAGCGGGTGTTTACAATCCAGATAATGAAGAACATGTCACTCAACAACTGTCATCTCGTGCAACAGTATTTTGTCTTGATATAACACAAGATGATGAAATCGAAGCAGCCTATCAGATGGTTAAATCGAAAACCAGCTCGCTCCATGCATTAGTTAATAATGCTGGTATTGGAAAGGGTGGTCTTATCGATTGGACGAGTGTTGACTTCATGAGAAAGATAATGGAAGTGAATTTTTTCGGGCATGTCAAGATGACAAAGAAATTTTTACCGTTACTGATATCTCGACGCGGTTCACGTGTCGTTAATATCTGTTCGGTCGCTGGTTTTCTTGCTGGACCTGGTATGTCTGCTTACAGTACGTCAAAGTTTGCACTCGAAGCATTTTCGGATTGTCTTCGTCGAGAGATGGATGCATGGGGTCTTCACGTCTCGATTATCGAACCCGGATACATGCGAACGCCGATCATCGAAGGACATGAGCATCAATGTCGTGAATTATGGGCAGCCGTTGATAGTGAAACTAAAAGTCGGTGGGGCGATGAGTTTTTCAATAGTTTCGTTGAATCTGTCCCAAAAAATCCATTTATTTTGAATGCTGAAAATCCCACGAAAGTCGTCAAATCGCTTCGTCATGCAGTCACAAATACTGTTCCACGTATCCGATATCGTCCTGGTTGGCAAGCTAAATTACTCTTCTTCCCACTTTCAATGCTTCCTGCTTGGTTAGCAGATTGGTGTCTGAAGAAATCAGTAAAAGTCAGTGTTTCACCAGCAAGCCTACTTGAACAACGAGATTAAACAATGAACTTAATTATTCTCCTTTTCGAACATATTCCTTTTTTATACATAATCAGTGAATACACTTAAAATACTAATAAAATCTATTGTTGAATACAAAAAGAAAACAATCGTTCATAGTGAATATTCACATTAGTTCGTCTTTTTCAACTGCAAATTCTGGCTCGTAATATTCGTCCAACGGAATCATTGGCTTTCTAAATAACTTCATAATACCATTGTCACTAAAAAAAAATACAAAGAATCGTCTTTATCGGAGTTCGTGTTGTCACTTACTTTGAAAAATATGTCGGGGAATACGTTTCTAAGAATAATTCTGACGATGGTTCCATAAACGATGAGAAAATGCCGTCGTTGTCTAGTTCGAGATCATCATAGAGAGCATGATTTTCCGTTGTCAAATAATCCAGTATATTATCATAAGGTTCGATTTCAGGACGCACTCTATAAAACGTCCGTGCACTAGTCAAAAGCACAATCGCAGCAAATGTGATGAAACGCATGTAATATGCCATGCCTTGAATGAGCAAATATGAAAAAAATGTTCTTCTCACTTTACATATATATACTCAGTTAAACGGAAACGCGCAGATTTTGACATTTTTTCTATGATTTTCATTATAATGAACCATATTGTCAACAGATTATTTAGTCAGATGTCAATTTAATTGATATTCACATTTTACTGATTTTCTTCGGGTACAAAATGTTAATTAAAAAGCAAATATCTATTTGCGTTTAACATAGAACTATATTGATGAGCAAGTCAATACAGTAGACTAGACTCTTAGTTTGTGTAATAATTGATTTTTCTCTCTGGATACGCGCCGATTGGTCGATGACATACAAGAGGCAGATTATCCGTTGAATTAGCCATTGAAAATAACAGTCTTGATTGATTTTCTCCTCTTTCATGTTTAACCTTGGCTATTTCGATTATGATACAACAGTTGCTCTATACTACCATCTCAAGAAATGAAATTCGAAAGGTGACTGTGATTGAATAGCAAATGTATAAGAGAGAATTTGTTAATAACTCGATCGAAAACAGAAAAACTCATCGATATATGGTATGAGTATGTTGAGCAGAACTGATTGATTGTTTCGAAAAAGTTTCCAGATTCAGAATTAATAAACACGCGAGAATTTTCTTCGTTAATCTGCGATTGAATGAGAGAGAAAGATTATCTAATATTCTCATTTGGAAATATTTCTTCTCGACAACATCATAGAAAGATAAAACGAAGTTTTTTTAACTTATTTCGCCTGATTAGCCCGACATACACTATTACTGACGAAGTCAACAAGTCGTCATCTCCCGTTTGAACACGAACAAGTAGATTAAGCGGCTTTATACCATGTCAACAATCTTCTTCATTCAATTGACCATGATCAGGGCCAATATCTAACAACGACGATGTCCTACTGGGTGATCCCAAGAGTCATACATATATAAACCTAAAATCCTTTCTTTCATCTCTCTGATTTGTCGTCCCTTCCCCCTCTCTCTCTAGTCTGTTAATTACAATTGTGAATGACGACGTGTTTTTCAATATTGTAACAGTCGGTCGCGCTTTTCTTTGATGAACATGTATATGATATATGTACGTGATAGGGTGGCAGGCGTGCAGGCGACACGTAATACGTATATTTTCCGGGAAAGGAAAAAAAGAGAAACATTTTTAGCCAACAGGTAGGCGACTTAGGATAAAAAGAGAGAAGGAGAAAGAGAGAGAGAGAGAGAAAAAGGAGGTGGCAAGGGAAAGTAAAAAGAAATTAGTTGTGTATCAATCAATTTCAATCAAATTTTAGCTAAGACGCCGATATGAATAGTATGTGAACAGCATTTGGAAAATGTCTTTTGACTTTGCTTTTCTTCATCACTATTTTAGACTCAAAAAGTCCTGTTACTAAAGATGATAAAGCTTCAAATGGACATCACTTCTCCGAATCGAATCAATCTGCGTTTCGTCGCATTGCATCAATTAAATCTGAGCCAACTGATAAGATCAATGAGAAAGTAACAAAAAATGGCACATCGATATCTTCGGATGATCTTCCTATCAATAAAAATGCGATTCCTAATCCATTCCTATCACCTCTGATTACTTCATCATCTGATTTTCATTCTCATCTTGCTCTATTACGTCCACTTCTTTCACAAAGTTTACCATTTGTACCTCCACTAAATCCTTCATCTTTCTGGCACACATTTCCATTTCTTCATCCCTATCTATCGAACATTCGTCCTCCTGCAGGACTTCTTCCACCACCCATTCCACCTATTCCATCGTCCTCATCCTCAATTCAACCCAAAGCATCAACATCAACGAACGCTAACAATCGAAAGTCAACACCGGCAACACACTACCATCAATATACAATCACAAATAACAATGTTCTAGTACCATCTCCTGCAACACTGATCGATTTCATTCGTCGACCAACAACTTCCAATGGCGATGCAAACAATTCACATTCAACAGCAAATGCAACGAAATCGAAAAATGCCAAGAAATACAAATGCGACATTTGTTCACGAGCATTTTCAAGAAGCAACACATTAGTTACACATAAGGTAAACTTTTATCCAATCGGTTTCCTTCTATTTCAGCCAATACGATATCGAAGCGATCCTATTAGCAAAGAACACGCTCATGTTTTCCGTTTAAACTCAAAGAGAACAGAATGACAGAGAGACAATTTGTTTTCCTTCCACACGTATTCCGATATCTTAGCACATAGAATCGTTCGATATACTCTAAGAGAACGTTTGATGTAATCGTGACATATGTCCACTAACATTAGTGTGAACGTGTGTCGGCTTGTAACAAACGTTTTGACAGATTAACACCAACATTGATGATGATGATGATTGAAGAACAACTTATTTCAACTCTTGAAAAACATTTCTGTTTTGATTTCTAGCGTATTCATACAGGTGAAAAGCCTTTTGTATGTGACATATGCGATCGAGCCTTTCGTCAACCAGGAAACTTAACGCGACACAAATTAACTCATACAGCAGCTAAACCGTATGCATGTGGCATCTGTTCTAAAGCATTCAATCGAGCATCGAATTTACACGCACATCAACGTACTCATTCATCAATGATACCGATGACAATGAAACCAATGGGAATGATGACAACAATGTCCAATAATGATCATAATAATAACAACAATAATGGTCATGCTTCTTATAAGTGTGCGTATTGTCATGATGTTTTTCAACATAAATTCGAGCTTAATCTACACACAGCTGCACTGCACAGTTCTGGTAAGTTCTATTTGGAAAGAGATGAAGTCTGTTTTAATAAAACTATTTGATTTTAGAAGTGAGATTATTTTCGAATGGCAATAATAATAATAATCATGAGGAAGGTGAAGTTGACGACGACGATGATGAAGATGACGAAATGGAAGATGAACAATTGTATGGAAAAGAAGAAGAGATGTCGGATGACAGCGAACAAAACATTGATTTACTTGAAGATTAACTCATTCTTTTTCTGATTTTTCTCAGCCGGTTTTGTTGTCTTGTTGTCGCGTTCTACTGTATAGAAATAAAATAATCAAATATATGAAAATAGTCTATGGAACAAAAATCGCTGCGCTCCTGCCTATACTCATTGGCTGGTACATTATCAGTTCTTATCCATATGTACAAAGAAGATGTTTCCATAAAGTATTTTCCATTAAACACAAAATAATCGATTACTTGTCAGTCATTATGAATATTTGCTAATATACCGCCTGATTAATACTTGAGTATTACTATCGTTTGATTTCTAGTTTAATGCATTGAATAAGAATAAAATAACAGAGTGATACGGTCTACAAGAAGTATCTAAAACCAACCTTTGCCGAATGTTTCGATTGAAAATTTTGTATGGTGCTCATCACCATTGCTTGATACAATTTTTAGCTATTTCAACAGATTTCATATATTAAGGATGCTATTTTCAATGCGTTGCCAACATCGAATGGAGCGATAATTGCTAATCGAACATGTCCTCACATGTTCTTTTTCATCTTCGTATTTCCTGCTCAATTGTTCACTCTATTGATACATATGTGTTCTATTCTAATTTTCCACGGGAATATCAAATGTGATCAATGGTCATATCTGTTTCTTTCGACAAGCCTTTCTCAATAAATGTCTATGTTGAATGTTTAATACAAAGTTATTGTAAACAATAGTAACACACTCACTGGAGTCAGTAGTTTTACATCAAATAGTCTAATTGAAGTTCACGACATGATTTTTCTTAAAAACGGAGAGACAATAGTAGTTATGTCGACGAATAATCAATTTAGTATTGTACCAACAAGTCCATAAACAGTTCGCCAATTATTTCGATTTGCATAGACTATTAGCTGGTAACGATACATTTCTCTATTCAATTTCATGCAAATTCAGCTATTTTTAATACGAATGCATTAAAAGAAAGTCTTATTTTCAATGATCCACTGTTTTATCCATCGTTTGTGAATAACCATATAATAACGGACGAATTCGATCGCCATTTTACATCTACTAAATTCTTCTATATTTGCTGTGATTGTTGCTGATAAATTCAATCGAACTATTGAAATTAAGCGTAATACTCATCGTTGATATCTGAAGAAGAAAAATCGATTCGTACGACGAATAATAGGCAAACGTGTTTAGACGAAGCTCTTCGAAGTATGGCGTTGGATAAATATTTTGTAAATGCACTGTTTACATTGAATGTAATACGTTCTCTGAACTGTATCGTGATGAACAAAACAAATGAACAAAAGACGTACATTCAAAGGTCAGAAGAGATTTATTTCTAGTCTTTGCTGAATGTTTCAAACTTAATTTATTCTTTAATCTTTTAGTAAACATACTTTCTACATTCAAAGAATAGAAGACATCACCATCATTGTCGAGAGATAAAGAACATTCTTTAGATACTAAATTGTATTAAATAACAAAGGAATTTCTTGTTTGGTCATCAGTTTATGTGTTACATAGGACAAATCAATGTTAACTTTCAAACAAACCGTTTTTCTTCTAGTAAGTATCATTACGATATTGGCGTTGATTGCAATAGCTACCGGACTTTCACCACTCTATTGGCCGCATCCGAAAATACTCACAAGTGAAAGTAATGATTGCGATTTTTCAAGGATCTTGTCAAAGATCACCGATTCGTTTCAGATAATGTAACACGAATTATTATTAAAAAAGTGAACACTACACACGCAATAAAAACACAATTAACCACTCGTCCGAGATCAATCACGAAGAAAACGCTCCTTGCAGCTTCTGTAAGTAGCATCACGACATTATTTACAACATTGTCGACAACAACTTCTCAACTGACAACAAACTCAACTATCACTAATTGATCGATGATCGACTTGTTTCGAACTTGTATTTACTAAACGCTGTTCGCTGTAGATTTTCTATGTATCTTTGAGGGTATAATTTATCGAATGAAATATGGCATCAGTTGACATTCAGAAGACAAGATTGGACTATCACCATTGTAGTCCACAACGAAATAAATCACTATTCTGTTCTGTTTTGTAAAATCTCAACGCACTTTGTCGCTATATTTTGCGTAACTATGAATGACGAGACAGTAACGAGCCTGTCGATGGAAGAACGCAAGACTTCTAGCCATCTGTAGAAAGCAGAACAGAAAAAAAAATAGAAAGCTTCATTCGTTGAGTTTGACATAGCATGACATCGTACTTTTACCGATGATTCGATCAGGTTGAAATAAACGATGAAAAGCACGTTCAAGGATCTATGCGATGACGTTATCATCGAACTTCTTTCTTATTTCAACATCCATGAAATATTCTATTCATTTTGTTTATTAATTCCGAACTTACCAAGTCTACTGAAAGATGGGCGTGTTCAATTACATGTTCGTTCGAACAATACTTATTTTATTCGATGGATTTTACCACATATTAGTTTAACACAAGTCGTTTCACTGAGTGTCCCGACTCGACCTTATAATCCATCGATATTTAAGTTTACCAATCTTCGCTCGCTCGTTCTTTCTGACGTGGATAATCCATTGAAACTCTTTGAAAGAAATTCTGATTGGCCGCCATATCGTCTCGAGTATTTATCCTTATCGATTCGAAATCCCGATGTGCGAAACAAATCGTCAGATATCGGTACACGAGTGCTTGAACATGCCTTTCAGCTGCGTGGGTTGAAGCGTTTCGAATTACACGAATCGAAATCAAGCTTACGAATGGTGGAATTATTCAATGAACTAACTTTCCCATCAACATTTCGCTCATCAGATCTCGAACGTGTAATCATCAGTATCTATTGTCATTGGTTAACTCTACAATCGATTCTCTCGTATCTACCTCGTCTAATCCAATTCGAATTTCATTCGAGTTTTAGTTATATTCAAAAACTTTCTCCTGAACTTCGTTTTCCTTTTATTAGGAAACTTGATCTGCACATTGATTGTTTACAAACAATCATTCTCGGTGGAATCTTTCGACACGCATCTAATCTTCGCTATTTTAAATTAGATTGCTCGGTGTGTCCTTTTCAACAATATCACATCGACTTATTGCAAAGTAAAACTTGGCTGCAATGGATAGACACTTACACACCTCGATTGAGAGTTTTGGACGTGGATATTAAATTTCGTCCAGATGATATCAACGAAACAACTGTTGTACCGATCGGCAAAGATCTTGAAAGACTGAATTTTGAGATTAGTGTCTCTCTAGATATTGGAGACCGTTATTGGAAAATGGTAGGTAAATATAATAAAACAATAACAAAAAAGCGTTAACAACATCAGTACTCTTTCTCTCTCTCTCTTGGCTATTTCCTCTGGTTCCCTAGTCAAAACATATGCCTAAAAAAATATCTCAGCAAATGATCAACCAAAAGGGAATGATCGCGCATTAAGAAAGTCCACAAAAAACTGCAAATAAAATCTGTTCTCTCTGAAATAAATGCTACTTTCTGCTGTCAAATAACTTAAGGGGCAAAATTTTATGAGATTTATCGTAGAATTCTTTTCACTAGTTGGTCGAATCAGCACTTCACAATCCGATGATGATAGCATTACCGATTGATGCTTTCTTTGTCCAGATTGATCAAGCAGAGACAAAAATAGATTGTAAGTAAATGGAAAGGGTAGAATGGCATCATATTCTGAGCAAAGTAGCTCAATGGAAACCGATAAATACCGTTCATTGTGATTTTCTTCATTGATTGTTGAAAACGCGTTGAGAACAAACGAATAACCGAAAGGTGCTGTGTTGAAGATTGGTGAAGCGAGAAAAAATGATGAATTAATACTATCTGGTTGTAAAGTAAATGGAAAAATAATCATTCCACCGTTATCCAGCAGAAAAGTTTGAAAGCATGAAGAGGATTTTTTTGTATTGACTAAATTCTTTGAAGTGCTCTCTTCCAGCTGTACGAGACTTCTAAGACTTTCATCTGTATCATTGCTCATTTTTACTATTGCTTGTGATTCGGAGCACAATTGCTCGGTTTTGTTTTTCGATTCATCATGTTCCAATTTTAATCGTGTCCAATCACCTGCTAACATTTCGATAATTGGAACAAGAGTATTTACAAGTTCTTGAAATTCGACTAGTTGTTCATGTTTAATCTGACTTGACGTGTATTTAGAACTTAAAGATTGCCTAAAAAATTCTAGTAGAATATGTTGATGTTTCATAGATGAGTAGTGTGCTTTTGCATTAGACCATAAAACCTACGCATCACCGAAAACAAATCATTTAGAAGACTATATGACTTTCAGAATGTCATAACTCACCACTTCGCCACAACCAAGCAAATCACAGCTTACACTTCGATATTCACATTGTTCTTCTCGATGTTCTTCCAATGAGTTCTTCGCCACAAAACATTCTTCACAATCTTCACATTTCAACACTGGATGCTCCATTCTCAAATGTTCCTGTCAAAACATCAGAAATCCATGCCTCGCTACTCTTACCTACTCTGCTCGTTACTTACAAGGTAGTCCCGATACATTCCATTCCAGTCGCATACATAACAGTCAACCAAGACTGTATTCAATTCTCGTGCTACACCACGATCAGCTTGATTCTATTGGATAACATCGCTTTCGCATTATACGGATAAACATATAGGCACATGACGGTCTCACCTGTTTCTTCATTTGTTGTGCGTGGCAAAACGGGCAGACGAATGGCTGACTAATCAAAGATCAGAACGCAAAAAGTGAGTGTGGGAGGACAACGAAGAGGTGTGTACTTGTTAGAAAGTCCTTTTTTGGAGCACCATCGACAGAGCCGAACACCACAACACAGGAGTTGGCAAGGATGCAGCAACACGAGTTGACATATCTGACACACTTGGGTGCTTTCGATCTGTTGATAATTGCGAACTTCAATTCCACCTAGTGATACGTTATTCTTGTCTATCGACGTGATCATCTGATTCATTGTAACAGATTGATGATTTGACCGAAATATAAAACAATGAATTTGATTTATAGCAACGCTATTTAATAGTGAGAGTGAGTCATGAATATGATTATTTTATTTTTTCACTTTTAAATGAGTAACTGGTGGAGAAAAATGAATAACGCGCTCCCCCATATCAAACAAAGGGCCCTCAAGTTCTGAAAAATTGAGACTGCAGTCAAGTCTGTGAAATAATTGACTGGCTAGTTTTACACAAATTATAATACTCCTATTGAGAATAAGAGCAAATTTTACACTATTAACACCTATCTCCATACGGTGAGAGGTACAAAGAATCGATAAATGAATGCTACGTGCTTGATGACTTTGTATTCTAACATACTTAAAAAGACTTCAATCAAGGAACTGCATCGTTGAAGAAAAATGATAGTCGTAAACCTGCAAGCAAAGAGATCAAATAACAACTTGAAGAATCTTATTTCTCATACACTAATATACGAAGTAATGACAAGAATATATAGGCAACGCGTATAACACTGACGGAAGCTGTTTTTCGTGACAAAACATGTACTATTTCCTAGAAAAATTATGTGCTTTACTTTGTACTTTTTTTTCTGAAAGTCATGCGCGATGACTAAATAGGTCTTTTATTAGTAAACACTTGATCGAGTGGGCAAGCTCATGAAGATTGTTACTTACGTACTATTAATTTACTTAGTCGGTAAGAATCATTTTAGTCAATTACTCTGTAGCTTCTTTATCTACGCGAGTATGTCACGATACTGTCATCTATTTCGTACTAACTGAATGTTACTTTGTCGACCAATGAACAAAATTTCTAATCTTGTCAATATTTGTTCGTACTATAAGAGTTAGCTTATAATAAATTTCTCTCGAAGGCCTTCACAAAAGAAACATTGGGTAAAAAAACCCGAATCTTATCTGTCCCCTACTCAGACATCATCCGAAATGTGGTACAAGTACCTATTCATACAGTTTACAGATATCAGCAGCCTGCAGTCTTTGTCAAAGTATATGTATACATACAATTCGGATACAAGACACTCAAGAATCTATAATTATCTCAACTAGTTGTGTTATACTGCGTAAAATCCTGAAAGAATATATCAATTCGATAGAGACTGACAGAAATATACGAGCTTAAGAATACTGGAGCGCCTCTTATAGATGCGCACATAGATGAATCATTGTCTGGATCAACATGCTTTGTGTAAACAAGTCCCTAAAGAAACAGAGCGCTTTGTGATACACCAGTCTTATTCCAAGTATATGCACATTTTCTGACTCAGACCGAACCTTTTGTTTTTGCAACTGGGTTTTTCCTCACTAAGTTCTATTGGGAAAATCCAACAAGAAGTTTATTTTTAGTAAATATTTGCAAAATGTTAATAGATATAGCTAACAACCTTTCGTGTTAGTCGTGTAAGCCTGAAATCAAATATAACTTTATAATTGAAAAACGATAGAGACAGAAATACAATTACACATATTCAGAAAGATATCTTCTTTCAAATAATTGGTTATTTTTTGTATTTACTCTTTTAGTAATCCTAGTATTAAAATATTATATTTGAGATTTTGTATGCATATTCTATCAACGTATTTGGATGTTCATCTGCTAAACCGTGCACCGTTCACATCGATTCATCTTATCTGTTTCATTTATTGCAAGATTGTAACGCACATTCCGCCACTATACAGCAATCGACATATTTGACAGCGTAGAACATTTTCGATCAATTGACAGTTACGAACTTTTATTCCATTTAGTGATACATCTGCTAATAACGCCATTTTCATAGATATTGCTCACGTCAAAATTGTAGACAATATTTGAGCTAAAGACTGCACTGCTTTGACAACCGTCTATTGTGTTATACTTCTAACACTTTTGCCGATCTCACTCGTCTGATTACTTTTAGTTGGTCGTAGTGGAGTAATCAGCATCAATATCTTGCTGAATAGTGTCTATAGAAGGACTTTTAATACATTTTACTGAATATTCGTTTTTCTTTTAGAAACAAAAGCTAAGCACCACCATGTTTCTGTACGTTGACAGGATTGCTTCAGGTATCCAAGATCGTTGTGTGAGAAGAAAATACCTGCTTCAGTACACATACATTTCGAGAAGATCTATCATATTGCAATTATTTAATATAATATTGACGCAAAAAAGAAAACGAATGGTAATTGCGAAAGATCGTCATTATAAAAACAAATCTATTGCAAATTACCACACCTTCAATATCTGTAGGCGTTTGAATCATCAATTAATAAAATACATCGAATTTTACAAACAAATTCCTACGAATGTTTATATACACAGTCGATTTTGACACGAAACAGAAATGAACATTCTTTCATGCAAATGAATTATTGTATATCAACTGGAGACACTATGAATCACACTGTTAAATAACTTATGATTCATTCTATCCAGACATTGAAAGGCTTTTCTTTTTGAAAGAAAGTATCAAATTTAGTGGATTATTCACAAACGTAATTGGAGATTTTTTTGGAAATGAAATCAAATTCTTGCTATTTTTCATTTGATGCTTTATTACACTATTATAACAGAATGATTGATGCATTCGAAATCGATCAGAATAATTTCGCTTTCAGATCAATGCACATAGCTCCATCTCTACAGAGAGACATGATTTTTATCTTTGGATTCTGTTCTAAGAATGCCATCTCGCATTTAGGCAGTTTTTAGGGTAGATATATGTCGCTTTCTTCAACGTTAACTGAAATAAATCAAGTAGCGACAGACACGTTTGTTCTTCGTACAACACGAGCACGAAATCTAATCGCCATGAAGAAACAAAAATTGATTTCGCAGTGATTCTATGCCTTTTTCTGCCGGAGCATGGCCTATTCGTAATTATTTCATTCTTTTCGCGCTCACATGATAGTCATTCCTATTCATATAAATCACATTTCTATTATATAGGTAAGTTGTCTTACGATGACAACAAAGAAATATCTTCTCGTCTTATTTGCACGTGTTTCTATCGAATATTTTTTATATTTCTTATCCGATATGTTGAGTATAAACATTCGAAATGATAACAGTACGGGACGACCACATATAAGAGACATATCTGTCGTACGGAGATGAAAAAAAGTCCATAGGCCACAGCTGCACTATTCGCTCTTCATTATTTTATTCTAATTTTAGATGGGTGATCCACTGAAACGTGTCGCTATTGTTGGTAGTGGTAATTGGTATGTTCATACTTGTATTCTGACATGATTGATCATAGAATTTTATTTGAAATAACTTAGGGGCTCAACCATTGCGAAGATTGTTGGTAATAACATTGAAAAATTCAATACCTTCGAAAATGAAGTACGAATGTATGTATATGAGGAAATGGTCGACGGACGAAAACTAACTGAAATCATCAATCAAGAACATGAGAATGTTAAATACTTGCCTGGTCATAAATTTTCACCAAATGTTGTGAGTGTCACCGACGAAGAGAAAAAGAATGTTGATTGTAAGAAAGAACATTCGTTTAGGTCGCATATCCCGATGTAATCGAAGCAGTCAAAGACGCTGATATCTTATTGTTTATTCTACCACATCAATTCGTCGAACGAACGTGTCTTGCAATCAAATCACATGTGAAAAGTACTGCCTTTGCCGTGTCATTTTCCAAAGTATGTCTTTGATGGAAACTCGAACATTTTCCTTATGTTTTGTATTCAGGGTTTCTATGTTGGCAAAGATAAACATGTCGATCTGTTATCCTCGGTAATCAGCCGATCATTGGAAATACCTTGCTATGTGTTAATGGGTGCAAATATTGCCACTGAAGTAGCAGCTGGTACGTTTTGTGAAGCAACAGTTGGCTCACGTAACTACGAACATGGACAATTGGTAAAAGGACTTATCCAAACGGATGAATTTCGAATTGTTATTAAACCCGATACGGAAGTTATCGAAGTTCTTGGTGCGTTGAAGAATATCGTCGCTGTTGCAGCAGGTTTCTCCGATGGGTTGGGTTATGGTGACAATACCAAAGCAGCTGTTATTCGTCTTGGTTTAAAAGAGATGGTAAAATTTTGCGAAGAATTCTTTCCCGGTTTGTTCTCGTAAAGTAATCAATAGAAAATCGAATGATGAGTTTCACTCTTTTTAGGACATCATCCACAAATCTTTTTAGAATCATGTGGTGTTGCTGATCTCGTCACGACTTGTTATGGTGGTCGTAATCGTAAAGTGGCTGCAGCTTTTGTCAAAACTGGCAAAGATATAAGAACGCTCGAAGAAGAGATGCTTAATGGGCAGAAACTACAAGGGCCTGATGCTGCTGCTGAAGTACAAGAATGGTTGAAAGAAAAAGGACAAGCAAACAAGTACGTTTTTAGTTGTCTAATTCAAATTCTCCTTGTCTATCTTTATTTCAATGTAGATTTCCATTATTTGCTGCTGTTCATGATATTTGTGAACGCCGAATGGATCCTAAAGCATTAATTGATGCTCTTCGTTACCATCCAGAGTTCTGGTAAATGTTCTCGCTAGTCAAGTCAAACACGAGATTATAAACCCATGAAACAATTTAAGATTCTTATTCTTCTGTTTGTTAGTTTAGCACTGTATGGTAGGGCGTTTTTCTTTAAACTTTATATATTCTCTGTTCGTTCTTTTCGATTTATCATCAACTTTCGATGATAATCAGTGATCTCAAATAAAACTTTATTGCAACAACCAAACCGACGCTTTTCACAGCGTCACACATGTTCACATCTTTATTGAATATTTCAAATTGCTTCACATTGTCATAAAACTCAAGGACATGTTCTCACTTCTTTACTCATGAATAATCTTTTTGCAGAAGAGAAAAACAACTCATTCGAATAACTAATTTTACAGTTGATACAATACTTCTCATGATCCATTACAAGAAAAAAGTTTCGACAATTTCTTTCTCCTGCTAAGTTATAATTTGACAAAATAGAAGAAAAAAAATGCAATATGATGAATATACGTGTACGCGGCAGGTAGTCTTGACGATGGTTGTTTTTCTCTCTCAAGAAATCGTCAGAAGAAAAGAAGAAACGCTTCTATTTGAACAAACATTTAGTGTACGTTCGCTTGCCGACCTTAACAAAAGGTTTACTTGACAAAAAACAACTTCTCACGAAACTATTTTACAATGTCGGGCCAAATGAGCAAGGAAGAAGTCAAAAAAGTATATCGAGAATTCCCCCAATTGATCATATCACATGTGCTTTTGTTTAGTTATTCAATGAATTCGATAATGGAAATGGACATTTGTCCTTGGCAGAGATTGATCGAGCTATTACTCATCGTTATCCGCAATTAGGAACAAATAAGAAAGCAATCATGCGAGCTTATAAAGAAGCCGATAGTAGCGGAGTAAGATATTGGCGAAACTCGATTTTGTTCTCACGTAAAAATATTGTTTCTTTTTCAGAATGGCTTTGTTGAACTACGAGAATTTCGAAAGATTATTCAGTTACTTCATCATTATGATGAGTTGAGCAAACTTTTCGAAGAATTGGATACCAATGATGATCATCGTATTAGTTATCCTGAATTCAAGAAAGGTTTTAGCCTGTTGGGTGAAGATGATACTGATGAACAGTTCTTACGAAAAGAATTCAATAGCATTGATACAAATCGAGGTGGTTACATTCTATTCGATGAGGTAAGTTCACGCGAACAATTTTCCACATCTGAGTGTTTTCTTTTCCATTGTGTTTATTCGCAGTTCTGCATGTATATGGCTAAACGAAAAGTGAATTGAATTAAAAGCAGAATATGAAATAAACACTTTTCCAATTCGATGTTGTTGATTATACTTCAGAGAAAAACGCTTATTATAATTAATTTTGCAAATAAATTATATTCTTTCTCTATCATCATCAATACTTTTATAAATCATCGACGAATTTACAGTTGAATTATTGGAAACTGGACTTATTCGACTGTTTATTACCGTCATTCGGTTGCACGAGATAAAGGCTTTCTTTCGCATAATGACGATGCTGATAGAATGAAATAATCAGAAGGTAAAAAAAACGTGTATGCGCATAACTAATTATCAGTTGAATTATTTATATAAAGAAACTGGATACCTAGAAGATCTTAGAAGGTAAAAGGTAGATACTCTAGTCACCTTGTTCGGAGCAACAAGTAAAACTAACATTTGAAATATATCGAATCGAATATGGACAAGATATGAATGCATTCTTATATGCACTACAGTCTACTGATAAAGTGAAGATTCGGAAAAGTAGGCTATGATATTCCATGCAATGTCGAAAGAATTATTACTGATAGTGTTATAGAACAACATAATTCAAGCGTAATCATATACCTTATAGAAGATGGATGATTTGTTTGTACATACCAATCAACAAAAGTAGAGTATAGTAATTCCAGTCGAATGAAATAATACTAGAAAATTTCACTTCGGAGCAAAATGTCAGAAACTCAGATGCACATCGAGTGAGTCGACATCCTAGTTCTTATTATATAAATATACTTTTCACACCTTCATAGAAAGCACCTTCGTACTTCTTCTAGATGTCATGTGCACAGCTCTTGACTTTTGTTTTAGAAAAAAGATTATACTGATCAGTTCAATAATCTTCAGTATGGTTTTCATCATGTAATCAAATCATCTGTGATGATTCCGCTGTATCAAATGTATGTAGAAGTGTAGACAAAAAACTTCGTTATTCGTTTTATCTCTTGAATATGTATTATTGGATTGCTGGAATGAATCCGAAAAGAACACAAATAATTAATAGAAAAACAACAAACATCTGGGCTCTAGTCTAGTTCCACACTCGATATATGTGAGATTGGGGATATGCGATTTACATGTGCTGTCTTGTTACACAGCATTCGCCAGTATTTCTTTACCAGAACGTATCGCACTTGTCGACGAAATCGTGTTGAAGACATTAGAAATAAATAAAACGAGCCCTATGAACAAAGAAAGAAAAAACAAGTTATAAACCAATGTCAAAGTACAGTGATGCTACATACAGAAAAATTTAAATAAAATAATGCGAAAGCAATCGTTCCAATCAGATCTGCGATGGCTGGAGAGACTGAACCTTTTCTCCACATATGACTTTGAAGTGAATACACACGAAAAAGAACATAAGGTAATGTAATAATCACCGAAAATGCAACACGAGCAATGATCATCGAAGTTAGCTGCTGGTCAATTCGTCGACGAAAGATCGGTATATGACTTCGTACAATAGCGCGAATATTAAAAGAAGCTAAGACTGCGAACACCGACATGATTATAATTGGCAAAAATCCCGTCCATATTAAATAATATACATACGTAATATAAACAAGAAATCCATCACTTATTATCACGCATTTTACTGTTGATTTATTATCCATAAAGATCAAAAACAGGATGCCATGTAGACTCCAAATGATAGTCGCCATACCTGTAAGGTAATGCGCAAGGTTAAGTGTACTCAAAGTTTTCAAATATGATTGATAACTAGTGGCTAAATACTGATTTATAGCTGCAAAACAAGCAATAGTAAACGAGATAAGTGTACAACTTGTTGCAATAGCAGAGCGTAATTTGCACCAGACGATGGATGTTTGTGTAAGATCATCATCAAAACCACTGATTGCGATACGAGAACTAAATGAAATGATCAATTGTACTGAATTAACGATGGATTCAATAGTTAAAAAGAAAGCGGACGGTCTATTACGAAATCGTCTCGAACTTGTGAAAACGAGTATATCGATAACATGACCAATCAACCCGCCGAATAATATGATAAAACTAAATAAATTGGTCAGATATCGAGAAACACCGTATATCTCGTCCTCTGTCATCACGTTGAATGTTCACTAGCTCTACTGTTTTATAAATATTCATAGAAAATTTCTACGCAGAAAGCTAATATATCATTATCGTCACCGTGGTGAATGAAGATATTTTTGCACTGAGTATCACATATCGAATTTTTAATTTATGCAGGTATGTTTTTAGAGAGAAGTCATTTTGATGCTTATACTCATTATGAAGTTGTCCTTGAAGAATATAACAAACATGCATCGTATAAATATGTACTGATGTGCAAGAAATCTCACAAATCAGTGTGTGATGTGAAGTGTTTGAACTGAATGAACTTTATTTGGGTTTATGAAGAAGGTTCAGCGTCTTACGCTGAATGGTAACTATAAGTATCCACTTTGAACTTTGGCTTGAATATTCTTATTACACTCACAGTTCGTTATAGAAGAGAATAGTAGGTCGCATGAGCGTCTTGATTATATTCTGTGTACAGTTCACTAAAAAGGAGCACTTCCTCTGAACTTCCCATGTAATTGTTATTTTTTTACGTATGTCCGACAAAAACAATGCGCAAGCTCATTCGAATTCACTTCTTTCATCGTTAGCTGGCACGATTTGATTCGTCACTGGAAGTCGACAACATCGGCGTCCATAACCCTTCAAAAACGCAAATGTATATCGAATTTGTCGACGGAATCTCGACGATACCAATATGAATAGATAGAACGTACACTAAAATGTATAATGTTCATAAAGCGATACATCATACAATGACTTACAGCAGGATTGATATAAAATAAAGCATATGCAATATTTGATACCAATTGATGAATAGCTATGCGAACGGTGTCGGTGGAATTCACTGTAACGTTTAGTACATAAATTCGAAAGACGATTGATGGGAGAACTGTAGAGACAAGAGATGCGACTTTGGCTAAAACCATAGCTGTCAACTGCTTGTCCAGTTTTCTTCGAACTACTTGCATCCGCATTTGAACAATCCGACGAACATTGAGATAAGCCAATACACTAAAAGTTGTCGATATCAGAATAGGTATAAATCCATTCAATATGATATAATGAAAAAATGAGTAATATTTCGAGAAATCTGCATTGTATATATTACAGCCTGTGTCTGGATGGAGTTCGAAAAAGAATAAGAATATCGAATCATAAAGAATCCAGACAATAATACTGATATACACGAGACCACGAGACAATCTGAACGTGCTCATTTGTCGTAACCAAGCATGATAATTGGTTGATAAATACTGATCAATCGCTGCAAAACAGATCGCTGAAAATGTCAGAAGTGTTAACGTGTGAGCAATCATTGGTCTTAGTTTACACCAGACAACTGAAGTTCGAGTGTAATCAATTGTAAATGCTAATTCCAGAATACGAAACGATAAAGCAATAACTAATAAACAACAATCGATGATCGTTTGGGCAAGAAGATAAAAAGCACAGTGATTGCGTCGAAATAATTTATAACATGAAAAAACAAGTATGTTCATAATATTTCCAATTACACCAGCAATTAAAATAAGAAGATATCCGTAGATAGCCAATTGTTTTGAAACAAACAAAATCGATGTCGCGATGTCTGTTGATGACATTCTAAACGAATATTTTAGAGCCAATTAAAATAAAATCTTTAAAGGTAGAATAATAAATTCAAAATGTGGATATCTATTCAAATTGCCCGTGTCTCTCGTTTAGTTTTTATGAAGTCAATTATTAACTAGAAAATAGCATTTAGGTAATACCTCTAGACGTTTCCTAATAGTCTGTTATTTCTATAAAAACGGTTTAATTAGGAAGCAACTCATTTATATCATATTCATTAGAAAATGAGGAAAGAAAATCAAATGGTTCATTCTCCACGAGTCTCAACTTGATGTCGGTAATTCAGAATGAAGAGTTAACTGTGATAGACAGAATTAGTGATTAAATGTTTTTTGTTAAAGACATTTATGCAAGTCTAAAGCATTATATAGAGTTCAAAGCAAGTTTTTGAGTCTTACAGGTCAAGTTGAATGTGTAAAGAAATTTTATTAAAAACTAAATTTATCATTCTGTATTATCTATGAGTTAGTTCTGGCTGATGCTATTCTGCTTTGAGCGGTGTCGTACCGATGATGATGCTGCATGATTTTCATTCATTGGCGTCGAAACTCTTTGTGGAGCAACAAAATGAAATTTTTTAAACATCTTTCAAAAAATTATCACGCGGATTACGTACGCTTTCAGCACTAATGATAGTTGAAATTAGCCATAAAAAGTCCAAGTGCGTTTGTCATATTCCATTACTGATACCTGCCAAAGCATTCGGTGCAATGTATCGTGACATTGACATGTAAATCATTAGAATTTGTTCATTCTAAATTACAGCCTCGAAATATAACATTCTGTTAAGTATAGGTGACTTTATAATTACAAATCTCATTAGAATTATTATATATAAGAGTCGTTAAGAAGGTTTAGATGACATAAATAGAACTCCAGAATATTCTACTGAACGACAGTCGTTAATCTTTGCTGGAAATAGATAGAATCTTCAAAACGGTTTCGGATTCTCATGAGCAAAGTTGAAAGGTTTTGAAGAAACGAAAACTATGCGTAGGTGAACAGTTTGGATGATGTTACTACCAATACAGAGAGGGTATAGGTCACCAACAACGATTATTCTTCGTACGTGAATACCATCATTTCCAGTGGGGTAATTTTAGTCTTTTTATGTGCAGATCTTCTGATACTATTGTTAGGTCATCTCGAGACAATACGTGTGTTTCAATCAATACGCTTTCAAGCACAACAGGATCTCAAAAGTTGAATACGTGCTATAGTATTCTTGCTTTTATTGAAAAGGTTATTTACTGAACAAGAATATATGTGTTTAAAACTTGGCTTTTAGCTTAGCTCATCGTCTGCTATATGAGAGCCGAACTGTTCAGGTATTACTTGGTTCTCTGTATGAAGTAGTCGAGAACAGTTCATCATACGAAGCATCGGTTTTCCGATCGCTTTTTTCCACACATATCTGAATTGTTGCCGAAAACGTTTGGACACAAATAGGAAAACGTAGAACGTGCCCTATAAGTAAATAACAATATAAATAAAGAGATTTTCAAAATAAAGAACAAACACTTACCGCTGAATTTATGTAGAATAAAGATGAAGTAACAGTTGAGATTAATTGTTCAATAGCTACTCGTAACGAATCGTTAGGATCAATGTATATATTCATGAAAACAATACGATTGACAACGAATGGTAAAGTAGTAACCACTAAAAACATCACTTTTGTTAAAACCATCGCTGTGAGTTGACGATCTAATCGCCGTCGAATGATTGGGATTTGACGTCGCACAATGCGACGAACATTTAAATACGCAAGTGACGCCGAAATTGCTGAGATTGTGATTGGCAGTATTCCGCTGAGTGTACAAAACTGAACGTATGAATAGTAAATAAGAAACCCTCGATTATACACTGCACAGCCAGCTGGTTGTTTTATCTCGAAAAATATTAGAAACGGAATCCCATGTAACGTCCAAAGACAGATGGCAATAGAAACCAGCCGATGAGCCGATCTCAACGAACTCATTTGTCTCAACGAAGGAATATAATGAGTTGATAGATATTGGTCAACTGATGCGAGGCATATTGCTGAAAACGACAGAAGTGAAAATATCGGAACGATGGTTTGTCGGATCTTACACCAGGCAAGCGAGTAGCGCATCGCATCATAACCATATCCATAATCAGCTATACGCAATGGTAGAACAATTAATAGTAAAAATAAATCTACGATAGCTGCAACAACAAGATAGAAGGCCCATTGATTAAGTCGAAATACTTTTAGCGTACGAAAAACAATTATATTACAGATATTGCCTACAATTCCAGTGAGGAAAATGATAATATATACGACAATTGTGTATTTTTGAGATACGAAAATAATTGATTCAGCTATTGTCGGTGACATTTTAAATTCTGATATCGTCCTCAGTTACTAAGAAGAAAAAAGAAAATGAAAGCAGAATATTAGGTCGTAAATAAGAATTCGCCTGATGTAATAATTAGAGTAATTTCAAAGAATAATCTCTTTTTTGCACGAATGCTGACGGGTGTGAACTTCAACTTCTTCTGACAGCATGTCTAAAATTGTTATTTCTAATCCATTCGTCTCATGATCATCACCTTTTGAGTAGACATTCAGCGGCGATGATGATAATGGTTCCATTAGAAGTATTGACATTCTGTTCTTTTCACGGTTCACTCACCCTTTGACTCTAGAGATACTCCTGGAGATTTCGATTGTGACAATGTTACATACGGCGCCTCATTAATTTAGGACGAAAGCAATACTGTTATCAAAGTCATGAAAAGCGCATTCTCCATTTCTCGACATGAAAAAAGAATTCCACCAGTATACGGTGTTCTTGATGCCATCATATGGCGTCTAATCCTGAAATAAATAGGCCGTTTTCTAGAAAAAGATTGAAATATACTTTATTTTGAATCAATTTAAAAAAGTGAACATTCATGGTTAAATTAGCATTTTTTTGCTTTCCTATACATATCACAAGGAAATGTGTAAACGATTATTTTTATCATTAAATTCCACTTGTACTTTGCTATTTAATGCATTTAATGCTTTGTAATCTGTAAACCAGGAGAGAAAAGTTTGTTGATCGATACATGCATTGGCGTCATGAAATGTAAGATGAATATCCAACAAATGTTGAAGTTTTCTCAAGCAATATGCGAGAAAAATGTATATGTTCTGAGCATCTTTCAATTCCAAATAGAGATAACGTAAGTTAGGAAGATAAGTGCCCATTTGACGAAGAATATCTGTGACATTTGAAACAACAGTCGATGTGAAGTCGATTGTTAAGCTGGTAATGCGAGGTGCAACTGTGGAAATATGTAGTAATGCATCAGATATACGAACACTTTGAACATTGGGTAAAATATTCAACAATTTCGAAACTAGAATAGAATAGAAAGTTCTCGGTGTGAAGTTTCGAAAGATATTTACAGAAATTGGTCGGATAGACTTGTTTGTACAGATAGATGCGTTTAATATTTGCGAGTGTTGAAGAAGAAAATAATTTCTGCAGATCAATTAGTATCGCGTCAGAATCATACGATCCTGAGTCGGTTAGTTCCGATGTAAATGATAAAGATTTCAGATTGGTATAGGCACGATTTGGTAGAAGAACATTCGCTGGTGGACTGGGATGTAAAACAAAATGTAGCTCATACACTTTCTTATAATCGTTTTTTTTCTCTTCATTTGGTCTAAAGGCAAACAATCAATCCAATCAAATTCACTCTTAAATCTCATCTATTTTACACTAGGTCATATGTATTGTCACTGTTCTGGGTTGGATATGTTTGTACCCCGTATAGATATGTTCGTACACTGTCTTTCTGCATCGGTAATGTGTATAACATGACATGCCGTTTGGACGATCCTTCATTGTAGTATTCGATAACCACTGGCCAACGATCCCAGAAGAAAGATGAAAATGATTGGATCATTTTTTCTAGATCGATTAGGATACGCATTGGAACGTGCGTCTCATTGATGAATAAGGAGAATTTTTTTAAAACAGGAAGAGAACTCGTGATAACACGTTCCCAATTTGCTCCATTTGAATAATCTTCGATGAGAAGTGATGAGAATGAGAATTTGATTAGTTTGGGTAATTGACGAAGAAGAATTTCAATTTCGAAAAAAGGTGTATGAGTTACTTGTAATGTCAGGTTAGTTAAGTGCAGAATACGTTCAGAAAGACCATCATAGAGAGTATGATCGAAGTTCTCCTGCGTCCATGAAAATAGATTTGGTCTATTGTAGCACATTATGTTCAATGTTTGAATATTTGGTAGGTGACGGAGTAATGATCCGAAATGTTGCATATGACATCCATTTAATATTAAATGAGTTATTGATGTGTTTATATCTAGAAAGAATCTGTTTGATCTCTAAGAAAAGGTGTATGTATCATTTACCAATGCCATTGTCGTATATGATCGAATCATGCAATGCTAGGTAAAGTCGTTTGAGTGTTTTCATTTGAAAAAGAATCTTTAATAGGCTATGGGAGTAATTTGGTGTTTCTCGTGCTCGTCCGATGGATGTTAAATGAAAAGATTCGAGATTGTTGGCATATTGTAAAGTGTCATAAAGACTATTCATGGTTGGATCCCATAAAATTAAACATCTTACGCGCTGAAGAATAGCTTTGCGTGTTTCAAAATCAATTCCTAAATCTTCATCATTAGCAACAAAACGTTTCATACGATTGTACGTATCAGACAATCGTAAACTGATAATCTGTTCCCGGGCATAGGATAATACTGATTGATAGTGGATATCAAGTAAATATTTAGGTAAAGCATTGCCTAAATCAACACCCAATGGTTGCAGATTAATCAATATATTCAAACGTCGATTTAGATTGAATAGAGATGTAAATAAATCTCGTGGACGACAGTAGGTAAAGATATCGAGAAGAAGTTCATTGGGCAGATTTTCGAATTTTGAAATTACTTTTGTCATGAATATTTCTATCTAAAAGAAAACCTCTTTATATGCATTGCCATGTTGATTATTTCTTCCACGCAGACATATATTATCCTTGTGCTGATCTTAAGAGCAATCTCATCAATCTCATTGCCTATCAAATCTACAGTTAAGATCTAACATCTCATTTGATGTGTCTTCCAATTGTAAATAATTCCAAGAAATGAATCATTGCGTAAGATGCTTGAAATTATGTGAGTATAAGTCGTAATTAACGTTGGATTACTTACGGTCGTTTGAAATTGTTTAGAATGAAGAAGTTATACAAGTAACTGCGTCGAATATTCCACCAATCTGCCGTGACCGTTGTGTAGCCGAACTGAAAACTTATTTACTTCAATAATAACATAACTGTTTAGCTAGAACAAAGAATACATATTTATTTTCAAGTCATAGCATCTTATTTCTTAAATATCTATGTATACCCTTGACTGTCATTGGCAATTTCGACTGATTTGATCACAAGTAACCTTCATGAGTGAATGTTCATGAATTTTGTCGAGCAAACGATGCAGCTCATGAGGAAAAAACGAACTGCTTCTTTCTTCTCTCTTGTTCTTCAATCTTGATAGGCTGTTTAACGTATCGAAGCAAACTATAGTTTCATTCATCCACACGAAAGAGGCCGCACATTGTCACATCTTATTTAGAAAATATTTCCAAACTCCGCAATCGGCTTTTCTTACTGATTTTGTTCTGATAAGAGCAAGCCTTACTGGTCAGGTTTCTACAAAGTGAGACATTTTTAACAAGCATTGCACGAAAATCAAATGGGGCAAAATAGTAAACCATAGCGTAAACGCGCTGTCTCCATCATTATAGATAGTGTATCAAGACATTCATTTATTAAAAAAATCTGACAAATAAAGTAGACAAAACTTTAACGGTACGATTGGTTCTACAGGAAGAAAGGGCAATCAGGAGCGATTTTAGAGCTCAGAACGATACGTTCGCTTCTCACACCACCTTCCACATTGGTACTTTGATTCACCGGTAAGCGAGTCTCAGATGACACCGAGTCACTACAATACAAAATCAACACTCAGTTCATTCGACCATCATCTAACTGTCACAAGCTTACGTATCGGACTGATCATCACTCTTGATATACAGTGTCGCACGAATAGCTAACAAGTCAGCATACTTCACTGGTGCAGGAATCGACACCGAACGAGTACATCGAGCAAATGTATAACACAAAGCATAGGTTAGCATCTGCACTTCGTCCGGTTTCAACTTGTTATCGTCGTACAACACATAATAGTGTGTCGGTCGACTTGTTCCCTACAACAAACATCGCGTATCATCCCATCTGATCAACTGTTGACTTACGAGTGCACCGTGATGACTACATAGATAGAAGTCGTATTTGGTTGGATTGGTGATATCAGGCGAATCGACAACAGTGCCTGCTGGTACGTTCTTGTCTGATTTTGCTGGAAAGAGTTTTGTGTGATGTCGTTTGCTGACAACAATGTACGTCAGGTACGGACGATAGACAGGTGACAGCTCGACGCAAGCTTCTCGTATGCTCGTGAGCTCTTTATCGAAGACAGAATCGAATTCACCCTCTGAGATGCCATCACGATAGAAGACGATGGCGTTGGGTGGAAATCCTCGATGTTTTGCATATTGTGAGATGAGTGACTTCATGATCTGCTTGAGACTGACGATATGTTCTCGACTTTCGCCTCGTGTTTGAGGTGGTCGAAACTGTTGGTAGACTTCTTTGAAGTATCGGTTGGGTATGTCATCAGCAGATGCGACGACGGCAACCACAGAAGGCTGCGTGGTGGCACCGGGGGCAGGATGGCTAAGATCAGCACCGACATACATAATACGATGGCCACGGGTGAAGAATCGCTCGACGATTGGCCTAAAGCGTAGTTCAGATATATACATATAATCAATGATGAGTTAAGGTTTTAAATGTAAATAGTATATACTCACGGAACTTCAAGGACATGGTTTATTCCATTCAGTTTCGTATTTATTTTCAGTAAGATGTTATTGAATTTAGAATAGTCGATCTTGCCCGGGTTCCGCACATGACGACCGACGACCGTTACAGCACGGAGCATTTGCGTTACTACTCCAAATCCCCGTTCTAGCTCGCACTAAAATGCAGGCTAAATTATATCTGTACAGAGGATCGTTAAAACTGGTCTTACATGCTTCTTGGTAGAATTATAAACAACGGTGTTCCGCGTTTTGTCATCAGGCAGAATAATAAGAAAAAATTTGCAATCGTCATGCTTTGCTATTATATCACTTAATACAGTAATTATTTTCGCGGTCGAAAACCTACTAATTGGCTCCTCAACATAGATCTCAGGGGGTTTACAATCGATTCCTCGATCCTGTGAGACTACCCTCAGATCATTATAGAAGTCTTTGCATGTCTCTTCGTTGATTTCAGCTAAATTAATCATTGCCCACAATTGTGGGAAGTCAGCTGGCTTGTAAAATGTCGTACCTCTCACATCCCAATCGCCCATCTTTCTCGTGGTATCTGATCTCACTCGATATATGTCACTATAAACTACTTCTGGCATCGGCAAAACACGAGCTGGCACTGTCACCATTTTTACGTCTATATTCATCTGCCATGCAGCCACAAATGGATCACCTTCGAAACGCTGCTTCTTTGGGTCGGCACGTATCTGCTTGATTGCTCTCTCATATTCCAGCGGTTTCATCGTTGACACACGACACATCGTGGCTCTCTGTTCGTCAGTCACTTTCTTCACTCTCACAGGCTCGACATCGACCATTTCCATCGGGAGAAACGACCCATTACGCATTTCTAACGTCGGTAATGATGGATACCTAGTGTTGATTGAAAATGAACAATATACTCATTCCTCGACAGATGCTTACTTCAGTACGATCTCATACTCTTCTTTATAGTATTCTTCAATTGTCACTTCAATCCTCTTTGATTTCCAGTGAAACTTTTGCACATATGCAGGCAGTCCGAAGTCCAATATTTCGTAATCATGTGGTTTATTAGTATTGTGCGACTGAACACGGAGATCTATTTGGAAAGATCCATCGGAATTCAATGAGTTCATTCATTCACAACATCACAAGTCACTTACGTTTACAATGCTTCAACAAAAACTCAGCATCATTTCGATAGCTTCGGTTTCTTACATCAAGCCATTGCAAAACATCACCACCATCTGCCATTCGCACATCTCTCTGTCTACTATGTTTGGCTTTTCCGCTGGGACTTTGCACCATCACTTCACACACAAAATCCAAAAACGACTGCTTCTTCGTGAAAACAGAATGTTTCACTACAATCATCATAATCATTTAGTATCACCACCTTCATTCATCATCTACACACTTACCATCTAGATTCATCAGTAACTGATGTTTGCCCTTGGAAAATACCAGACACGAGTAGAATCCACGCCACGCTGCTTTGCCCAGCCCGAGATCCCATTCACAACCATGTCCGTCAGTGCTCGGAGTGAAGAACGAACGAGTGAACACAAATGATGCTTGTGATGAGCAGTGCTCGTGTAGTGCCACTGACAGCACCTGCTTCACCTCTTGCAAATCTTCGATTCTCTCATTCGTGAGTGATGATGGATCGAAGAGCTCGTTCAGATTTCGGATCAGTGCAAGATCAACTGGTATTCCCACTCGTTGNGACATGTTACATTTTCTGTGATGTCAGGAAGTGGCTGATCGAAGCTGAATATCGTTGACTGGTTGTCGAAGACGATCTTGTTCTTGTTCACCTGTGGATGCTGTCGACAGAATGCCAGAAGCCAAGAGTGATAGAAGATGCTAGAACATGAAGAAGGGTGTGATGGGAGTGAAGGAGAACGCGAAGTATGTTTACCGTCGTCGATCTCTGTGAATATCGAGATTTTTCTTGTTTCGAATGAGAATGTGATATTTGTAGATGAGACCTTGTTGTGGAAAGTGGAGGACGGGGAAGTAGTTGGTAGCAACGTCGATTTGTTGTCCGAGAGTGCCGAGTTGATCGGGTTTGGTCGGTCGATCATTGGTACCGAATTGTTGTTGAGTGAGATCGGTAACAGTCCAGAAGGGGTCCGGTGGTGGGTTGTTTCGTTTTGGATCTCCTCCGCGTCCTCGACCACGCGAGAGAGGACCTCGAAATATTGATGCTGGCGAATTAGTACTTGAAGCTGTGGAGATACCGGAATCCGATTCATTCGTGCAATGAAGCGTAATAAGGGATGTTGCTGTTGAACTGCCGGAACTGGTGCACGTCGAGCCGTCTAAGATTGAGGAATCTCGAGTGGGGCACGTACGTCCTCGTCCTCGTCCCCGTATTGATTGCAACATGATCTGGAATGGAGAGTCAACTACCAGAAATCGATTGAAACAAGTCTAGTTTGAAAGCATTTTATAACGAAGAATTGGGTAATTTTCCACAAAGGGAATATATTTCGTTACGTGTACAGTGTAATGAGTAATACAGATGAAACGTCATCCGTCGTTCATGAGTAGAGGCATTGCACTTGAAATAAAAGTTGTTTTCTTAAGAACATTAAGTTTCGTTTTATCAAGATTTTATGATCATCTGAAGTAATGAAATATTCTAATAGCATCTGCGAACTTCTAATTATCAACTATAGATGAAAATGTACAATATTTCTATAACTGCACAAAAGAACACCTAAGCACTTTTTTGAGAGTACAAAGATAATTTTATTACAATCAAAAGACCGTTTTTCTTGGCAGTTATCCTCTATATTATTTTATCATTTCAAGGTGCCCATAACAAATAAAGAATTAAAAGAAAACCGATCACTAAATAAAAATAAAATCTTTGGGAGATGAAGAAAATATAACGAAATCTATAAGAAGAAAGGGCACTCAGGAGCGATCCTAGAACTCAGGACGATACGTTCGCTTCTCAAGCCACCTTCCACATTTGTACTTTGATTCACCGGTAAACGAGCCTCAGATGATACCGATTCACTACNTCACTTGTGGATTCTGTCGACAGAATGCCAGAAGCCAAGAGTGATAGAAGATGCTAGAACATGAAGAAGTGTTGTGATGGGAGTGAAGGAGAGCGTGCAGAATGTTTACCGTCGTCGATCTCTGTGAATATCGAGATTTTTCCTGTTTCGAATGAGAATGTGATATTTGTAGACGAGACCTTTTTGTGGAAAGTGGAGGACGGGAAAGTAGTTGGTAGCCATGTCGATTTGTTGTCCGAGAGTGCCGAGTTGATCGGGTTTGATCGGTCGATCGTTGGTGCTGAATTGTCGTTGAGTGAGATCGGTAACAGTCCAGAGGGGGTCCGGTGGTGGATTAATTCGTTTTGGATCTCCTCCGCGTCCTCGGCCACGCGAGAGAGTAGCTCGAAATATTGATGCTGGCGACTCATTACCTGAAGCTGTGGAAATACCGGAATCCGATTCATTCGTGCCATGAAGCGTAATAAGGGATGTTGCTGTTGAGCTACCGGAACGGGTGCACGTCGAGCCGTCTAAGATTGAGGGATCTCGAGTAGGACACATACGTCCTCGTCCTCGTCCGCGTATTGATTGCAGCATGATCTGGAATGGAAAGTCAACAGGCAGAAATCGTTTGAAACGAGCCTAGTTTGCAAGCGTTTTATAGTGCAGGATTGCGTAATTTCCCACAAAGGGAACAACTCCAGTTACGTGTCCAATTTAATGAGTAATAAATATGAAACGTAACTACCGTCAATGAAGAGAGACGTCGTGCTTGAAGTAAAAGGCGTGTTTTTAAGAACATTAAGTTTCGCTTTATGTTGATTTCATGATAATCTGAAGTAATGAGATATTCTAATAGAATCTGTGGACTTCTAATTATCAACTATAAACGAAAATGCAGCATCTGCCTAAAACTGCGCAAAGCGACACCTAAGTGCTTTTTTTAAGAGCACAAAAATAATTTTATTGGAAACAAAAGACCGGTTTTCCTGGAGGTCGTCATTTCTATTATTTTATCATTCAAACGTAACCATAAAAAGTAAAGCATTAAAAGAAAACCAATGGCTAAATAAAAATATAATCTTTGGAAGATGAAGAAATATGTCAAAATTTATAAAAAGAATGGGCACTCAGGAGCGATTTTAGAGCTCAGAACGATACGTTCGCTTCTCACACCACCTTCCACATTGGTACTTTGATTCACCGGTAAGCGAGTCTCAGATGACACCGAGTCACTACAATACAAAATCAACACTCAGTTCATTCGACCATCATCTAACTGTCACAAGCTTACGTATCGGACTGATCATCACTCTTGATATACAGTGTCGCACGAATAGCTAACAAGTCAGCATACTTCACTGGTGCAGGAATCGACACCGAACGAGTACATCGAGCAAATGTATAACACAAAGCATAGGTTAGCATCTGCACTTCGTCCGGTTTCAACTTGTTATCGTCGTACAAGACATAATAGTGTGTCGGTCGACTTGTTCCCTACAACAAACATCGCGTATCATCTCATCTGATCAACTGTTGACTCACGAGTGCACCGTGATGACTACACAAATAGAAGTCGTATTTGGTTGGATTGGTGATGTCAGGCGAATCGACAACAGTGCCTGCTGGTACGTTCTTGTCTGATTTTGCTGGAAAGAGTTTTGTGTGATGTCGTTTGCTGACAACAATGTATGTCAGGTACGGACGATAGACAGGTGACAGCTCGACGCAAGCTTCTCGTATGCTCGTGAGCTCTTTATCGAAGACAGAATCGAATTCGCCCTCTGAGATGCCATCACGATAGAAGACGATGGCATTGGGTGGAAATCCTCGATGTTTTGCATATTGTGAGATGAGTGACTTCATGATCTGCTTGAGACTGACGATATGTTCTCGACTTTCGCCTCGTGTTTGAGGTGGTCGAAACTGTTGGTAGACTTCTTTGAAGTATCGGTTGGGTATGTCATCAGCAGATGCGACGACGGCAACTACTGAAGGCTGCGTGGTGGCACCGGGAGCAGGATGGCTAAGATCAGCACCGACATACATAATACGATGACCCTGGGTGAAGAATCGCTCGATGACTGGCCTGAAATAGAAGGAATAAACAAGTGTAGAACTATTTGATCAGATATAACGAAGTTTCATAATAGTGAAAATGTTTATGTGACTGAGAATGAATAGTATTCAAACGTTTTCTCGAAAGTTAACCGATTGATGAGTTTGGTTTTGCGTAGATTGACTCGGTAAAAAGCGAATACGGGTAGTATGTTTTTTATTTATTGGTGGTTATGAACAAAAAGACAAGGGCAGGTAGTTGTTCGAGGATCCATATTTAAAGATCTGTAATCGCTTCTATCTTGAAAGCTGGCTTTATTCCTATTTGCATCAGTTTTTCTCGATTCTTCTGTCAAGACTTCGCACACGCTTGCATCATCGAAATAGATATAATGTAACTTACGGGACTCGAAGTATACTATTGGTACCATCTAGTTTTGTATTGATTTTCAGCAGTATATTGCTCAACTTCGCAAGGTCCCAATCGTCAGGACGTTTCCTTGATCCTTTGAGAGCATTTTTTTCCTCAATCATTTGAGTGACGATCCCGACACCCGTGTCCAGCTCGCACTAAAACAAATCAGTGTAACTCGAATTATTTAATTAGTTTTGCAGGTATTTACCAGTTTTTTCAGATCTCTATAAGCTTCTTTGTTTTGTTTCGACAAACTTTTTGACGGTAGGATCACGATGAAAAACTTGCAGTCCTGATTCTTGTTCATCTTTTCTTTAATATTATCTACCACCTTCTCAATCGAATATGAACGATCCGTGGTAGCTACAAACTCTTCGTATAGTTCAGGTTCGCTACATTGCATCCCATGTCGTCGTGCAGCTCCACTCAATTGAATGTAGAACTGTTCACAATCATCTCTATGAATCCTCGACAGATTGATCATTGCCCATACACGTGGAAATGCTGATGGTGTGTGAAAGCGAGCTCCCCTAGCCTCCCAAGTTCCTACATCTCTAACATCCCTCGAAGTTACTCGATGGTCATCCCGATAAACTACTTCTGGCACCGGCAAAACGCGAGCTGGCACTGTCACCATTTTTACGTCTATATTCATCTGCCATGCAGCCACAAATGGATCAGCTTCGAAACGCTGCTTCTTTGGATCGGCACGTATCTGCTTGATTGTTCTCTCATATTCCAGCGGTTTCATCGTTGACACACTACACATCGTGGCTCTCTGTTCGTCAGTCACTTTCTTCACTCTCACAGGCTCGACATCGACCAGTTCCATTGGGAGAAACGACCCATTACGCATCTCTAACGTCGGTAATGATGGATACCTGAAAAGTTATCAAGTGTTCAAACATAGAAAATACACTTATTTCTGTACTCACTTCAATTCGACATTGTATTGTTTTTTGTGATATTCTTCAATTGTCACGTCACATTTTTCTTGCTTCCAATGAAATTTTTCCTCTGATGCAGGGCGTCCAAGTTTCACTATCTCATAACTGATTGGCTTGTCTGCAGCCTGCGAGCGCACTCGAAGATCTGGTCCAAAATATTCATCAAAACGTTCTTTTCATTGCTAATGTATCAAAGTACTTACGTTTACAATGCTTCAACAAAAACTCAGCATCATTTCGATAGTTTCGGTTTCTTACATCAAGCCATTGCAAAACATCACGACTATCGGCCATTCGCACATCTCTCTGTCTACTATATTTGGCTTTTCCGCTGGGACTTTGCACCATCACTTCACACACAAAATCCAAAAACGACTGCTTCTTCATGAAAACAGAATGTTTCACTACAATCATCATAACCATCTAGTATCACCACCTTCATCCATCATCTACACACTTACCATCTAGATTCATCAATAACTGATGTTTGCCCTTGGAAAATACCAGACACGAGTAGAATCCACGCCACGCTGCTTTGCCCAGCCCGAGATCCCATTCACAACCACGTCCGTCAGTGCTCGGAGTGAAGAACGAACGAGTGAACACAAATGATGCTTGTGATGAGCAGTGCTCGTGTAGTGCCACTGACAGCACCTGCTTCACCTCTTGCAAATCTTCGATTCTCTCATTCGTGAGTGATGATGGGTCGAAGAGCTCGTCCAGATTTCGGATCAGTGCAAGATCAACTGGCGTTCCCACTCGTTGCACGATGACTTTGTGTGGTTCTTGTCGATTTGAGCGATTGGGACCGTCGATGATTTGTGCAGGGGTCTAGAAGTGAAGAAGTGAGAGAGGGTACATTGAGAATGGGACATGTTACATTTTCTGTGATGCCAGGAAGTGGCTCATCGAAGCTGAATATCGTTGACTGGTTGTCGAAGACGATCTTGTTCTTGTTCACTTGTGGATTCTGTCGACAGAATGCCAGAAGCCAAGAGTGATAGAAGATGCTAGAACATGAAGAAGTGTTGTGATGGGAGCGAAGGAGAGCGTGCAGAATGTTTACCGTCGTCGATCTCTGTGAATATCGAGATTTTTCCTGTTTCGAATGAGAATGTGATATTTGTAGACGAGACCTTTTTGTGGAAAGTGGAGGACGGGAAAGTAGTTGGTAGCCACGTCGATTTGTTGTCCGAGAGTGCCGAGTTGATCGGGTTTGATCGGTCGGTCGTTGGTGCTGAATTGTCGTTGAGTGAGATCGGTAACAGTCCAAAAGGGGTCCGGTGGTGGATCGATTCGTTTTGGATCTCCTCCGCGTCCTCGACCACGTGGTACAGTCGACGAAGTTGTTGTTGGTTGATTCACATTACTTGAAGTAGAAGCAAACCCAGTATCTGTGCTTTTTGTTGTGTCGGTGGTGCTTTTTTGAGAAGTCGCTGAAATTGTGTCATCTGCCAGGGATGAAGGAGATGGTGCAGTGTTCTCTGGAGTAGAAGAAATTGGTAATTCATCGGTAACAGAAGTAATTGCAGGGACTGGTGGGGCAACGGTGGCGCATGCCGTTCCACGACCGCGTCCCCTACCTTTTGGTTGTTGTGCTGAAGTCATACGTCTTTCTCAAAAGTGAATAATTCTGACAAAACATTGAGAAAAGCCGCATTGATATACATTTGAGAGGAGAGATTTTTCTTCGACTGGGAATTTTGGTTTTTGCTTTGTTCTTTTTCTTTTGCAAGTTTCTCATGGGCTGATCCAACAAATGCATGACGGGTATATTTTGTGGTCGAAAGAGGCCGTAGGCTGTCACAGTTAGCGAAAGAAATCTTGTTGAATTGGAATAGAACAATGTATGTACATAAGTAGTTACTATTATTTTCTATGTTGTAAGTATTTGCAATTTGTTGCAGAAAACTGATGAATCGGTCTATCAGAGGAGCAGTTCGAAAAAATATGAAACAAGAATCATGACAATTCTGTTAGAAAGCATTTGCAGTGTTCTAGATCTTATAAAAATGTGGGATTTTTCCCAGCGGTGGCAAGAAAATATCGGTGCCTTCTTATTGTATTAAAAAATCAACGATCATCTGATTTTTTGTTAGTTTTAGTTGATTTGATAGACCCTCTATCCTTCAGTATCACAGTGCAAAAAAGAAATGCCTTCGACCATTCGAAGACACTGGATTGTGAAACGTGTGCAAAATATAATAGGAAAAAAATAAAGCCATGATAGAAAATGAAAACGCGGAAAATGCTCAGATCGAAAGAAAGTCAAATCAAAACAAAACAAAACTGTTCTCAGTTTTCTCGTCCTTCTCAAAATTTACTGATATACAGAATTGAACGCATTGTGAATCGATGGAAGAACACCTTTGCGACAATCTCCTATGTCCGATTGATGCTTCGAAAGTACACAGATACCATAGTAATGAACACAGGCTGCAGCAACAACGAAAACATGAAAGATCTGGTGACTTTGAAACTATAACAAACGACATCTTGTGGAATTAACTCTACGAAAGTAACTCAACTATTCCTACCCAGATATCAAAGTAACCAGGAGCCAATCGTTCAGGTATACGTGCTAATTTAAAAAAAAAGGATACAAATGACTGGAAATATACGGATAGTAGCTACCTGCATAGAGAGAAGCACCTGTAATGTATAAAACTGCCATGACGACTAGCCATTGAGCTGCACCAGCTAAAAAAATTCGAAACTTTTACGAAGATCAGTTGAAATTCGTCGCATACTTGTAAACGCATGCTTAAATCCAAAAAGTAACACATAGTGGCAAGTTGGAACAAAACCAAATAGGCCAAAAGCAATGAATAGAACTAGAAAATAAAATGAGAGAAGCGCAAGGAATAGTTTGTTCTCTATCGAAAATCGAAGAGAAACGTACGTGCTCGACATGTTCGATATTCCGGTGCAGAAAATTTGTCCCACATGGAAACAATTATACAGCCGGTGCCCAATGTTATCGTAATCAGCAAATATGCTATCTTTGTTCCAAATTCACAATAAAAACCATAATAGATCCATGGAATAAATGATGCAATGATCAAAATTGATATTCCGCAATAATCGAGCCTATCAATCGTACATATAAATACGAGTACTTATAATAAAAAGGCATCTTACTTATTGAAGAGTTTCGAAACTTTTGGTGAATGACAATAGACTGTATGGTATAAAGTTGAGAACAATAAACAAAGAATAGCGCCGAGGAAAAATACTCCGAACGTAATTTTCTTTTCAATATGAACCTCAGATGATGGACGTGTAATAAAGTAAATGGCAATGATGATGAAAAACAGAGTTCCCAGTAAATGTGTCCAGATGTTCACTGTTTCCGTATGAAGACGAAAGATTGATGCAAAGCATTGTTTGAAACTTGGCATTGGTGGACGATGTCCTGAGATGAGAAATTCATTGTCGAGCAACCAATGTGGAAGATGACTATGATCGACGACGTATTGAACAACAAGTTTACCCACTTCTTTCGCTTGTTCAGCACATTTGGTTGGCATTTCAAAGACCGCGTCCATCAATTCATTGTTGTCATCATTGGATTCCGGTTTGGATGGATAAGATTTACTGCGTGCATACGTTGATTGATTATCTCCATCATTATTTGGTTCACTCTAAACAAATAAAGAATTATTTTGATATGTGAGATTCCATCGATTCTATACGTACGAGTGTACGAGCAAGTACTCGTCGTCGAACATCTGCTTCAGTAGAATCAGGTTTGCTACTTTCCATTTCGTCCGTCATGAATAGTTTTCGATAAAGCAGTATATTAAAAAGAATATCTGAAGCAGATGGTATGACTCATGATCATTCACGATTGAAACAAAAAGTGTGAAGAAACAAACGTGGAATGTATTTTCAACAAAGAAATTAGAATATTTCTTTGATATAGAACAGTGAAACACAAATATATAAGTCTAAACACGAAATAGCTCTATCGATACATTAAGAAGAACCGTTACAACATTGGTTGCTTTTATGGAAACTAAAAATGTAGAAAACAAACTTGCGTATAAGAAAAATGACTAAGAAGTCGAAGAACATATGACAGGAAGTAGGTAAAGGAAGTCTACAATATGTACCCAGTTCTCAACTGCAAAATAAGTCAAACTGAAACAGTGAATCATTGTTCGATTTCTCACGCCATCATTGCAGCCATAGGCGCTGTATTTGGGCTTAGGATATTCCGACAATCGCCAAAATAATTCGTTTGATTATACGATAGCACGCAAATACCATAATAGTGAACACAGGCTGCAGCGACAACGAAAATGTGGAATAATTGATGACTTTGAAACTAATCGAACAAAAGAAAGATTATTCTAGAACAACCTTTCCATGATGTTGATAAACTTACCCAGATATCGAAAGCACCGGGTGCTAATCGTTCAGGAATTCGTGCTACACAAAAACAAAGATGTTCAACAGTAAAATACTCGATCGTTTCATTTTAAATTTACCAGCATAGATGCAAGCACCAGTCACGTAAAGTGCAGCTACTAATAATAAATATTGAGTAGCGCCGGCTGAAAAAGTTAGATACATTTATTATACACATCATGATAGTGATATCGATTACTCATACTTGTAAAAGCATGTTTAATGCCAAAACGTATAATGTAGTGGCATGTAGGTATGAAACCAAATACACCGAATGTAATAAATAGCACTATAAATGATGATCAATATTTCCGTCTACCAACAAAGTTATTATTTTATCGAACAACTTACAAGCTCTATAGACTCGATATTCTGACGAAGAGAATCTGTCCCACATTGATATAACTATACATCCGGCTCCCAATATTCCAATCAACGTTAGATACGCCACTTTTGTGCCGAACTCACAATAGAACTGATAGTAAAGTAATGGAACAATTGATCCTATGATCAAGATCGCGATTCCACAATAATCTAGTCTAAATACAAATAAGTCATTATACACAAATGACTGCAATATTTTCTTGAGCGCTTACTTGCTGAAAAACTTTGAAATCTTCGGTGAATGGCAGTAAAGTGTATGATATAATGTCGAACATAGTAAACAAATAATAGCACCCAGGAAGAATGCGCCAAAAATTAATTTCTTTTCCGTATGAACTTCGGTCGATGGGCGAGTGGTGAAGTAAATAGCAATGATGATAAAAAACAGAGTTCCCAGTAAATGTGTCCAGATGTTTACTGTTTCCGTATGAAGACGAAAGATCGATGCAAAGCATTGTTTGAAACTTGGCATTGGTGGACGATGTCCTGAGATGAGAAATTCATTGTCGAGCAACCAATGTGGTAGATGACTATGATCGACGACGTATTGAACAACAAGTTTACCCACTTCTTTCGCTTGCTCAACACATTTTGTTGGAACTTCGAAAACTGTATCGATTAGATCATCGGTTTGATCACGAAGATCGTTGTAAGATAGACGGTATAGACTTCGACTGTATGTATTTGATTGTGGATCAACGCAAAGTGATGGTTCACTCTAGAAAACAAACGCGAATACAGATGGTTAAGAATCATCTCGTGTTGAATATATATGACAGTTAGCTGCGACATCCTCTGAATGTTTATTTGTTTGAGTCGATTGATACGTACTCGTGGACGAGTCAATGTTCTTTTGCGAATCGTTGGTTCGTGTAAATCTTGATCGCTCACTGGTATCGTGTCTGATAATAATTTATCTTTCATTCGGCGGTATGAAGAATCCATTTCTGTTAAGACTACGTTTTAAGAAAGGAAGATCTAAAAAATAGACATTTTCTCAAAGAAACTATTCGCAGACGAATCATAAGCCATGAATATATTCGTCGTTTGACGTTTCAAAATAACATTTGAATGAGATAGTGATCAACAATAACTCCGCTTGCTCTCATTCTTTCGCAACGTTTACATGGTCATTAGCTATGATAATCTTCAAGCACGTGGTATTTGATCAGCATATGATACCACTACATTAACATCAGCTGAGAGCGAAGTTATGCTATGACGATAAGAGGATAATGATAGTTGATTATATTATAAAGAAAAGAAAACAGATGCTTGACTGCGATTCACTTATCGGGATAGTAAGAAAACGATATGTACATCGAGGACTTCGCATTTCTAATCGTGAGAAACTACTGATCGATTGATATCGGATGAATCGAAAGATACGATTTCCATCCGCCAAAACTTTTGAATCTTTATTCGAGTTCGCGAATCGTGTTTGCATGATATTCTAAGTAATCATACGTTTTCCTATTTGACTGCAGTGCCACGTATGATCCACATTATCTTATTAAAAGAAGAAGAAAAAACTCTGAAATGAGACATGTCAACGGCACTCATTTATAAAAAAAACTCTTTTATATCACATGCCATCAAGCTTACATCATGTGATAGAAATGATTCATTGACATCTCTTTGCATAATATTCATGTACTTGCATCATTCCGTCTATTCTTCTGCTCGAGTCTCGAACCAAAATCGTTTTGCTTCATGGGTGATGGGTATGATCGTCTATGCCGGACGTGAATCTATCTGAAAAATAATAAATAATTTTCTCGATATCTGGCTTTTCGTATGAAAAAGCAGCAAAGGAAAACGAAGTGGCAAATCACACGTAAAACAAATTAATATCAACAAAAATAGTAATAGTAGTAATCATCATAAATAAAAACAGGAGAGTACAATTGTTCGTTCGATTTTTCTTTTAGATAAGTTTACAGGAAAAACGTTTGGAAGCACACAAAAAACATGAGCTTAACTCATCGAAAAGCGAGTAACAAATTATGAAAATAGTCATAGACTTGAGGGACAATAGCGCCAATACTTGAATCAATCAAATCTTTCAAATAACTAATTGCTTTTTCATCATCGAGATCCAAACGAAATTTATCGAGTAACTAAAGTAAATGACGAACGAGATTTTCAATGCAATCTTCGATTTTCACTTACTTTTTTAACTGTTTTATCACGTTCTAAAGCGATATCAGGAATATTTGCATCGAGCATCAAAGAAAATAAATTTGCAAATACATTTGCATGTCTAAATAGAAAGGCAAAACTCGATGAATCATTTTTACAACAAAACAAACTAATATTTACTTTCGAAGAATAATAAATGCAGTAAAACAATGCCGTAGAAAATCAAGAAAGCGTTTATCGTCTAGCATTTCCATCATATCTTTCGAAACACGCATCGCTTGGGGTAGTGGTTTCGGATCTCGGCCCATGATAAAGCCAAAATCAATATGAAACAATTGACCCGAATCACGTAATAACAAATTATCGAGATGTCGATCGCCGACACCCAACAGGTACATAACAACACAGTATCCGGCTAGAAAAAGCAATCCCAATCGGAGTCATATGTAACTCGAAGAAAACTTCGACTAACCACAACTTTTGACATAAGCATCGAGAACTTCGTGAGGAATCCCGATATCGTTGAAAGTTGCATCTTCGCTATTCGTGATTATTGCTTTGCTTTGGAGATATTGACGAATGGTACGACTACGTTCGAGTACTCTTCGTAACGATTGAGAATCAATAAATTGCACGAAACCTTCAAATACGAAAATTAGTATCGCACCATCATCTTCTTTTTGATAGCTTATCAGTTTACACCGTCATATTGTTGATACGAATACAACAACACTCGTTATGTATTTTCTCTACTTACCATATTTCAAACTTGTCGACAAGACCTTGTAAGGTGTTAATTTCAAGTCAATGTTTTCTTTGCGAAGAATCTAAAACACAAGTATTCAATGAATTGAGATAAATGACGGAAAATATTTCTTAGACATGAAGTCTGCTTCAAAAATTGATAAAAGACTCCTCTTGTTTTGAACTTACTCGGTCCATCAACATGATGATTTGCAGAATTAGTTGATCTTGTCGAAGGTCATCTCCATTTTTGAAAATAATTGGGTATTCTTCGTCATTTGTTGTTTTACATACGAATAGAAATGGTAATTTCGCACTCTAAATCGACCAGAACAAGTGAACATTTCAATTTCATTGAAGACAAATCGTAGATATACTTTGAATATTTTAATTTTATCAGGATTGATTCCACGAATTTGGACTTCAGGATCAAGCGGTAGAGGAATAGGATCAAAATTCAGAAAATTAAACTTCACTGGCGATTCATCACCAGCTAATAACAAATTACGTAATTTTTCTTCCTAAAGAAATGTATGAATTGATATCGATCATTGAGATTTCAATTTTACGAACTTTGACTTTTGCTGAACCTTGAACACGTTTGACAATGTTTGTTAATTCCACGAGTTTATCGACAAATTTCTTTTGTGCTTCAATTGAAAGACGAACTTGTTGAGTTTGTTCATTTTTCTGAATAGACTGACTCAGTATGAAGTTTACTTCTCTTTGAAAATGAAACTAACGGTTTTCAGGGTTAACAGGAGTCGATTAACAAATGTTTGGTACATTTCACTGGTAGTTTTGTCTTTTGATGAACTATTATTTTCACATTCAACGTATGCATACCTGAAACGATCAAGTTTACAATCAAATGAAAAGAAATAGAAGAGAACGAACGAACCAAAATAAATAATTTGCTACGACAGGTTTTTCACATGCACGCTGAATGAGAAATGTCGACAAATCAACCTTTAAAAGTCAAAATCCTTCGAATTAGTTTGAAGTTCAAATAAAAGATCGTTTCTATACTTCAGGTAATGATGATTTGCTTGAATCACTAGATGTAGAATCCGATTGTCCTATGGCAGAGGCAAAGTTTTCATAAAGCCCATTTGACACACTACAAGATGAGTTTCGACCTGTTTTCTTCTGAAAGAAAATTCACAAGAATAGCTAACCTCGATTGTTCTTCTGGAATCGAATCGATAACACTTGCATTAATCAAATCATATCGTTCGTATCGAAGAGCTTGTACTAATTGCAGCAAGTATAAGAGAAGATCCTAGGCGAAATCCATTGTATTTTTCAAATAACTAGATTAAAGCGATCGTTTTACTTCATCAGATGCTTGTCGTAATCTTGCAACAGCATAGGAACGAACTTTTGGATCATGATATGTCGGTCCCAGTAGTTCGAGTGCATCTTCGGTATCCATGGTAACCCATTGTTGCAGAAGATCAAGTGCTTGTTTTACTTCTTCACCTTTATCCCAATGTACACATTGGAGAAATTTAGCGAGTGCTTTTTTATATTGTGAGAGAAAAAAGCGATATTTCCATACTAGATCTTGCTCTTCGATAGACAGATAGTATCCCGGAGGATAGGCTAAGATTTGCATAAGTTTATCACGCTGTTCCAGATTTGGTTTTAAGTCTTTGTCCAATGCTTTTCGAGCACTTCGAGATAATTTTAAATGCTTACTCTCCACAATATTCTCCTAGTAAAGAAAATTTCGAATGATTTCTAATTTAAGACAAACGATTTCATACGAGATCGATTTCAGGATCATAAACAGCGAGATCTGTGTAACCAATAGGATAATTCAATACATCGTCACATTTCTAAACAAGTTTCAGAAATTCAATGACATAGGCGAATAATTGTTTACCGGTTCAAAATAAAGTGCAATGCATTCATTATCTTCGACTGTCGTTCGTGCAAATTCAATTAATAACAACATCGATTTCGAGGTTGAACGTTCTTTATCGAGACACGTTCGTGCTTTCGCCAGTGCTAATTGATCAAGCCATTCCTGGTTGATAGTATGGCCATCACACTGAGTTTTAATTAACTAAACAAACATTTCGTCCTTCAAACCTATTTCAAGATCGAGCCTACTTTTGCTATTCGACTTAATTCGTCTAACATTGGATATGCACTGTCATCGTTCCAGGTGATATTCAAGGGTTTAGATGTGATCTGTTTTCGATTGTATTGTAGATTAGCTGTAGCTATCACTGGCGCTGACGAGACTGACTTTATTGTTTGATTCGTATGATTGCTGAGTATTGGTTCATCATTTGATGTTTGTTCAATTTTACCAGGTGTTGACGTTTTGAATCTGACGTCCGGAAGAACGTTCGGCCACACTTTTAAATCGTAAATTCCTTGTCGAAAAACTCTACAAATACACTGTTCACTTTTCGAATATTCTCGAATAAAACGAATTTACCCTTCCGAATCAAATAACGAAATAGTTGTACTACCGATAATGCGAACTTGTGTAGGAGAAATGATTTCATGAATTGATAATGCGAGTATTGCATGACGTGGTAAATCACAGTATCTCAATGGTAATGTTAGCCATTCATTCCAACTGAGTAGAGAAGAAAACAGGAAGAAAGGAATTTATTCGAATCAATCATACGAGTTTCCCTACTTCCATTTATCAGTGAATGATTTATAGGAGGTTTGAACTGGCATGCATAGTGATTGCCCATCGGAGAAGACTTGGCACAGAACATAAGGTTCACTACGTTTCACATCACTTAAATTTCGTATAAATGATGGATTATTGGAAAAAAAGATATCGTTCGTAGGTTGTACTGGTGATTGCTGTTGCTGTGGTTGTGTTCGATCGCCATCGATTGAAGAACTATAGAAAATGAATTTGACAAACGAAAATCGAAAGTCGACTTTTACATTTTGATTTGAATTCGTTCTTCAAGTTCATGGCTAAATACGAAATGAAATTTTTCCGAGGTTGCTGACATTAGTTTGACTAGATCATCTAGAACACTAATGACGAAAATCTGATCGGTGCTTAATTCGAGTAGAATTGCAAAATAAAGAGCAAATGGAGAAGTATGTAAAACATACTTTAGCAACACATGACTTCGACATCGCTCTGAAAGTATGGAGGAGACACAGATTTTCTATTGGCCAACAAATCGAACCAATCACGAAGCAGGTGAATGAAAAAATCAACCGAATTTTATTGACAGTAATAAAAGACAAGTAGAACAGGAGGAATCGAATCAAAATTTTTGATGGAAAAGAGTCTAATCCTTCGCTTTGAAGAGATTAGATTCCGTTGAGAAAAAAACAAAAGCATTCTGCTTCTAAAAGAAATTGTCGATATCGATGGAAGCAAACGCAAATAGCTACACAATATTTATCGAAACTCTTAAATCTCTTTGCTTGTTTCAGATGTCAATATTCAATAGTCGCTCAGTTTTATTATTATTATCTCTATACTGTAACACTCATTTACTTCAAGCTCGACGTGTAAGTTTCTTTGTCTAGAAACAAAACAGAAATGTCTACAGAGTGATTCATCAATATGTCTCTTTGTCGATGTAATGCTGAACATCCGTTATTTCGAGCGCCACTACTTTTCATATTCAGTATAATCATTGTCTGCTCGATAATAATCATCTTGCACGATCATTTTACACGGGTATTGATGTTATTCTTTGATTATTTTTGTTCGTCTCATCGGTCGACTGTTTTTCGTTCGATTTCATCTTTACTTTCTTTCAGGTCAAACACAATGTCAAAGAAATTGAATCCAAACAATATAAATGTTTTTCACCTTTGTCGGACAACTCGGATGAATTTCGCTCGAAATTACTTCAACCGTTATTGATTCCACGCGTATCAGGTACACCTGGCAACGCTCAAGCTAGACAACATATTGTGTCGAAACTACGCTCGACAAATATGTGGAATATCGAGTTTGATACATTTGATGCTATGACTCCTGTAAGAAAAGAAAAACAAAAGAGAAAATTTCGAAAACATTTGTCATTTGTTTTAGGATGGACAAGTCGAGTTTACTAATATTATTGCTACACTTGATCCGAAGGCACCTCGTCGTCTGGTACTTGCATGTCATCATGATTCCAAGAAACTTCCGAATTTCGTGGGTGCAACAGACAGTGCTGTACCTTGCGCGATGCTTTTGGACATAGCACTTAGTCTTCAACCGCAACTGAAAGAATTACAACAAAATGTAAGCAGAAAAAGCCCGACACAGTGATTTGATTCTCATGGTTCAAAAACTCTTTTAGAAAGGAATTCCCTCTTTGCAATTGATCTTTTTCGATGGCGAAGAAGCAGTTCGTGATTGGACTTCAACAGATTCGATATACGGCTCGAAGTGAATGAGCATGAGATCATTATGCAAGGTTCGAACATTTTTTTTCTATTAGACATTTAGCAAAAAGAATGTACAATACAAATGTGGAAGGGCAACCTAACTTAAATCAAATTGATGCTATTGTAAGATTTCTCATCGATCAGGTTTCTTCTCAATGAATTTTCTTCGTAGGATATGTTTGTTCTACTCGATCTAATCGGGCATAGAGATGTTCAATTCCACAACTTCTTTGATCGAACAACTGGCAAATACTATCAACGACTACGGAATATCGGTGAGTTCGCTTGTTGATACAATCTCGTCTTCTCAATCCGTCTCATTTGATTAGAAAGTCAACTTATGCGTTCATACAATAATCGAGGACAAAACCGTGCTATCTTTTCACCTAATGTACAGAACAGCTATATTGAAGATGATCACATTCCATTTTTAAACTATAGTATGTTTCATTCGCGAAATAACTACTTGAATTCGTTCTTGGAACATGTGCTTTCTTAGATGTTCCAATTCTTCATTTAATTTCTTCACCGTTTCCGCCCACATGGCATCGAGCTGACGATAACGAAGCCAATCTAGACTTTGCGTCAATTACACACCTTCGAAATGTGATGAAAATATTTGTCATTGAGTATCTTCATTTGAAACAGCAAATATGTTAGCGATCTTCTTTTTATTAAATCACTCGTAAAAAGAAAAACAGCAGTGGTGCTCAAATCAGTGTCTTCTTCGTTTTTATTATTATTTCACTGCAGTACAGAAAAATAAATCGACAAAAGTAGAAGCATTAACGTCGACCAAGTAAATTGAAATTTAATCCGGTAAAATTCAGCGGACCCAAAGGAAAAAAATTCAATGGCGCAATTTCAAAGTTCAGCCATGGTAGCACAAAATCAGCTGGACAAGTGCTACATTTATGCTTGCAACATGGATCATTTGGGGTCTCTTCGAACCCGCATAGACAAAAAGCAGGTTCGTTGATGCAAAAGATAGTATCGCATGATGGATTTTGGCTATTGCGACGAATTGGTGTTGGTGATGATGATACAGTTGCAATAGCAAATGCGATGAATAATAGAAAACACTTCATCTTTGTTTTCTCAGTCAATGCTAACGTATCAGAGAAAAGAAGCCAGTTATATTTCGAAAAAGAATCATCTGTTTATGCTCTCAGACGATTATTCATTTTTATTCGATTCAAACAAAAATAATCCGAGAGAAAAACGATTTTGACTCATCCTCGACGAAGTAAAGGAAATTGAATTGGAGGTAAAGTGAATAAACTCCAGTCGATAGTAAGCCATGGTTTAACATTAAAGTCAGGCGGACACGGCGTACAAGTAGCTTTACAGCACCGATCCTCAGGAGTTTGTGTTACACCACAAAAACAGAATGATGTGTCGACAATACAGGTGTAAGGTGGGCATGATGCATCTGCATTGGATGTTGGTGAGGAGACAATGCTATTTATGAAAATCGATATGAGTACAAGACTCAGAACAGCTTTTTTCATGTTTAACTGTAAGAAATGGGTGTGATCGATAAATGATTGATATGTTTTTGAAAACAACGAAAGTCATTGTGAAACATTTGTTAATATTCACACAGACTCGATTTGAATCAGTATCATGCGATATGTATTTGTGTTTCGTTTTGACTTTGCGTATTGAGATCTCCTACTTTCCACAAATGAGTATTTTTTCGAAATGAATCGATCACATCTGATGTAAATAACTGTTGATTTTCTTCAACAAATTTCCATACCGAACGATCAGCGTTTACAATAACGAAACGATGTTTGAAGAATTCCACATGTGCACCAATGTAAAAGTCATTTGGTTCGTAGTAAATCGAACAATTATCTGTTTACACAGGGAATATATGAAATAGAAAACAATAGAAAGTATGAACCAAACCTGGTTTAGGTATACGAAGCCGTTCGAGAAACTTTTTCGTCGAATGCGAATATCCGGCAAGTGGTCTTTCGTAAACAGAGATGCGACCATCGGCAAGTCGGTAAGTAATGACAAATCGTCGACAGCAACCATTCGTATCCGAAGATTCCTGAGAAGACTCAATCGATTATCATCTATCGTTGTATATTTCTTACCATAATTGCTTCGTAGCGTAAAAGACAAATATCGTTTCCGGAAACTCTTCTTGCTAACAAGTCTTCAGCAAAAGTCATGTGAGACGATGTTAGTAGAGGGAAGGAAATTGCCGATCTTTTGGATGCTCTTGGATTGATATCAAATTGGCAGAATGTTCTTGTGAAAGCATCACAATCATAGAGGAAAAAAGAGCGATTGAAAATGGTAATTGTTTGATTGAGAATGAAATCTTTCGCCTCTAGATAACATATTTCATCCTGTTGACGTTTATCGAGGAAGATATTCACAAATGATTCTATCAAACATCATATCGATTCTCATAGAAGTCAGATTTATTTTTGAGCAATTGCTTACTGATGCCATAGAATGAATCTTTAGGAACTGTTTGCCGATGAAGATAGATTGGTAACGGGTCGTATCCATTATTTGTGTGATGAATCTCCCGTATTTCAATTGTGTCATCAACCAGATAGAACTTCAAAGATATGCAAGTTTCAGACTTACCTACACTTTCGGAGAATGAAATTACTTACGAGAATGATGAATCTCCTTGCAGTATCACACTGGTGTTGTTCATTGTCAAATACTGCATAGAATCTCAAAACTTTGCCATTGATCTTCTCAGACTTTCCACTCTTTGTTATAGTCTCCGTATTACTCTGCTTTTCGATCAATTGCATCATATAAGGATCTGCTGGTATGAGCTCTGCACATTTCACTTCAATACCTTCACTTTCCAACCACTCCTAAACTAACTTTTATTGCATATTTCGAAGAAAACGAATGGACTGCTCTACTTTTGTAAACGAATCACAATCACATATTCGATAGATCGTTCCGTAGACAAACAAATTCTCTCTAAGATTCAAATCACGCCAATTGTAGAATTCATTCTGATCATTTTTAACTATTCGATGACGACGAACGCGCATACCCTTTTTTTTCAAATACAATTTTGACAAAAGCTTTCAATAAGATATTTCTCTACTTGATCGAGTGCACTGTTTTTGTAAGGCGTTTCATAGATCGACATGGTATCATCTTCGAGATAATAACAGAGAATCACTGGTCGTATACGATATAGTTCCAATGAATTTTCATGGATTATCTGTTTAAAATATCCATAGAATCGAAGTATCTAGTATTAAGAAGACAATTCACACTTTCGCTTGATCTCGAACTGAATCCAAATACTTTTTTATCATAGAATACGATAGCTGGTACGAATTTCGATGGTTTTTGTACACGTACTCGACCATAGATCAGTTCCGGTTGAAAATCAGTCAGCAATCGTTGTTCATCTTCTGTCAGTTGAATATTTTGTTTATATGTCTGACCGATACCAAATTTCGGCAAACGAACAATTCGATGTCCATTTTTGAATGAAAGTGTACGTGGAACGACGAAATTCGTTTGCTAGGTGTAAATCATGAAAAAATTCGAAGAAAACCATTTCCAATACGTACCGAAACATCAGAGAAGCGGTATCCTGGTAGTAATGGCAAATTTTCCATTACAGAGCAGTCTATTGACACATAATTTAACTCAATATTTACGCGCCATAGTTCGCAAGCAAGCAAGCAAATGTCACACCGTTTCATTCAAAAAGGACATCATTTTAACCAAAAAGAGAAATCATATGAGCAGTGAATCTATGTAAACATTCGATATACGAGCGTAGGTGATGCGAGAAGATACAAAAAAAGAGAGACGGGCCTGACCGGGGATCGAACCCGGAACCTCTCGCACCCAAAGCGAGAATCATACCACTAGACCATCAGGCCACGTTACTGAACCGTTCGTGCGTTGCTTAAAAGTCGATCGTACACACTCGTCTTTGCTAAATCATGAGACGAATATTCATAGACATTCAAATACATAAGTTCGAATATGAAATATTGTTTACGAAGAAATTTTTGTTCGCGAATAGTTCTGAAAATTACGACTGCGGAATAATTCATCGTCGGAATGTTTCATCAAACTATGGAAAAATATTTATTTTGAGATGATTCACATCGAACGAATATGTGCGTAGTTGTCTATGATGTTTTTCGTTCATACTCCATTACCTTTTCGATGCAAATTCAGCGTGATTAGCTTGTTTTTTGTCAATATTTGACTGGACTTTGCACTTCATTGTTTAGACAATAACAAGAGAAGCTTATCTCGATGTACAGAATTCAAGTGCGGCTGAAATTGATGGTAAATAAAATTAATACATCGATTAAGTACATCGAACGAAAGAACAACAACAATGTCTATCAGGAGGATTGAATTGTGAAATTTATTTAGGATACAAAGTTGAACTCTGCGAAATGATTTGTAAACACTCGATTTTATTATTATACTTGTTCTCACATTTCGTTCGTCTTTTACTCTATTCATCGTGTTTTTTCCTGTTATATACATAAATATTCTAGACGATGACAACAGACGTATAAGACATACAAAGATAGGAAAAAAAGAAAACGTTTGGATAAACAAACACATTGATGTACACTCTCTCTGATCTTCTTTTCGTTACAGATTCAATCCAAATCATACATTGTACAAAAAAAATGGAGACGATTTCCACTTGATATTTCCAAATCTGTCTCACCTCACTCACGCACGCGTATCTGCATGTTTTGATCGTCATACAAAGAAAGAAAAATGACACTAGACACATATAAGAACAATAGAAATATACACATATAGCAAACGAGGAAAAAGCTCCAAAAAATAATAATATTATATATATATATATGGATATATAAATGAGGAAGTATTAGTTTAGCGAGAAAAAGATAGATTTTGCTAATATACAACACTAGATTAGAAAAGAAAAGAATCGGGCTTGAAAAAAGATGAGAAGAAAATCTAACCTAACTTTGGCATTGATTATAAATGAAAAAAGAGGAGCAAAAAAATAAATCATTTGACTTTGACAATACGTTGTTGAGAACTGAATAAATCACGTTTGTCGAATAATTGCGCATGTTGATCCATGACATAGGAATCAAGATTCGAATCATCAACATTTGCTTTAACACCTGTTGATGGTAATGAATAGAGCACCTTCCATTTACGTTTTTTATTCTGTTTAACACCAGATGATGGTTGACACATATTCGTTGGCTTATTATTACGATTATTCTGTGCCAATGGCCGCTTCGATTGAGGTGACACTTTTGGAGATGGAATCACGGGGACAGGAGACTGCTGTTTGCTGTGTTCATCTTCGATGACGACAAAGTCCGATTCATCTTGATCATCAATAACAATCCATGAATCACTCATCTGTTTCGGCGATGATTTGAAAGGGACATTGCCAGCAGCCATTAATAGGTATTAAAGATAAGTAAGAGAGAGAGAGAAAATAGAGTAACAATCTAGAAACAAAAAATGGGATACAGTAGAGTGGTAGGAGGAACACATATGTTTTTTCTTCTTTTCTTGTCCCATTGCCCTATTTGCCTATTACCGTTTCTTGTCGTCAATGTATCGAGATTCGTTTTGCCCTTTCAACGCGCATATATGACATCGACAATAACAAAACAACAACAACTTGTTTTTTAGACAATCAACCATTTTTTCCCTTCTCTGCTATACGTTGAGAAAAAAAACGAGCGGTTTCTTTTCCTAACGAACAAATGAAGACGCAAACCAAGGACGTTACTCTAGTCTCTTTTTTTTATCTCGTATAGGAAAAAACAGACCTATAATGTCGACGATTAAGAAAGAAATGAACATCAGATATAAGAAATCAAGTGATAGTGATCATGACAACGGCACGTATTTACAGATTTTCTCGCTAACAATCAAGACGGTCGATCAGTATACACTGATTTCTCTCTCTCTCTTCGTCTTTCTTATTGCAAAGACAAGAAAGAAAAAAGAATGTCTGCCGAATCCTACATTTTCTTCTCGACACGAACATACATACTTTGACAACTGCTGCTGCTACTGCTGCTATTCTAGGCGATGTGGCAAATGTGTCGAAGAAAAAAAAGAAAGGAAGAAAGAACGAAGCAAGCAAAAGAGAGAGAGAGCAAAACTGACGGGCAGGCATGTGATCGTCATTATTGTATGTATGTGTGTGTGCATATGTCTTCTCTCTCTCTCTCTCTCTCCTCTTATATATGTATGTAAGGATCATGCGAATGGCGAATGTGTTCGTCGTGCTCACAAGGGTCTACGACGTCATAGCTAACGAGCGAGAGAACACGCGCATACATGTTGGCAGCGCATGCAGTCTTTGTGTGGTTACGAGAAGAAAAAAAAGGAGAGAGAGAAAACCAAATGTACGAATGAAATCATGTTTATTTAACAATGAAAGAGAGGACGGAAAAAAGAAAAAAATGAGAAGATTAGAGTCGTTCTAGAGTTGCTTTTGTGAATAGTAAGCCATTGCATCTCGAGCGCATTCGGGACCGATGTTGAACAGTGGATGCGTATTACGCTAGAAGAAAAGAAGATTATCATTTGTGGATTAATCCTTTCTTTCTCTTTCTCTCTATGTATATCTTACTAGTCGATTGACGTCACCTCCACAGATGACTGGCGTTTGATCTAAACCACTATCTTGAAATAGACTGAGCCCGCTTAGACAGTAACATGTATGGTAAAGATCAGTACTACGAAAAAAAGAGAATTTTTAACCTTTTATGTGTTGAAAGATTAATGAGGAGAAATCTTTACCGTCCATCAAGCTTTGGTCGATCACTAAAACCTCCCGATTGATTTCCTTGACTACATAAAAGAACATATTCTTGCGCCGCAACTAAATTAAAAACGATAGCAAATTATAAAAGAACTCATTCGATCTTACTCGTATTAAACAACTGTCCATCGTGTCTATCATTCACATCTAAATTATCAAAACAACTTTTATTGATGATGATGATGGTGGTGATGAAACGAATTTGAATTACTTTGATCATTTCGCACGGGTTTTCGTCGTTCAATATTTTCAATAAGTGGCAGCAAAGCGCCCACCCAAAATGAGTAGCATCCATCAACAAGTTTATTTGTACGGCCTTGAAAACCGCCTTCAAATGTCATCTGTCGATTAACAGTCCATCTCTATTGCAACAAATATTATCAGTTCGATCTCAATCGATATCTTTCGAATGTTTGTTTATATTATCTTACAAGCAAACTTTCACGATCACATATGGATTCTCGATCAAGTAAGATTAGTGTCGCATAACCACAAAATGAATATCCACCATGTGCTTCAGCGCCAGGACATGCACCGAAACCACCTTCATACGTTTGACAACTTTCAATGACATAATAATATGTTTCCTGTCGAATTTCTCTGCTTTTATTTTTACCTTATTACCCATTCAGCAGTATTTTTAAAGAGTTCATTGCGATCTTCTAATTGACATAGGGTTGCGACACTCGCTGCACAATAAGTCGCACTGAATTGTTTAAATTATCAATTGCCAGTACAAAGATCAGTGTTAACTTACCGAATATCTGATTCACCATCAAGATGAAGACTAAAACTGCCATTCAACGGATCACGGATTGTTTTCAACCATGCGGATAGTTTTTTCCTAACAAAGCACAAATAATTTGAAAGAAAAACAATCAAATAATAATCTTCTACCGATCAATAACTTGATAAGCCTTTTCGCTTCGTAATAAACATAAGGCATTGACAGCAGCATATGTCGGAGCTAAGTGAGCTATTTGACCAGGACCACCTGAAAGGAATTAATCAAATGTATACATTCGATCATCTCTTAAATAAACAATGTTCAATGTTTGGATAAGAAATTAAGTTCTTTGAATGTTATTTCGTATCGATTAAATAAAACAACATAGCATACCTCCGAAGCCACCATCTGGATGTTGACAGCGGTTCAAAAAGCCACAAATACTAAATAGAATTATTCATTTTACAGTTTGTTCCTTGCAATTCAACGTACTCATTGATCAATGAATCTGATAGTTGTTCATCGAGTAAATAAAGACTTTGTGTAATCCAATAGATGAGCCATGGTCGACTAGCATCGAGTGCCTAGACATTCAGAGAAGTTTCGTATTCTTTTTCTGTTCAATGAATTAGTCTGTGTTCGATACTTGTTGAGATTCAGGCAGGTGTCGAAGACTTTTAAGTAGATAAGCAACATGTTTGTCTCGACTGAGAAGTGGGCCTCTATGAGTAAAGAAGATTTCCGCTTGAATAAATCAATGATTTAAATCGATTACTCTAATCCTAAACTGGATTGTGAATGAAGAAACTGACGAAAGCGTTTTTCAACCTCTCGTTCCGATTGAGCTTGATCTCTATTTGTTACCGTATCTTCCTTATGCGTTCGATACACACCTTGAAAGAATCCTTTTTGACTGATACGAAGTGACATATCTAAAAGGATGCTGAGTTACGTTAGACGAATGCAAGGTTAAGGGTGAGGGTTTAAATAAGTTTACTAAATAAATGTTAGCATAAAAAAATCGAGTCATTTAACCATCTTTCGAACAAACTTTCAAGCCTTTTTTAACCTGTGGTCGATCACCGATCACCTTCAACCATCGATCAATATTCGAATAAGCGTTATCATCGAGTTTTTCCTTATAATTCTTGGTAAAGAATTGCACCCAGGGAAAAATAGCCATATCAGCTATAGTGTAATCATTACCACTGACGTATGAACCGGTTTTATTTAGTTGTGTGTCGAGAACTTTCAGAAGACGTTTTGCTTCATCTAAGTAACGGTTTTTGGCGTAATCAATCTGTTCTTTTGCTGCTCGATGGAAATGATTTGCTTGTCCAAACATCGGACCAACGCCGCCCATTTGCCACATAAGCCATTCGAGTGTTTCATAGCGTTGACGTGTTCCCATAGGAGCAAGAAATTGACCAGTTTTATCGGCGAGATAGATCAGAATGGCTCCACTTTCGAATATTGTCAACGGTTGCTTATCTTCACCAGGTGGTTGTCGATCAACAAGAACAGGAATCTTCGAATTTGGATTCAACTTTTTAAACCAATCCTCTACAAAAACCGACGTTATTTCAAGCGATTGCTTTCAATTTCTTTACCGTATTGTATATCTTTACTAATATCAATGAGATGTGCATCATATTCGAGACCTAATTCTTCCAGGGCGATACCAATCTTCTGTCCATTTGGTGTAGCTAATGAATACAATTGAATAGGTTTATCTCCTGTTTGGGCACTCGTGTTTGTCGCCATTAAACGTCGATTGAATATTCGACAAAAATTCACTAATGATAATCTATACATAAATAATAAATGAAACTAAAGCAGAGTATGGTCTTTATTTGTATGTTAGAATTAAAGGATCTAGTTTTTGTTTAAAATCTTCAAAAGATGCTACAGGCAATTGACATTGAAAATTTTTACAAAGAAAAATACGCGTCTGTTCGTTTGTTCCGTCCATAAATGATGTTAAGTGTTTGTTGTATTGAAGAAGCTTATGATTTGGCTTAATTAAATTGATGATGATCTTATTCGGAAGATAGGATGTTTGAATGTATCGATTGATTTCTTCGTTGTTTGATGATTGAACAACAATTTCATTCATACCTTGCGTGTACATTTCAAAACAACGAATCATTGTTGGCATCGTCATTGGCACTTTAGTCAATTGACGAGAATAAGATTTGAATAATAGTCGAAGACGATCGTGGAGTGAGGTATCAGCAAAGTAATGACCGAGACGCAGAAGATTGAGAGATGCTATTGCATTTGGTGATGGTTCAGCGCCATCGTGATCTAGAGAAACGTTTTCAGAAACAATCAAGAAGTGGATTGGTATTAAATACCTTCGGAAAGACGTAAAATAATGGAAGTATCTTTGCCGTCTGTGCTTAAATATCGATTTTTATTTGAATCCCAAAAGAGTTCATCTTGCTGCTTTTGTAAATCATACGCGAATAGTAATAATTCTTCATCGAAGTTCGTTTCGTAAAGATCAATACAAGCTTGAATAACAAAAGCATAATCATCTAAGAATCCATTCACTTTCGAATCTCTGAGAAACAAACATAACGAAAACTACAATGCGAACAAATTTCCTTACGTATATTGAATTTCATGCGTCTTTTGATCGATATAACATGTACGCAGAAGTCGTTGTGTTGCCGAATCGATCAAATGAGTACGAATAAAATTCATAGCTTGTTCAGCAAGTTGAGTGTATTTTCGTTCTTGTAATACACAAGCTGCGCGAGCTAAACCACTTATCATCAAGCCATTCCACGATGCGAGAAATTTCTCATCACGATGTGGTCGTGGTCGATTTTCATTTCGATATGTCAAAAGAATCTGATGGCACTCAGCTAAGATTTCTTTCAATTCATTCGTATTGGCAAGTTGGAATTTTTCAACGGTAGCTTGGAGATTATCATCGGTAATCAGAACATTTTGATTTTTCAATTCGTCATGCGGATCCTTGAAAAGAGACCTTTTAAAAATGCGCGAAGATATATTTAGGATCTTACTTGCATAGGATCAACATTACCATTTTTCTTGCATTGATAGTAATGACTGAAGATTTGTGCATTTTTTTCTGGTAACAGCTGATATAGTTCATCATAACTCCACACATAAAAAGCACCTGAATAGAATGCGAAGTATTTATCATTGAAAGTGTCTGGTCTCTTCTAACCTTCTTTTTTCTTTTTATCAGCTTTTGTTGGCAATGAATCCGCATCTTCAGCGCAATAGAAACCTCCATATTGACTATGACGTAGATCACGTTGAACATACGAAATTAAATCTCGCAGTGTTTCACCGATAAGTTCATCTTTAGTAATCTTCAACAACAAAAATCTCAGTCACCTTTTCCCCAATTGCAGATTAACCTACTGCATATGTATCTGCTAATGCCACAGCGATTTGTCCTTGATCATATAGCATTTTTTCAAAATGTGGCACATGCCATCGCTTATCAGTTGAATATCGATGGAAACCTTTTCCTAATTGATCATTGATGCCGCCTAGAGACAAATCGATGATCGTTTTTAGTTCTAATGATCAGATGGGGACGGTTTACCTAGAGCCATTTTCTTCAATGTCAATTGTGTCATATCGATAGCTAGTCTAGCTGTATCAGGTTTTCCCTTCGATTGATGACTTACAGCAGCATGCGTCAATAAAAAGTTAAAGTTAACTACAAAGAATATCTGAGAATTTACACAAACTATCTGATTTTAATATACCTGGTTGTGGAAACTTTGGACTTGTACCAAACCCGCCATGATCATCATCGAAATCATTAGCAAAGTATGCGAAACACGTTTGTACACTCGTATTGGTGATAACATCAGAGTTATTTTCTGAAATAGCAGTCTGTTTTTCCATCGCTGTTGTTAATTGTTGTATTGCATCTTTACTTCCATCGATAATATCCTTTGATTTTGTTCGCCAAGCTTCGTTTAATTTCAATAAGATTTCTTTGAAACCTGGACGACCGTATTGATGTTCATTTGTTGGTGGAAAATAAGTACCGGAGAAGAAAGGTTGTAATTGTGGAGTAAGCCACACTGATAATGGCCAACCACCACCACCTTCTGTCGCCTCTTCGTAAAGAAAAACTAAAACAATGGAAACGAACCGATACTGCTTACTTGGAGATATGTCATGTAGACTCGATCGACGTCCGGTCGTTCTTCTCGATCAACTTTGATTGAAATGAAATGATCATTGAGTATTTTAGCAATTTCAGCGTTTTCGAACGATTCGTGTTCCATGACATGACACCAATGGCATGTGCTATATCCAACTGAAAGGAAAAAAACGAGTATTCACTAGTAATTAAAGGTATAACTTGATTTACTGGAAAGAAATATCGGTTTGTTTTCTTGACGCGACTTTTCAAATGCATCTTTACACCACGGATACCTAAAAAAACACCTGTGAATAATCGAACAAAAACGAAGGTATTTAAACTATTTCACCAGTTCACTGGATTATGAGCATGTTGTTGCAGATAAGAAGATTTTTCGTTTGCTAATCGATTAGCAAAACGTTGCTGTTCTTGTTGAGTCATTCTGACAGTCAGACGAATTAGAGAAACGCTGAAATGAAAAAATGTTTCTGTATATTCGCGAATGAATCGTACTTTCTAGCCCGCCACAGATTGTACATTCACTTATAAATACTTTTCAAGTTACAAAACGTCCTGAATAAACTCTTCTCTATTCGCGATTCGCGATTTCATATCCTCTGTTCCTTTACTTATTACTCGCGTACGAGAAAAACCAATGAAATACTTTCATTCAAGTATCTAATCTGTCTACTAGAGTCCTCTAAAGCATTCTATTCTTTGAGTCATATTTTCAACATCATTTTTTAGTAATAGTCGCAATTTATTTACTGATATGAAAAAGCTCGGTTAGTTTATATATTTCTTCTTGTCACAATATCGATAAAAGCATATAGTTGAATTAATGGTGTGCCCAATAGTCAATCACGGTTACTTCACCGATATGTGGTTTCAAAAGTTCGACGAAAGCCATATGATCTGCGTGATGAAGATATGTATCTCGGTCTTGTTCGTTGGCGAACGTCAACAGAAAACAATGCGTATAACCTCGATCAAAGTTTTCTTTGCTGACATTGGTACCCCATTCATATTGTTTAACTACGGAGACTTTCACCTTAGCTAACGAACGAAATTCATCTTCCAAACGAGTTATATCTGCTGGTGGAGTATCTTCCTTGAATTTCAGCAAAACAACATGACGAAGCTGCTTGTTTTCAGCCATAAAAATAATGGGTATTCGACAAACGTAAAGATAAAAAGTAACACGGGACAAAAAGCAGGCAGTTAAATAGCAAATAATAAACCCAAATGAAGATTGTTTTTCGTTCGCTTCATCGTGTTGGATGACGGTTATTTTGTTAGTGTATACATTTTAAAGGATTGACGAAGAATAGCGACAACTGTCGTTGACTATTTCTAAAAATAGGAAAAATCCTCAATGTTCGTTCTATTTTCGTAATCAAACGACACAGTGAAGAATACAAATTTAAGCACAATATAATGCGTTCACTCAACGCGAAGACTCATCGATTTCTGCACAAACAGTTGTCTACTGAAGTGCATATCCACATTCTCTTCTTTCACCAGTCAGATCAAAGTGCATCTCTTTGACACTATCACTAAATAAAGATGAATTCATTGCACATCTGACTTTCATAAATAACGATACGAGGAATGTGTTCATTGCGTTCTAACAGATATTATCTATCCGCTTTTTGAGCATTACATCTATCTTCTATCTAATGATTAGTTCAATTTTTTACATTTTACGATTAGTGGTTCAATCCTGATTAATACATACTTTAATATCAAAAACTGACCTTTGATTTCACAAGAATGTTACGCAAATACACATATCTTTTCGCGTAGTTATGTCGACAAATATTTATCATTCTATGCTTCTTTTTCGCTCACATGACTATCCAAATAGCAGTTGGTTTTGAATGTTGTTTCGTTGATATGTATCTTGAAAGGTGTTTGGCAAACGATTAGGGAACTGGCGTATGTCTTTTTTAAAATTTCAATTGTATACTTTTGTTATCTATCACGATGTCAATGAGATTTTATCACTGACATTGCGCATCGTGGAAAGTGAGGCAATATATATTTCACTTGTAATGCATATTCGTTTTAGTTATGCAAGGCTGTTTTCGAATCACGTTTATTTTCTTTTATTTTTAGAATAAAAGAAATATCTTTGAGAACATCCTGGTATGTTACGTGATAGGAGTTTCACACTAACGGCACTTCTTCTGATTGTCTTCGCCCTATCTACTTGGCTTGACGTGAATGGTGTGTGGGTTGAACTTCCTTTGATTGTCAACGAAGCGCCAGAAGGATGGTCTTTACCATCATATTTAACTTTAGCGATTGCATTGAGTAACATCGGACCATTGATTATCGTTCTATTAAAACTTCGTTTCAAAAAGCATCTTGATGAACGAATATTTATCTATATAGAAATTCTAGTTGGCATCATATCATGTGCTTTAATTGCTCAACACTGGAACACAACAAGTTATTTCGCTGGTCGACCACATTCAGTATTCTTTTTGGTTTTAGTTTTTTTACTTGGCACATTGGATACAACGTCGACTGTAACTTATGCGGATTATATGAAGCGATACCATGCAAAATTGTTAAATGCATTGTATCTTGGCGAAAGTTTAACATCGTTGATTCCGTCGATTTTAGCATCAATTCAGGGTGTAGGTGGGGAAACAATCTGTCGAGAGAATTCAACTTATCCTGAGTATTCTTCTCCACGATTTTCTGTTCAAGTTTATTTTTGGATATTTGCCGGCATTATCCTTCTTTCCCTGATTGCTTTTCTCTTACTGGAATTCTCGTCGATTCCAAAAGCGCAACGAACTTTCAACGTCATGGAATTCTCCGTTGAAACAAGTCTTACTCCAGATAGTCGAACAACATCATCGCATATGTCGAAGAAGCATTATTATATCTTACTCACGTTCGGATTTCTATCAAGTATTATCATTTACGGCATTCTACCTTCGATTGGCACTTATGCTGTGTTACCATACTCTCAAAGAGCATATTACATTTTCAGTCTTATTTTACCGATATCAAATCCATTATCAGTTTTACTTGGTATCTTCTTACGAAGTATCTTGAGCATTTTTACGTTAACAATTTTACTCGTTTGCGCTACTTGTATATCAATCTATGTGATTGTTGTTGCTGCCTTAAGTCCATGTCCACCGTTACACGACTCGGCAGGTGGTGCTGTGTTAATCATTAGTTGTTATTTCCTAGCGTATCTACTCTTTTATTATATAAAATTAGTTCTTGGCAACCGGATTCGGCAAGAATTTCCACGCGAAAGTGGTTTGTTTTGGTTTGGAGCAGCAAGTCAACTCGGCAGTCTAGTTGGAGCCGTTCCAATGTATCTACTTATTAATGTCTACAATATATTTAAAAGCCGAGCTGTATGTCAAGCATACTGTTAAAAATGAATAAATTCCTAGTAGAATCTGTTTTACTGAAAGACATTCTATAGATACAAATAACAATTAGAATTTCTTTGTATGTTTGAATGATTTTCGATCAAGCCAAGGATCCGGTCGTGGTATTCGAACAGGTTTCAGAGGTTTGTACTTGTCTTTAATTTCACAAAACGGTTTGCTTGCAGCTTTGGCAGCTTCAGTAAATGGGAAGAATGGCGCTTCTAAAACAGATCAAGACCTTTTGTTAGAAACAAACAATGTAAAGATTTTGCATTCTGCGTACCGACAACAACTTCTTCACCTTTGATCAGTTTTTCCCATAGATATACTTGACCCTTCTTTCGTCCCAGTTGGTTATGAATTCCTTTGTTCGCCATACGTTTCATTATATTCACGCGATGCTTTGATTCGTAAAGAAAAGCAGTCCGCACGGGTTGCATTAGTAATATACTAGGAAGAGCATTTCGAACTGTATTCGTCAACACAGATGCTTTTAATACGAATGAACTTATCATTCTCCTAATCTGAAAATCAAAGTAGAAAATGAAACATAGAATATCAATTTATCTATTGTATAACAAAACAGATGTTTTTATTCTTTGTATCTTTAACTAATAGATATACACAGGACCACGCTTCTTCGTTTCTACAATACCATTCACTTGCATTAATTCTTCGGCAACTGTCATCAATTTCGGTTCAAATGTAACAGCTTTCAGGTCATTATCGACAGTGTCATTAGGACCGGCTAGAATAAAATAAAAATGCAGTTGAATGATGTTTGTCCGATTGATATTTATTACGTTTGTATGTCTTCTTCTTGGCATAGTCATTGGTTTCTTCCCAGGCAGGAGACTTAGGAATAATACGACCGGATCTAGTAGAGACACGCACATGTTCACCTTCAGCTGTATATCGCCATTCGATAGTACACGGTTTTCTAAAATATGATCATCAGATATGAGAAAGACAATACCGATTGAATATGCAGTGTTTCATACCCATCATAAGGATCGATTAGTTTTACTTGATATGGAGCAATCAATGGTTTTTCTTTGGCAGCAATCGAAGTACTTGTAATTGCGCCGCCACTCACTCGTTGAATTTCCTACAAGATGAATGAACGCATAACAACTGTATCATGGACAACGTATAATCATACTAGATTTAATCCACCGACAAAAACCGCGTTCAATTCACGAATATAAGCAACAACATTGCTCTGTTTGCCTTTGTCTTTTCCAACCATGACTTCAACCTGTCGAGAAAGATTTCAAATGATATCGTGCGAAGAGAGAGAAGGACAATCGAACATACTAAATCTCCACGAAAGAAATCCCACGTCTTCAAAGGTTCGATCAATTGTGGATGTCGGGTACCGTGCCTTGGGTCATTTTTACGTTGTGCAAGATCCGTCCATGGTGGATCTTGCGTATATATCCATGGGTCGTTATACTTAATTGTTTTATGAGGTATAACATTCATATTTCCCTCTAAAAGAATGTGACGATAGATATATGATTAAATGGAAGTCCGGGCAATTTTTACCAATTACAGTTCCATTGAATTTCATCCGTTCAACAAATCTCTTTGGCATATGAAAATAATCACTCCACCGTAAGATGGGTGTCAAACGCACCATTTCTTTTCAATAATCTGAAACTAAAGTTTAGCTCTCGAATGGCACTGTCATTAGTTATAGAGAAACTCTTTTAGTTCTTGTTGTTTGTTGCTTTTTTTAATAATCCATCTGTTTGTGCAAGCGAGAAAAAAAGAACAAAAAACATATGGTTGTGATAATGTACACAGTCGAAGAAGCAAAAAAACGGGGAGAAAAAAAGAGAAACACCGAATGAAAGAAATATGTAAACATAGATACGAGCGCACATCTTAGTTTGCTTTTTTTATGTGTGTGTACATGTCCATCATCAGATTTGAACAATAATACGTCACGCCTCGAAAACCAACAAAGTCTTTCTCATCTTCATAATCATCAAAAGAAATACAAGAATAGTCGAAATCGTGTGAGAAAGTCCTGTGGACAAGAATAAAAGCAGCACAATTATTGGGCTAGAGGGTTTTTAATAAGAGCAAAGAAAGAGACAGTTTACTTGAAAGACACATGTAAAAGAAGAAAAAAAAACCAAGAAAAACGTATATACAAGGCTAGCCTAAATACATATACACACTCACGCACATCATATATATATATATAAATATGTACATTTTAAAAGAAGCCTATCTTCGTCGATAGAAAAAAATTTGTTGTAGGGATCACGACCGGGGTGGAAGAAAAATTATCAACATGCATTCGAGTCGATGGTAAACTCGTTGATGATTCAATTCAAGATGAACGAGTTAATTGATCATGATGGAATACATCGAGATAATTTGGACTTGCTTGAACGTTTCGATTGAGATTAGTTTCCAAAATGAATGGCGGTTGAGATATCGAAGATGATGGATGAACAGGTGTCTGATGAAAAACTTTCTTCTTATGAGTTGTTGCCATGGGTACATAGCAATGATTTCGTCTTGGTTTCTGTTCATGACGGTTCTGTCGAGACTAGAATAGAACAACGAAAATACACACACATAGATGCAATAATTCTCTTGTTAAAAAAACACAATTAATTATAAAAAAAAAACATAATCATATGTTATTTGGTTACCTTAGGTTATCATTGTATCAATCGAGTATTTTGTATGCATATAGTAATATTGGTTGATCAAAACACAAAAAAAGTAAACCCACACAGAGTTATATGTATATTTACATAACACACACAAGCGTCAGCGCGTGGCTGTCTGTTATTTAAAAAGACGGCATTTATATATTGAAGCAAAGCGCGGGCACACAGACATTCAGAGCTGATCACTCTGAGCGTTATTGTTGTTGTTTTCGTTATTGTTTACCGGATATTGAATCTGGCTATGCTGATGAGGAAAAACGGGTGGTTCAGATAGGGTTTTACAAAGAGAGTGATGTGTAGATGGATTTGATGTCGGTAGATTTGAATTTGTTGTACTCGATGATGTTGCCGATGAAGGACATTTAGCCAAAGGCGAAACAGATATCTCAAATTAGGAAAAGACAAAAGAAAAGTAAGCATTCGTTGATACACAGAGGGATCGTTAGTCTGCCTAAGTATACCTGTGATTTCTGCCTGGCAATTAATGGTAATAGTGTGGGTTGAGGAGAATCTGGTTCAGTGCCAGTCGGTGTCGGTGGTTTGAGCGGTGCTTGAAGTGGTGGCCATTCGGATGAATCAAGTATGTTGGGACGAGGTTGATGATAATTTACTGATGCAGATCTTTCGTTGTTATGTTCATGAATCGATTGATTATTAAACAAAAGTAATGGTAACGATGACGAGAGTATAGATGTGTTTGTCGTTGTTAATGTATGTGCTAAATTGGTATTGGTTATAAACGTTGTTGGAATGGTTAATGGGAGACCAGCAGCGACGGCTGCTGCTTCCATATCTCGTGCTACTTTTCTTTCACTCAAACGTCGAAAGAGTGAATTGTTTTGTGGATGCTTTTTATTTGGATTAGTTACTGCATTATTTCCATTACTATTATTTGAATTAATACTGGAAGAGTTTCCTGACGAGTTCGTTCGATATTTTAGGCAATATGGTTGATGATATGAATTGCTCGTTTGAGTTTTCTTGTTATCGTAATAATGTTGCTGTTGATAGCGAATCTTCTGTTTTGAAGGCGAACGACGTCGTCCACCAGTACGTATCTGAGTTTCTGAACAAGGAATTGCTCGGATAGACAATTTCGGTGAACCACTTAAAATTAATTTCACAACTTCAGGATGTAGAAGACCAGCAACAGGACGTTCATTCACATGAGTAATAACATCATTCGGCCTTAGGCCAGCTTCTTCAGCTGGGCCTTCAACAGCGACGACAACATGTTGTGTTGTATAATAGTCGGTGTTACCATGAAAGACTTTCACAGCACGTAATGTAAAGCCAAAACTGCGTGGACCACGACGAATGATGATCGGTGGTCGAAGATTGTGTGTTAATGAGTGTACAGGAGATATTGTCGATGATGAAAATGAATTTTGTTGATGGGCTCGGAGAGTTGTATCACGTTCGAGAGGCGAGACAGCCATGTTATGACGTTGTGTATGACGATAAGAACGATCATCCTAAGCAAATAAACGAGATTTACTTGCAAAAAAAAGAAGAAAAAAAACCTACTGGATTGTTAAACCATACTGGTGGCGGCGGTGATGACGACGAAGAAGACGATGAAAATGACTTCGATAAAGATCGTGGAAAACTTCGTTGTTGATTATTGTATTTAATCGGTCGGTTTGTGTTTGCTACTGATGTGGTCGTCAACGTCGTTGTGGTTGTTGTTGTTAGATTAGATGAAATAACTTTATGTGTTGGTGCTGGTATCAACGAATTGGATGAAGCTGATTTTTTAAATTCAGTTTCATTGATAACGGCTGCCTTTGGTGTAGTTTGTGATGATGTTGACGAGTTATTTGATTTATTTGATTGTATGACGTCTTGTGATTTTGTATTTGATGGAATAGGAATATTACTCGCTGGTGTTGGTGATGTTGTTGATTGTTTTGGACGTAGAGGAGATAGGACTCGAGGTATTCGCACTTTCTTATGGTGGTAATGATGGCGGGGTTTACCTTTTTGCTGTTGATTGTCATCACCACTATCATTCGCATTTTGCTGTTCAAGTAATCTGAGTGACGTTTTACGTTGCTTGTAATGTTTCGTTGTTGTCGAAGGTGTACTAGTAGTGATTGCAGCTGTTTTCTTTTCTTCAACATTTTTTGTTATCGGGGTTAATGTAGAATTTGGAATTGATGATGAAAGTGACGATGATGAGGAAGAGTTTTGTCTTGACAGTGATATATTCGATAATAAAAGCTTATCGGAACCAGCTGATGCTACGGAATTATTCTTATGAGATGGTGTTTCTGAAGAATTATCATCTGATGAGACAAGCAATGGTTCAAAAGTATCCGAACCAAATGTTGGCTGAACGGGCGATGGTTCAACTGCAGAAGAAAAGAAGCCAAATGAGGACAAAGAGGCAAAAGAGAAAAGCAACTTACCCTTATCTCTTGTCTGTGGTGGCATTGATTGGGACATAACAAGTGGTTGAAAAGCACTTGGTGAATTAATTCTTATAATATTATCAGGATTAAAACATTCGGAACATGAATTCGTTCTTGATACATCAGTTGATGAGACCTCCGATGCAGTTGTGTTTGTTGTTGTCGAGTCTTGAGGGTGTTGAGTTTTATTTGAATGACGTTGTTTCGAATTACCCGATAGTTCTGAAACATATTTTAACGAGACGGATGAAAATGAAGCGAATAATATATCGGAATCATTGTCAGGTAATGCTACTTGTGTTTGTTTATTCGTCGTCGATGATAAAACATCATCATCTGAATGTTGATAACGATCTTCTCGCGTATCAAAATACGATGTATCATCAGGTGATTCTAATACTGGTACGAAGTCAGCTTTTTCACGTAATAAAGTATTCCAATTAATACAAGCACAAAATGGATGTGCACGAATTTCTAAAGCACCACCTAATGTACCCAAACGTTGCGATGGATCATGTTCAAGGAGTTGTTCAATTAAACTCTTCGCCTCGGGACAAAAGACTTGTTCCGATGAGTCGAAACATGTCGACGAAGACAAATCAAGAGTTGACTCGTCGAGAATGTCAGGCCATTCGATTTGTCCGTTGATAACATTCACAAATAATTCGTCAGGTGTATTACCCGTAAAGGGTGGTACACCAACTAAAAATTCATATAAAATAATACCCATACTCCACCAATCGACCGGTTTGCCATAACCTTTTCTAAGAATAACTTCAGGCGCTATGTATGACGGTGTTCCGCATATTTGCTTATCATTGAATGCTTTCGTTTCTTTATCGATATGTTTTTCATAAAAAGTCGTTGTTAATGACATCAAACCAATTTTCGATAAGCCGAAATCGGTTAGTTTTATATGGCCAACAGCTGTTATAAGCAGATTATCTGGTTTAAGATCACGATGAATAATACCATAGGAATGAAGATACTCCACAGCCAGCGTTGTTTCAGCAAAATACATTCGTGCTATGTCGATATTCAAAGGTCCACCGATGTTTTTTAATAATGTAGCAACATCTCCACCTTCGACGTACTCCATCACAAGACATAGATGCTTTTTCGTTTCGAATGTGCATATCAATGCAACAACGAATGGATTATCAGTAAATGTCATGATGTCGCGTTCGACAAAAGCTTGTTCGACTTGGTTTCGTAAGATTAGATGAGTCTTGGAAATCTTCTTCACTGCATATCGTTCCTGACTTTGACGATGTTTGACTAAGTGAACGGCACCATAGGCTCCATTCGAGATTAGTTTAATCACTTCGAAATCGTCTTCACATGGAGCTTTGGTCGACAATGAATGCTCAATCGGTGGAAACGTAGAATTCGGTGTGATAGTTAAATAGTTCGAATCTGTTAATGATTCGCTTTCGCTTTCCGATAGACCAACACTCGTTTTGCTATCGACAGAATCATGTCGTTCAAGATCACTTGATTCATTGACCTAAATAGAGAAGGACCGATCAAAGTTTTCTGAATGAGATGCATTCAACTAGCAAATTACCTGTAATGCGTCGATAACTTCAAGTGGATTCCGGTCTAAGTTAAGCTTTGAACAAATATATTTCGGAATATCTTGTTTAATGTTTCCATTGATCTTCGCTTGACACTCCACTTCATCTAACGTTCGCAAGAAATCTTCCGGATCGAATTCTAAACATTCTAATAGACGTGCTGATCGTGCTGTTGTTAACAGAAGATTTCGCGCGACAGTTTGCAGATTTTCAATCGCTTGTGGACATTTTTCCTTTGCATTCAACAACAAACGCTCTAGATTCGTTGTCATTTCATTGAAGTACAATGTTGTTATTAAATCTTCATGTGACTTTTCCAAGCAATCTTTGGCTAATTCAATAATTTGATTATGAATGAATCGAGCTGATCCGTCCGAACAATATTCGTATTTATCAACTGTTTTATGCGTATCAATGAAGTTTTGTAGACGCTCTTCCATTTGTACCTTCGCAGTGGGATAACGTTCCTTGTAGATGTATGCCATTGTATTCATGTCCTGAGCGGGCATAGTCATCATTTTACATGGCGATGAGGAGATATTCGCATCGAGCATCGACATTGACAATGAGCGTGATTCTAAACGTTGTAAACTTCCATAGGCGAAATCATCATGTGGACTACCATTCGATGAACTTCCTTCGTTGGAATTCGGTAGATTGCTTGGTTGTTTACACGTGCAGACATGTTGTTGGCTTTGTTGTTGTTGTTGCTGATGTTGAAGACGTTCCGATGATGAGTATTGTGAACTTTCGTGTGAATGGCATGTTATCGGTGTTGTTGTTCCGTAACCACTTGATGATGGAGCTGATGTTAATGACCATCGACGGTTGGAATTATCATCGAGATTCACGATCGGTTTAAATGCACTGGTGGACGATGGATTGAACGCATTCGCTGTTTTATTTGCGTCTTGTGGTTCAGATAATGCTGGACATAAGATTTGTTGTTGAGGAGATAGTTGTTTTCTTAGCACATGTTTCAAATTGATTAGATTCAAACTGGATAAATTCGAACGACGTGAACTTGGTCGACGCAATGGATAGGGAAAGAAATGTTGCGTTTGTTGACTTTGTGATGGTGTTAATGGATGGTTGGCAGAATTGGATTGATTTGTCTGCGAACTATTTTGTTCATTTGTTGTTGATGATGATGTCCGAGGCGATGACTTAAGTGACGGTGATATCTGATAGAAGTAATTCATCTGTACTGAATTCAAATTAGGCTCTGATTGTCCTAAACGTAAACGACGTAAACGGGAGAGATTTGTTGTTTGTTGATTATGCGAAAGAATCTCAGGCGATTGTGAATTGTTTACCGATGTTGACATCACATTTGAACAATTCGACGATGTTGATAATAACTGTGCTTGGGAGACCATCCAACTGCGTCGACGAAGACGTTCTTCAACGAATTTCTTCGAATTTTGTTCACGATAACGAACTAGATGTTGACCTGACCCAGTTGATGAACGTTTACGCGTTAGGGGATGTTGTTGATAATGAGATTGTTGAAGTGTAGTCACCGGTTCACTCGATTCACGTTCCTCAACACTTAATAAATGAGAATCAGCATTTTCATTGGATACCGTTGCTGTTGTTGGCACCGATGATGCACCAGTTGAGTCGACGTCTAGAAAGAACAACATTAGAAAATTAGAAGAATGCTTTTGTAGATCGATTAATATATGGATAAAGATAAAATCACGTCGGAATTTGATGAAGTCGACTGAAATTCCATTCATAAAGTCCGTGTTTTAGGAAAAATATACAACTATACAGTCATAAGATAGTACCGTTCTTTTGTTGTGTAGATGACGTTTGGTTAAAGGGTACGAAAGTATGGCTGTATAGAAGGAGTAGGCTTTTCATTAGGAGAACAAGGAAAAGAAACAATAGCATTCCATTAATGTTTATCATCAAGCGAGAATAATTACCCGAAACAACAACAAATAGTTTTTTTGATTTTTCTTCATTGTCATCTGGTTTGAATTGAGTATTAAGATTTTGTTCGGATGATATGTTTTCATTAATTGTCGGTTCAAAGATAAGATCTGCTGCTGAATTTGTTAAAACTTGAGATTGACTAGGCGTTGTCTGTGATTTGCATTTTCTTGTTAAACTGCTTGTTATTTGTAATTCATCATCTTTAATAAATGGTGTTCCTGTGGTCGATGATGAACCTGTCAATGTTGATGTTGTCTTGTGTTTAGATTTTTGACTGAAGAATTTTCTCATAGTTGACGAAATACTGGACAAAAATAGTTATGTATAAGCACAATTATTCGATGGATAACTCGTTGTCAACAAGAGAAACGAAAGAGAGAAGAGTAAGAAAGAGGGAGAAAGAGAAATAATTGACTACGACATATAGAATAATGTATGGTGATGTTGAAATATTAGTTATTCTGAGTCATAGTTTGTTTTTGAGTGCAACTATGATGTAAACTATAGATGACAGGTAAGTGATGATGAAGCGTTCTTTGCTGTATTTTGATTTTTCTTGACTAGATTGGTCGCCGGTTTTTGTTGCATTCTAGAATAAGATCAAAATACGCATTTCAATGACAATGTGCAAAAAAGGAGAACGAGCCTAGAAAAGATAGAACAATAGACAAGAGTAAACGTATAAGTGATGATAAATGAAAAAAGAAGTTTGCCAATCGTCATTGTGTCGACATCATCATTGTATATTCAATTTTTTACATGTCACAGGGCAAAAAAAGTGAGAGAAACTTTCATCATCATATCACAAAAGCGCGATAATGATGAACACAACTTCAAATACAATGATGCTGAATGCATACGTGTGAAAGAAAATTCTTCTTCTCTGATTCGTTCGTTTACATTTACTTTTCTAGTAGTAAGTTGTGCTCCTTCACTTTCTTTTCTCGTTCTCTCTATCTATTATTCCCTCGCTATTTGAAAAGCGAACAAATCAGCTGTCGTGATCGTGACTAACAACGCATATACATACACGCATGTATATCGAAGTGAAGCAACGAGAAAAAAGAAAGAACTTGTAGTAAACGGAACGAATTTCTGCTTGTGTTCGCCGGTGCGTTCGAATTCGAGCATACAGGTCACTCTGCCGTTCAGAAAAGAAAAGGCATGCAATTCCTTTTGATCTCCTCATGAAAATGGACATTTAACCCTTGTTATTATGAAATAACTTTTTTGCCCTTTTGAGTAATAACGTGTAGCAAAAATGAAGAAGAGAAAAGCATGATATATACCATGAAAATATCGTGTCATGGAGGAAGTAGTAGGCGGTCAAATGAGAAAGAAGCAGAGAGTGAATGAGTAAGCAAACTACTTGAGCTTATAAAATAATGGTATCGTACAAATTTCTTACCAAGAAAGACCTTGAAAAGCAAATGGAATAAGAAAGTATTTGCGATCACTGCTTACATATTGTAAAATTTCAGTCGAAAGATAAAGAACACGCAAGGTCAAGTAGCTTCAACTTCACACAGAAAAAAACTATAGACATCTGATCGAAGCGAGTCAATCATATGGCTTAGATTATATAGTCGAATCTGTTCGAGAGAAAGAATGCCGTTTTCTATTAACGAAAATTTTATTACAATTCGTGATGACAGCAACAATCGTAAAAGTTCTTATTTACTAAAAAATAATCGAGTTTATTTTTGTGATATTTCGACATCAAACACAGACGCACGAAAAAAAACACTATGCATCCGAGATTAGAACAAAGCAATCGAGCACATATATGCCTAGATCTTTTCATTAATAAAAACGAGATCAAAAGGAATTATTCGTGCATCTCAAAATTGTTTAATTCCGAAGAGATTAAAGTCATACTATTCAAACAACAATCAATTTTACCTTCTCCTAACAAAGTATTCTTGAAAAAGAAAAGAAAAGTCAGAGAGCTGAATTACCTTTGATGTATCACTTACTGATCATGTATAACCAATTTCTTAATCCAATCGTACTAAAACGAATAGATTCAGTTATCGAGTAGTTTAGTCTTTCTAATAACCTTCATTCATCGTTGGAGTCCGTGATTTATATAGTGCATTTTTGATCTTTCCATGTATACAAGTGCGCATGACTTACGTTCTTGTCATCAAGATAGTAATCATAAACCCTGCATACAATCCCTATCCGAGTTATTTCAAGTTAAAAATCTATTTTTCACCTGCTTCATGCAAATGATCAAAATCAATTTACGTTTTTCTCCCTCAATGTTCATTCAGCTCAGTTACATGCTTGAAGGTATATAATAGTATTTCTTTCTCATTACGAGCCAAGATACTGTCGCGGATAAGCGAAATAATCGTATGAATACATGAAGCACATCATTAAAAAAGCAACGACATCGACGGAGATGAAAAAAAGGTGTTCGATATCGAACGTCTGTCTAAAACAAGGACGTATGTGTTTTGTTTATAGAAGAACAGTCTTTCTAACATCCTAGCGTATTTGATTAGATATTAACTATTTTTTTTCTTCTCTCGGCTTTCTCTCGTGCATCGATGAGATTTGTTTACGCATAATGATGAGTCTTTCTAATCGAATTCTATCTCTGAGCAAAATGAACGACGATTGCTGACGTCATTCGTACTCATTAAACAAATCGAAGAGAAATTCTTAATGGAAAACACATCCGTCGACTTTCATCCTTAATACTCGACGAAGAAAACATACGTGTTGATCAACTGACAGACATATGTATACAAATACATATATGAGTAGATATCAAATGAGAAGAATCTTGTCCGTAGAGCGTAGATTCTGCTTTTCTCGAATAGTTCTTGACTTCATCGTCCTCCATACGTCTGCGATATCAAAGTATTCTATTTAACAGATAACGAGCAGAGGTCTTTACAGTACAAAACAGAACATCGCATGTTTGCTGGTTTTTCTTTTGTTGATTCAGTTAGAATTATCAAAGATAAAGCGACGGTTGATTACTTACTCATCTAATATAGAATTGAAGATGAATAATTCGATTAGATAAACTCTAGAAAATCATATCTAAAATAGAAACAAGAAAGAACGATACGTATGTACAAGATTGGAGGACATTTTCTGCAACGAGAATTATTATTAGTATAATATACTGTATGATGTCGATGAGTCATCGTAATTTGTTTCTAATAAAGGACAAATGTGAATATTCGAAAGATAAACTTCCAGTGAAAATCAGGAATAAAATTATAGAAAGAATATTTTGTTGAAAATCGTGATGAAAATATATTTCAATATTGTTGTATTGAATTTGAAAATAAACAACACGAAAACGATTGATGGCGCTATTTGTCTATTGACTCTTTCGAGAAATTCGAACTTGAATATAAACAAAGTATAAAAAAAGCAATATGCGCGTGAATAAATATTCAGAGAAAAATTAATCAATACCAATTTACCTCGATAATATGCGTTGCAAGGGGAAAGTAGAGTTAACTACGTAGATCGATGATATTGTTTACATGTCACTACAATCAATCGGATATGTATGACGAAGATTTTTCGTCAACAATGAAACTATTTCGTTGGTTTGAAGGGAAAAATTTGCAAAAAGAAATGGTTAATATTTATTATTTCTGTGCAAATGAAAGATATATTCAAGCGACTGACTACTAGCGACACATCTTAATAAAAGAACAATTTCAATCATCAGCATTCTGTGTACAATTGTGTAGGAGAAATAGAATTCCTGATCGAAACACCTACGTGACAAAAAAAGCTCATATATGTCGGTTAAACGAGTTCGAGGGCGAATGAAAATGAAAACTATCAATATACATATTTCGTCACATTACAATATCAATAGCCTGAGTATAAATAATTCATCAGTAGATCAAAATCGTCTTTTTTTAGGACATATTAAATATGTCACTGTAAACGAAATTTAAACTGGTAAGAACGAGAAGTTTTCCATCGATTACTTCGAAGCCGAACAACATATGCAAATGCAATGTCAAAGTCGCGAGGATACTTCAACATATATACACTTTTAATTGCCAAGAGTATGATTAAATACTTCACGGTAGCCTTTACAAGGTTGTGATTATATGCATAGCTCTTCAACATTGAGAAAAGGTCAAGATATACTCTCAAAGACGTTACAGTGCAAATATTTCTCATGTTAAGCTTAATCAGACAAGAAATTTAATATTGCAAAATCGACATTCTTCTCTGTCATCGAAAATTTGCAATCGGATAGTTTAAATGGAAAGAATAGAAAACAAAACTTATGCTGTGATGGGTGTGACTAAACCTTCTACGCATTTTAGTTGTCAATGTGTATGTCTAATTTATTCGTGCCTAACCAAAAAGAATAAACATATTTTTCACCCGTTTATGATGGATACGAAATATTGTTTTTGATATTGAAATGTCTGCACAATCGATAACAATGAAGGTTATATCAATGATTTATTGATATGATAACTGTTCTCAAGAACGATGAGAATACGATTGATTGGCCATTTATTAAACATCTAATTAACATATATTTTCATTATGATAGTCTGACAAAGAGTTTGATAGTTATGACTTTGCTCTAATCAGTAAAGATTACGCAAATGAAAACACAGAAGTGAGTGAGAGAGAGAGAGAGAAAAGAAAATATACATTCTCACAATTTTATTGTAGACTAGTGAAGGCGCGCCCACGTTGTCCATCCGTATCGAAGTCGGAATTACTTAATAAGGACAAGTGTCTACTGTCACGATTAAGCACAGTTTTACAGGTGTTACCATTCAGTAGAAGTTCGATGCTTTTCCGTGATTTTATTGAAGATAAACGATTGGATTTTTGTCGAGGCATTCTATCCGATGTATAGTCAGATTTTGATGGACATGTACTATGTGTCAAACGACGTTCTTTAGATTTTATCAAACCAAGCTCATAAAGGACATGTCGCACTTTACTGATAAATATACTTCGAAACTTCTTTCCAGCTAAACAATAGAGAAAGAAATTGAAAATATGAGGTAAATCCGACAGAATATCTTGTAGAACACTTGAATAAAAGCCAAATTTGTATAATGTGATTTCATGATCGGTTATATTCGAACATAAGCGTCCATTAAGTATTTGTCTTGTATCTTTAACGAATAAGAAGAAGAGTGTGTTTGGAATATTGCAAATGATTAACGATAATGTCACTGCTAGGAGCATGCGCGTGACTTGAGCACTTGCACGTCGTTTAGCAGCGACGGCTATATCTGTTGTTGTAATAGATGAACTAGCTGAACTACGAAAACGAAACGAGGGTACTGATATTCGAGAACCGTTGAGTTGCGGTTCGGTTTCACGTCTCGGACTTTCATCAGATAGTTTGGAATCGACGGAAACGTTCGAATCACGATGTAGAACAACGGCAATAACAATGTTTGTCAATGTGATTATCCCTGAAATAGAAATAATTGTCAAGTTTCGTTGATCAGCTTTCGGAAATATCTGATCATTATTCGAAGCATTCGTGGCTGTACGACATGAAGGATTCTAGCTTTATTTAATTACTTTGTTGTTAGTTTTTAAGCAGAAACTCAGTTTCATATTGTTCGTGACAAATGAAATTATCTTTAAAAGAACTCATGTCATCAACTTCAAGACTGACGACTACAATAGAGATATCAAATCTAGCATGATGAAGTTTTCAGAATCTGCAACAAGTGCAATGAACGTGTTTATTTGAAAGTAACTCAAATGTAAATTCCGTCATTATTGATAAAACTTCCGTTTAATTGTTCTATAAAAAGACTTCGCTGCTTTTAGAAAGCATTTATCTTGGAAACAATGTACTCAGTAAAATAAATTTTTTCGAAGATAATTTAGATTACTTTGAAAATTTCACATCTAATCGTCGAAGAGAACTGACTTCTTTGCTTAAAGTCAAAGAAAAACATACATACCGATCGGGAGAATCGAAGCTGTGACAAGATCAACAATAAATAAGTCGTCGATTAATCCACAATATTTACGGTGATTTTTCGACATTCGAATTCCAGATAGTTTAATAAACGCAAGATTAGCCAATAAAAGTACGATGATTGTCAAACAACAGATATATACAGCTCGTCGAGTGGTGACCCATATCCCAGATTTGAATGGATAAGTGACAGCAACTGCCTTATCTCTATGGAAAACACAACAGTTGTTTTGCATGGCAACGAAATTGAGAAAACTTACAAACTCATTAATGCAATTGTCCACATTGCGATCGAGATACTGGAGTTCATAAGAACGTACAATGTTTTGCAAATCGATGGAGTCAAGAGGAAGATTTCATGGCCTTTTTCGGTCGACTGATAGTTGATTTCTGCGCGAGCATATTTCAATGTAATCGCCAGGATATCGAACACGGCGAGAAAACGTAAGAAAACAATAGTCGTAGATTTATTTGATATACGCGGACGAGAGAGAACAAGCAGACAAAGTGTATTTAACAAAATACCTGGACCGATGAGTAAACGTAAATAAGTTGCATTTAACAATTTAATGAATAGATATTCCGACGAATATACACGTGCTTGCAATGAACAAGTAGGTGGTGATAGTGGCAATGACGAATTAAATGTCGAGTTCATGATTCTAAAAGATGGAACATGTATGTTGTTTGATAGAAATATTTTTGTCAACAAAAAAGAAAACGTTCGAGATTTTGCGTAGAAACAAAAAAAAGAAAAAAAAAGAATGCTTGAGATAATGAGAATAGTTAATACAAAGAATTTGTTTTCTATTGAGGAACTAGAATTTTCTTTCTTTTCTTCGATAGCCTGCTAAGTATCTTGTTGTTGTCCAACAGAAGAAAAACTATTGATTCGTGTGGTAGACTTAAAAATATCACTAGAATAACTCTATGTAATACGACGTATTCGTTGATGTTTGCTTCCTTTCTCGTATCTAATGTAGAACATTAACAGTCATGAATGTCTATCATCGAAATTTCTATTACGACAGCATGTCTTTGATACACTAAGTATGTGGGAAGGTCATCATCGTTATTGGCTTCAGTTTGATAATTATTTGATATGTCATCTATCTCTTCTAATTATTCTTAAGTAAGAGAAAACCGAACGAAAACTGAGCCTCAATGAACGACACAATCTCGATGGAAAGATCTCTTCTGGAAAAATACGAACAAGATATTACTTTCAGTTTCTCAATGATCAGCAAATCTCTTTCTATCTATCATATGTACGAATGAGTCAGTTGTGATAAAAATCAGTGACGTTCTTGAACGTCAACGTTCTTGTCTTTTTTTATACTTGTGTAATCAAGCAGAACGATCGTCATAATACATTCTTATATCAATATACGCATGTTTATATAAATCCATCGAATATTGAAATTAGACAGAATCATGCGAAATCAATACAAGATTATATTATCATACAAATGAACGCATCAATTCATCAGTTTATAACTGAAGGAAACTAGATCTCCTAAAAATAGCAAAGATAATCTCCTGTTGGCAAAGATTCAGATGGATTTCCTGCTCGTATTTCGTAATGGAAGATCAATGTTCGTTTCCAAAACAAGCTATATACTCTTAAGTACAATCAAGACACAAAATAAACTAAACCAGAAGTTTTCTATCACATACCGTAAGCGTGGAGTGTTTCATCCTTACATCATCATACTCTTACCTTTATTTTCTATAACATTGATTTATGCTACAGAAGATTGATTCAAAACATTGACGCAATCTACTGAGATACACAACGAGTAGCTACTACTTACTGTGAATTACTGTTCTCGGTGTAACTGTTCCGCGTCGAGCATCAGGAGTTTCTCTTTCATTCTCTCAGTCACATTCACAGAATAAAATAAGTTGGTTTTTTTTTTACTTCTATCAAATAAACAACAGCACAACGAGATCAGAACCCGACTGCTTGTCTCATCCATATTCATCAATTCGATTACGAACATTTTCCATATCAGTTTACGCTCGTCAAGGCATACTATTAACACATCGAAAGTTACAAATTAATCTTTCCAAAAATCTGACAAAACTGCCTTTAGAAAAAAATATCTCGATCGATACATCGTTAAATTACAGACGAAATATACACAATGAATCATCTATGGACTACATTATTTTTTGTTTTCTCTTTCTCTCGTTCATGTTTTCCTATTGTAATCAATTGTCGTATATACACGAGTAGATTTGAATGAAAATAACTTTGTCTGTTTATAAGAACTCATCCATCAGAATTATTCGATTGTAAATAATAGAAGAATCAAAATCAATCATTATAGAAGTGGATTGCATGTCGTAATTTTCTTGTTGTTTAAAAACTGACAGTTGTGCGCAAAGTTAAAACAAGGTCACATGACACGACAAGATTGACAAAGTTCATATCAACCCACGCACGTCGGGTTTGTTTGATGATCAAGGATTTGATGAAAAATAGAAAAATATTTATAATGAAATTAGAAATAACGAATCAAAGTCAAATCGATACAAGGATAATCGCACGGACGACGTTTAATCAACTAAACTATTATTTATAATTGCTATAGCTAGATGCTCGGTGTTTTTCTGCGACAACTGACATCGCTAATTTTTTAAAAGAAATATAAGAGAAGAAATCGGAAAACTAAAGTCGTGTCTCAACTTGTTCCTCAATCGATGAACTTTCGATATGAGATGAAAAGGAATGTTTAGACAAATCCAATCAATAACAATTTGCATACGACCATCTGGTTTACTAGTGATATTTTCTTTTTGACGATAAATATGATTGTCATTGTACGAATGAGTCTGCTCTAGGAAGAATGTAATTATAGACTTTTGTTTTTGATCCAACTTCTATCCAAGATATCTGTCATCGTCATTGTATATTCAATGTTGTTTTTATCCTTAATACTGTAATAATGTTTGGAGTTGTGGTCAATCATCATCTATCCTAACTGTCAGAAAAAACTATGGAAAGAAAACACAAATATTATGTATCGATTAAGTCCAACAGATGGATAAGAACATATCGAAGATACTATTAAAACATATCTTCAAAAAAAACTCTATAGAATGTTTTCGGTACAAAATGAAAAACTAATCAAGAAATATATGCGCAAGAGTTTCTCTATAGTCGTGATGGCTTCACTTTGAATACTAGACAGATGAACGAACTCCTAATGTTCATTTTCTTCTCATGAAACGGACAATAGTTCTTTTTTTACAAACGTCACATTCCCATTATTAATTAGTGGAGTTTCCCCATCTTTTTTTTTTCGTTGAACTGTCAGTCACAACGGATGTCATGTTCATTTACATCAATGTCGATCTAACTGTGATCATTCATACACGTACGTTGTGTAATTAAATCTGACATATTTCAAGAGACAATAACTAACGAGAATTGATTTTCAGGATATGAAATAGTCAAGAATCCAGGTCTGTCAAAAAAAAAAAGAAATTTAAATAACAGAGCATTTGCGTAGGTTAATACCAATTGATGAAGATGTCTACGAATAGAGAGTATACTACAGTTTCCATTCACCTCCGCTTCCTATCTTATCTTCGTTCTAAAATATCTTCAATTGAAAGATCACGCAATACAAATACATCTTGAAATTTTCTCTGAATGTATTGATCGTTTCGCCTAGTCTTACTATTATGTACTAATTCTTATCTAAATGTACACTTAAGGTCGTTTTTTGTACAGACATATTAATATTTGTCCAAAAAACATAACAGATACCGTGTTTCCATATTAATGATTCGCCTTGTATGTATAATTTAATGATAACAACACTCTCGTACGTATTCTGTTGATTGTCTCAAGAACAAAGAAAATGGTCTTCCTTTCTATTGCTTTAGCAACGAATTCGTGTTATATTCAAAGGAAGGAACAAATTAACATGAAGACATGCTTAAATATAACACCTCCAAAAATAAATTTGGTTAAGAACACGCGACTGATGGAATATTCGGTAAAAGTTTCCTTAATAATTTATTTCTATGTCTTCTAAACTTTCTTACCAAACATAAAAAGTTTTCACATGACATTGAACTGAACAGCACTCGTCAGTTCCTCTGATTGCATGTGTTATTGAATAATATATACGAACTCTATACAACAATAACATCCACCATACGATAGGAGCAATGAAAGATCTATGTAATAGGAAAACTCGATATAAGTGATAATACAAGAGGATTGTTTACAAGACAAAATGAGTTGATGATAAAGATCATTCTAATTTTCGGTGGAGATAGTATAGAAGCTTACTGTTTTTCTCTCGATCGAGTTTAAAAACAACGTCTTAGATGCTTGATAGACGATTAAAAAGAAACTATATTTATATTACTTGCACGCATCACACCGGAAATGTTTGTGGAGCAAATAAAACTACTCAATCGTCCGCAAGAAGTGTCTACACTTCGACGCAATTATTTTATCTATACATTAGTAAATTATATTGAGTTATTCTCTGGTATTAAGATGATTATTCAAGAGTAGCATAAATTTCGCGGAATACATCTGAAAGTATACTCACTAATATTGAACGTACCTGGAACCTATTGAGTTCAGAAATTATAGTTCATGTTTATCGAAGAACTATCAATGATATAACGATAAAGAATTATCTGGGTTTTAATATTTAATCTCGTGACTGGCAAGTGCCTTGAAGTAACACAAAATAATCCATCTGTCGAAAGAAGATGCCCAACTGTGTCTTGTCTGTACGTGACCTGCATGTATAACACATTTGTGGAAGACTTCAGGGAAAATGTAACGAATCGATTTTCTCTCATCGAAGGACGATACTAAAGTTCAATAGGACCTCCATTATAGTAAATAGTCGTCACGTGTTTCTCCGTTTTTTTTTATTCACATTTCGTGATTGAAATAAAAGATGAAGAAAAATAACAACATAGCAGTTTAGTGTTCAAGAGTTTGATGTTCATCGAATGGCTTAAAAATTCATGGTTTTGTCGTCGCGATATTGATACATGTAATCGTTGGTATCTTTTTCTTCGATCTTTTCCCAGCCAGTTTCTTTCATATGATAAACTAGATAAAAAATAAAATAATTGTCGGTAGAACTTTACTTAAAATAAGAAATTTCTCATTACTTCGAACGATGTTTCCTGACGCAGCATCACGGTGAGCAGCGTGAACAATAGCACGACGACCGAGATCAATAGCATCTGCTGTACTCATTTCATACCTAAAAAGTACATATCTTTGTACCATATACAATCGTAGTCATTCAATTTACTTGTAACCAGCATCAAGAATACTATAAGCATATATAGAACCGCTGCCAACTGAGAATAAATTATCACTAATACGTTCACCATCATCCGAGACCATGTAAAGACCGGGACCCTACGATAACAAAAAAAAGATAGGATATGTCATTGCTTTGAAGATTTCACTTACGCGTTTATCCCAACCGACGATCATGGTTCCCATTGACAAGCCCATGCCACGGTATTCAAAGATCATATTAGCAAGAATTTTCGAGGCAGCGGCAACAGAAATTTTCTCTTTGTTACGGAGCTCATAGATCCGACAATGACGAGCGAGTACGCGTTCCCAAAAAGCGCAATCAGCTGCACCACCAGCCATTGTACCCAATAAATAAGGATTGATTTCAATAACCTTTTTCACTTCACCCGAAGCTAAACGAATGAAACACACATTCATTAAAATCCGTTCTTCTCATCAGAGAATACCAACCAATAAAACCACCAGCAGTGGCACGACTGTCTACAGCAACGATAACACCGTTACGGAATTTAAATGCTAATGTTGTTGTTCCTTTGAGAAATTGAATACGAACTCGATCGACTTTGTCGTTGACCAATTTCAAATATTTAGCTGGCTATGAAGATAAACCAAAGGATGAACATGAATGCGTATAAAACGATTCTTACGTCTGCATAGGGTGGTAAAGTAATGAATTGAGCAATATTTTCAATGTTCAATTTCGGGCAAAAATCGTCAATTTCATTGTCAGTTTTTGCACATTGTAATGATCGATTAAAAGCATCGTTTGAACTGAATCCAAGTACATTTGCTAAAGCCATAGCGATCACTTTGTTTGTCTTTCTCTAAAAATACACGACACCACTAAGATTGAAGTTGAACTCGTCGTCATCATTATTACCAATACCAAATACAAAGCTCGTCAGCTATTGGTCAAAATAGTATACCATTCAATAGCGTATGTAGGTGAAAAAAGTTATTTAACTGCAAGAATTCGGCATTTTTTTTTCAAGATTTTCATCATCCAATTTTATTTGAAAATAAATTTTACTCGACAAACTTTTCTCATATGTCGCCACAATCCACGTTAAATCCCGCGAAAAAAGCCTGTTTTTCACACTAATTCAAATTATGAAATCCAGATATTTTTCTGTTTAATTCGATTGTACATTTAAATCTGAATGATCCATTTTGTTTATCATTTCAATCCATAGAATACCATCATCATGTCTCCTCCTCCATTTAAAGATCAATCAAAAGCAAAAACTCTATATCACGTCGAAACTTTTCCTAGAAATGAACCATGGCAATATTCTAGATGAGTCATGAATTTTCATTTGTTAAACACACGATTTATCCTCGAGCAAACTAATTAATTGATTATCTTACGTGAAAATGTCATTATTCTATTAGATCGTATAAACAAACAAAAAGAAAGTCATCGCTTGTCGTTCGAATCCAATAACTATTATGACTACCTCACCATCGTCAGGTCTTTCGCCTGAAGCAAAAGAATTTGTTCCATTAGGACAAAACTCTGCGATAAGCATTCCATTATACGTTGATGAAAATACAGTTGCATCTATTTATCCTTCGGATCAACAACCGCTGATGGTTCAAACAATCTATCCGATGATGGTAACAGATTCGAAAATTACCGATAATGGTCGATTTCCTGAAATTGAATTTCACATTCAACCATCTCAACAGCAACAATTTCAAATCGATTCATGTACAAATGTTCCACAATCACCTTCAATTAATGGAACTTCACCCTCAACTTCAACATCTCAAATCGTTCTTTTGCCAACAACTAATTCAGCAACTGCAGTGACGCCAACTGGATATTATCCAGGTCCACAAATTATTTATTCAACTACGGAACCAGTATCAGCATTTTATCCCTTGGATTATTGTGAACAATCTTTGATTAATTTTTCTCTCCAACAACCTACACAAATGTCTAAATCTCACCGAATGTTATCTCAACAACAAAGATCATATTCATTTCGGCAACACGGAATCAACCACTCGCCATATCGTCCATCATCTCGTGGAAATAATAATCGCGGTGGTGGAAGCAACAGTAGTGGAATCTCAAATAGTCGAAATTCCTACTATGATTACAGCAATCGCCGAAATGGTGGTTCATCATATTCATCGAATTCAGGACGAGGTAATTCGTCAAATAGTAAACGAATCTCATCATCTTATCATTCAAACGAGTACAATAATTATTATCATTCATCTCCAAGATCCAGAGGTTATTTATCGCGTTCATCCCAACAACAGCATGATGAATATCGAAAAGATTATTCCGATTATTACAATCATGATAATGAATATAATCAATCCAGTCATATGAATGAGGATGGTACACCATTCGAATTTCGATCTGAAGACTTTCCGAGTCTTCCAATAAATAATCAACAATCTGATAATAAAACTTCAACACAATCGGTTGCATCAACTACTGCCACTACAAAGTAAATTAGTCTGCGAATGTTTTGTTTTTTTTCAACTAATTTCATATATTCTCTAGATCAGCCTCATCTTGGAATGAAATTGTCTCAGCTCCACGTCGTCGTTCGACTTCTCCACAATCCATACCTCCATCTCAAGATCAACGATCGGATCGAAGTCGTTCATTCAACAATAAACTATCAACAAACAATGAACGCAAACCTTCAAACAAGCCAATTCATCAATCATCTAAAACTACCAAATCAGCTAACTGTGCTTCCAAATCAACAACTTCTCAAGATGAACAACCACATTCACTATCATTAACCAATAGTGATCTTCCAAATAATGAAACCAATACCAAATTGAATAATAACAAAGATGATGGTTTTATTCAAACAAAATATCAACAACGACGTTTAAAACGTAAAAACAAACTTCGAGAAGAACCTGTCTCCTTTCCAGAACAATCCGACGACATTGAATCAGCTCCATATGCTCTCGATGATGAAAATGCATTTCCTACCTTAGGTCAACCCAATCCACCATCAACGACAAAATGCGAAACTGAAGTGATAAAAAAAAACAATTGCGAAACATCTCAACTCGATTTACCCGACATGTTCAATCGATTGAATACATCAACTCCGAGCAATTCATCTGATTCGAAAATCATGCCAAAACGTGAACAAACAAAATCACGCAAATCAAATAAAACGAAACGTAGTATTAATCACAAAGAAATCGAAGAAAATCAAAATCAATCAATCTCGCCAATAACAGTAGAAAATCAGTCGAACGAGGTTCTTATTCAAAATGATACTGATACGAATACTACGAACATTAAAGAAGAGTAAGTAACATATTCTTTTCTCCACTATCACCTGATCGATTTTTGTCTACAGTGATCAACAAAATTCAAATGCATTGTCTTCGACTAGTAACAATAGTAGTGACACCAGTGATTATGATGATGCGGTTGACAATTTGAATGAAGATGAATGAATGGATGAAGAAGAAACAAAGAAGGAAAAGTCTTTTCTGAATCTATACATAATTATTTATTTTTTGTTTTGTTTTGTTTCGTTTCTCATTTACTGTTGTAGACAATATGACGATTATTTTTTAGTACAATCTCTGTTGTTTGTTCGTCTTGTTTTCATTTTCTCTCTCCGACCTCTTCCTCTCCTCTGCCCCTCGAAGTGCAATAGAAACAAACAATCCGCATGCGATTGGAAAAGCACAAATATGAATGAAGAAAAATCGTTCGTTGTATTTCATTCCCATGTTTCGTGTAGACAAGATTAGAAGGCGAAAATAACCCAAAAGAGAAACGATATATGTCTTTCAGGATACCTCTTTTATTTTACTCATATCTACGTATGTCAATTTTATTTTAAATTCTTTTTTGCGGGCACTTACATGTTTTATGTAAATGTTTATTTCGATTTTCTTTGTCGTTTTTCTTTTTTTTTCTCTATTATTATGAATATCATCATTAATATTATTAACATTATTATTATTATTATTATTATACGCAATAAAATAAAAGCGTTTTTCGTTGTGAAAAGTCTCTGTGTTTTTATTTAACTGAGAAAGTTGACAATGACACAGACAGGAAATCAACGCTAATGGGAAAGAGTCAACCTTGGATCTTGCTGACATCATGTTCCTCAACTTAGCACAGTCATAATGATGTGTTGAAATGTATGCACATGTGTGGCATGCTACGACTAGAACTGTTAACACATGAATTCCATCGATAATACTAGTAAATTATTATTTTTTTATTCAAGAAAGTCCATTCATAGTTTTGACTTTTAATACTGGTGAAATGTTCGACCATGAGATGATTTCGTGTGCCTCTATGATGAATTCCATATTTTCTCATGAGTCGTTGGACTTACTTCATCGATGTATGTCCACTGAAATCTGATCGTTATTTATCATGATATGAAACATTCTATTCGACTTATGTGCGTTTTAGATGGATATTTTATCGTCGATCGTGTGGATCAAAAGTGGAGCAGCAAAAGCGACTCCAGTCAAAGTAATATAATCCTAGTGTCCAATTGTAAACTATCGTTAATCATTTAGTTTGCACCGGATGAAGAAGAACTCAATAGTTTGATCGCTAAAAATGGAATTCATGACAACGATGAGGACGATGATAAAAGTAAAGATGCTGATATGGATGTTGAAAAACAAGATGATAAAATCGACCGTAAGTAATGGAGAAAAAAATGGGTTAAATAGGTGATCGAAACTTTTTCTCTTTATTGCAGAAGATGACGATGATGATAATATAGTTATACCAGGTGTAGGTCCTATTGCAATGCATGCATCCAATTCAGATGATCCTTTACTTGAAATAAAAGATGATGTAAGAATTAGGCTTGATATCAGTTCGAATTCGGTAAAAATTTGTGTTTTTGTAGGGCGAAGATTCGGATGCGGAGGATTTTTACATTCGATCAGACGATAATCTAATTGTTGCTGCACATATCGAAGATGACACTTCTAGTCTTGAAGTTTATGGTAATTCTTATCTAATAACAATCTTTTAACGAGAATCTCATGGATTTTTTCTTGCAGTTTACAATGATAAAGAAGGTTATCTCTATGTACATCATGATATATTGATGTTACATATGCCATTATGTTTAACATGGTTAGATTATGATGTGAAGAACACAAATTCAGGTTTGTTGTATTGTTTAGACCGGGACGTTTGGTTATTAAGTTGATGTTTTTTGTTTTAGTGAATTATGTAGCGGTTGGAAGTATGGAGGGCGTAATTGAATTATTTGATGTTGATCTCGTGGATCAAATGGAACCTATCTATACTTTCGGAAAGAAATCTCGAAAGAAAAAAATAAAATCATCGAAAAAATCATCTAAAGTTTGTTGTTAAACATTTTCATCCAATTGAAATGTAGTTTTTTTTCGTTCATTTTCGTAGAAATCAGGTGAAGGTCATGATGCAGCCGTACTAGATCTCTCATGGAATAAACTTGTTCGACAAATTCTTGCATCAAGTTCTGCTGATGCAACTGTTGTTTTATGGGATTTAAGTCAAATGAAAATGGCTTTACATCTAAACAAAATTCACGAGAAACAGGTTGGTAAGTGTAGAGAAGATTTGAATATAAAATATGGAATTTTTGTTCTTCACTAAGTAGATTCAATCAATATGTTGGCATCCAACTGAACCACAAAATTTACTTTCTGGTTCAGCGGATCAAACTGTATGTTTAGTTGATTGTCGAGATGCAAATAACAAAAATAATCAACATCGTTGGACATTCGATTCAGATATCGAACGAGTAGCATGGAATACATTCGATTCCAATCAATTTCTCGTACGAATTTCAAGAGATATTCGTTCATTTTCATATGAATTATCTTAGGCGTCTACTGAAAATGGATATGTGTATGCCATGGATATTCGACAAACGACTATACCTGTGTTCAGCTTAGCTGCTCATAGTGGTGCTGTTACTGGTAAGAAGAATGGACGAAAAGAAATAAGATAAGAATCGGTTGAAATGTTTAGGTCTATGTTTGAGTTCAACTGTGCCCGGTTTTCTAATGACGTCGTCATTCGATGAAACTGTCAAGATTTGGGATGTAGAAAATGGAAATGTCACGTTCATTGCTGAACGGCAATTTCCAACAGTAATTTCGTCGTTATTCTTTTACAAATAGATAATCAGCCTTTTCTTCCAGGGACGAATCAATACATGTCTCGCCAATCCGGATTTTCCGTTTACATTCGCTATTGGCGGACAATCCAAAGGTTTACAAATATGGGACTGTACCGAAAATTCGAATGGTGACAATTCATTCTTGTGTAGTATTCGAAATTCTTTTTCTTTTCTCACTTCTAGTCCGTTCACGATTCGGTTCTCGTGCAAAATTCGAAATGGTCGAAGTGGCATCTGCCGAGACTGAAGCTACCGAACCAAAAGTATCATCTTTTCCAACTACAACGCCGAATGTAACCTCGGCTGTATTAAAAGCTCAGCGAAAAAAATTGTCTAAAAAGAATAAATAAAACTAACCGATTTACATGTTGGAAACTTTGTTTAAAAACAACACATCCAGTGTTCGCTTGCTGTTTTTTATGATTCATCTCACTTAAAACGTCACCATGCTGACGTGTTAGAAGTTGTTATTGCTCAACTATACACGACACATTTTATATAAGAATCGGAAAATATTGAGGAATAAGAGTTAAATATAATAAACATGAGTAGATTATTCTCCTGGCTTCTTAAAACGAACAATATTCCAACAACACCTGTATATCGTCAGTTATACTTCGAAAATCTGATCAATGATAAACGTCTCAAGGAGTTGACCACGTGTCTGCAGAGAAAAAGCGATCAAATGGATTGCATCAACGGATATTTTCATTTATTATCGAAACTAACTGACGACGCATATATGGACGAAATATTTGAATTAATCATAACAAAATCTCGATTACCACCTACACAAATCGCGAGGATTGTTGTTGATAGGTTATCTCAAGCAATATCTTCAAAAGATTTTGGTTTATTCGAAAGAATTCTTCGATTATCCCACTCCTCAATTCAACTTCCTTTATCAACCTATGATGTATCTCGATTGATATCTACATGTTCAGATTCGGATCAAATAGCGCGCTGCTTATCAATTTTAATTGAGAAGAATCTCCGTTTCGAACCTGAATATCCTACATGGATATTAATCCTTCTTATCGAACATTATAAAACTGGAGGGGAAATTGTCATCGAAAATTTCCTACGTGAGCAAACGAATGCACAATTTCTATACGTACCATACGGAGATTGTCGTGTCACACCTCTTATGATTTTCTTACATTTGTATTCGAATCCGAAATGTCAAGCAATTATCGATCAGCAACTATCAAATATCCAAGATCCATCTGTGCTACTCCAATATGATCGATGGAATCGATCGTATCTAATGCATCTCATTTGTAACGAATGTCAGCACGTTGTCAACACAGTTTCAACTACGCTCCTTTCGAATGATCTGACTGAAATCAATGACGAATTAATCAAACAATGTCCATATGCATCGGCAATATTCTCACAGTTTGTACGTCTTTATGAATTAGGAAACAAATTTGAAACACCTGTGAAAACAATATTTAATTCGCGGTTGTGTTTTCCACTACGGATAAAATTATTTAACTATATATGGGAAAATAATACAATAGATCAAATCAAACTTGATGATTTCTTCGTTAACTTTCCCTCGATGTTCTTCTCGAGCTATCAGTATTACCTAAAGCGTTTAGTTCATAATCAAAATCTAGATCAAGCTCTTACATCTGTCGTTCTCAACTGTAAAGATCATCCTCAACGTGTCGATGCTAAAATCACATTTCTTTTACGACAAGGCGCACGAATCAACGATATGAATGTTGTTTCATCGACTATTCTCTCTCTCCTAAATGGTGTTCAATCGTCAACTCCATTTATGTTACTCGATTATGATATGCCGATCAAAATCGATTTCCAGCTATTATCGAGGACTTCGACTCGCAATATGGCCTTGTACATATTCCGTGCTGCCCAATGTGGCTATACTGATGTATCTCAATCGCAGTTTGAAAGTTTTAAGTCTACTCAAAGCAAATCCATGATATCAATGATAGATAAACTGGTGGATATAAAAAGTCCAACGACTCTATCGAATTTATGTCGGCGAAAGCTTCGCAGATCGTTAAAAAATTTAGGCGATGACACCATGGATAAATTAAATGAAATTCTACCACATAGATTAGTTCACTCGATAAGACTATACGAATATCATAAATGGCTTACATGTTATCATAACGCACCGTAAAAGATTTCATTAAAATATAAAGACATTGGTAATCACCATCCGATCTGGATTTTTCTTGTATAAATATAGATAATTTGTAAATAAAAGACATCTATCGGCAATTTTATTTTATTGGGTTCATCTTAGCGGCGAACGGACAACAA